ATATAAGATCGACAAGCAATAAACTTTTAATCAAATTTGTATCTGATTCGTCCGTCCAAAAGGCTGGTTTTTCAGCCAATTTTATCAAAGAGTTCGACGAATGTTCTTCAGGTAACCATGGATGTGACCATATTTGTGTTAATACATTAGGCGGTTATCGATGTGAGTGTCGCATTGGATACGAGCTTCACTCAGATGGGAAAAAGTGTGAAAATGCTTGCGGTGGTTTAATTGAACTATTGAATGGAACTCTGGTCAGTCCATCATTTCCTGATCTTTATCCACCCAACAAGAATTGCATCTGGGAAATTGTTGCTCCACCACAATTCAGGATAACATTGAATTTCACTCATTTCGATTTGGAAGGAAATAATGTAAGTTTCCCAAATATTAACTCTTCAATACAAATCAATCCTCAACATTCAAAGTTATTTCAATGAACACCCAATCATATCAAGCTGACCTGTAATCAAATATTGGTCTTAATCGAGTTTCTATTTCTTGATAGTTAAACATGAATATTTATTTATATATGAATGTCAATGAGCCAAATATTTACTTATTACTTAATGCAAGTTTATTATTTTTCATTCAATCTCTCATTGATGATTACCTAACTGAAACAGACCATCATGATTATGTTCATCCTTTATTCAAACTGCCATGGATGGACTTTCTTTAAGTAGCCAACACTATTTACTATTAGCCAATAACTGTAGGTTATGTTTATTTAATTACTTTGATTAGATGATATTTATTTTTATTATTTCTAACCCTTTAACGATTTCCTATTCAATTAGAATTGTTATATCTCGTGATTTTTTCCAAGTGTTACATGATTGTTGAATCTAAAAATGTGAAACTACTGATGTTTACTTTAACCAGAATTAACTGATAACGATTCTTTTCTTTCCATCTTCTATTCAGCAAGATTGTGAGTATGACAGTGTTGAGGTGAAGAGTGTTAAAAGCGACAATCCAGATTATTATAAACATGGAGTATTTTGTGGTCCAACAAATCCGCCGACAATCACCTCGATTGGGAATAGTTTGAGGATTGCATTCAACACTGATAATAGTGTACAGAAAAGTGGATTCTCGGCTTCATTTTTTACTGGTAATTAATTGTTGCTCTTAATCATTTATTAACTCATTTTTAATTCCTTTTCATTGTCTTCCTCTTTTTTTGCCTTGTTTAAATTAATAAAAACAGATAAAGATGAATGTGTTGTTAACAATGGCGGCTGTCAACACATTTGTATCAATACAATAGGATCATATAAGTGTGCCTGCCACAATGGCTTTGTCCTTCATGAAAATAAACATGATTGCAAGGAGGGAAGTTGTACTCATTCAATTGTATCACCCTTTGGGTTAATCAGTTCACCCAATTATCCTGAACCATATCCTAACCGTAAAGACTGTGCTTGGCTATTTACCACCACTCCAGGTCATCGAATTAAACTCGCCTTTGAAGACTTCGAACTGGAAATTCACCCTGAATGTGCTTATGATCATTTACTTGTCTATGATGGACCCACAATGGATAATACCACTTTGGGTAAATTTTGTGGATCCAAATTGCCGCATCCGTTGCTTTCCTCGTCAAATAAGTTGTACATGATCTTCAAGTCTGACCCATCAGTCCAACGGAAAGGCTTTAAGGCAACTCATACAACTGTTTGTGGTGGCCGGTTGATTGCTACTTCCAATGTTGAACATTTATATTCTCATGCTAAATACGGTGATTCCAATTATGACAAAAAGGAAGATTGTGATTGGATTATTGAAGCTCCTGATGGTTATCGGGTTAGACTAAGGTTCCTTACCTTTGAAATTGAAGCGGAAAATGATTGCAGCTATGATTATGTGGAAATATTTGACGGTTATGACACTTCATCTCGTCTTATTGGCCGCTACTGCGGTAATACTGTAAGTATTGTCAATTTACATTGAAAAAGTGTGCAACCATTGAAGGAAATTTAATTTGAATTTTCATTGATTTGATTTCAGTTGCCACCTGAAGTTTTATCAACAAATGAGTACCTTTTGGTTCGCTTTCATTCCGATGATACTCAGCACAACAAAGGATTTTCTATTGTTTATCATGGATTGGATGGAAATGAAGATGGACAGTTCATCAATCATTCGTCATCACTTCGATAAATGTTAACTTATGTGATTTACAATCTTCAGCGGAAATTGATTGGAAAAATTAGTGATAATCCTTTTTACATACTCTGCATAACTCTTTATTCCGCCATGCATCAGAATAAAAAGTAATTAACAATCAACGAAATAATCTGAATAAAGATGCTCTTTAACGCGAGAGTTCTGTCTTATCAAAGTTGTTTCTATTCAAACGAGAATTATTGTGAAGACAAAATTGCTAAAAATTTATATTCTTGATAGAAAATTTTCATAGGGTTAAAATTAAATTTCATGTCTACAATTCTGGTAATGGGTCAAAACAGGAAAAGTAAAAAAGCAGAAGCAAATGCGCAAATAGACAAAATAGCAAATCGGCTTTTAAAATGAATGTAAATCTATTGAAAGGTTTGATATCGAGATCGGTTTGAACCGACTTAGTTTGGGCACACAAGTCCTTTGATATTGACCATCTTTCGTTGATGAAATGCAACGAAAGATGAGATTAATAGCATCGGCGATTGAGTCCATCAGAGAGTCTTGGAATACCAAAGTTAATATAAGAAATTGTTCATTTCACGACACTGTGATAGACTCAATCTACAGTGGATTCGTAACAGATATTGTTCATTTCAAGACAGTTAGACTCAATCTTTGGTGGTATTGGAATAAGAGATTGTTGCATACGATTATTCATCTTCGAACTGGTTCTTCATGTGGGAACTCAATGCCATAGTCATGCCGACTATTGTTACTCTATTGCGTAGTCATAGACAATGACAATTGATAGATTAAAGCGTAGATGGATTAGTAAAAAGAGATTGTTCATTTCAAGACAGTTGTTAGACTCAATCGAGACTCAATAGACTCAATGTGAAGAAACATTGTGACGCTATGGTGATGCACCACATTCGTGTTCGTATCGTGCAATTCAAATTCAAAACGAAAATGAAGTCTTATAAGAAATACAAAAACGTGCAGAAAATTAGTCTCGGACTCCTCCTTGCTTCTGAGATAACCTTCGCCTCAGACTCTGGATCTGAAACTGTGCCTTTTTGAGTTGGTTGTGTACATAATACAAATCGGTGAGAGTCTAGTTATACGGACACATATAATAAACAGTGCTATAGATTCAAATAAATAATCGATTATTATCGCGCTCTAGGTCGGACTAGGTTAGGTTAGGTTAGATTAGGTTAGGTTAGGTTAGGTTAGGTTAGGTTAGGTTGGGCTTGGACGGCCTGGGGCCTCAATTAACGGCTTTGTTATTGTTTTGTGTCCGTATAACTAGACTGTTACCTACAAATCATTCCTGATGAATTGATTCTCGTCAGCCAAGTCTTGATTCTTCTTCAAGATTTACAACAATAACCTCTTTTCGGCACTGAGCAAAGTTCACAAAAACTATTTCGTCATTCGCATCAAGTCTAGTGACATCTATTGAAATCCCTTGAAAGCAGTAGAGAGTGCCATGTATTGATAGAACCATATCGTGTCAAACATGTGTAAAACATGATCATGTAAAATGCATGAGTGATTCATTGTGATCTCAACTGAAGGATTGCAAGTTTTTAAAGCTTTGGTAAACCTCAAAAGTACCAAACATAATGATCATGCTTCGAGATCACAATTAATTGAATAAAAAAAATTTCATATTTGGGTAATGCGCCAATACTGCGCCAATGAAAAATTTTATTAATGTTTTAGAAAGTCGCATAATATAATGAAATCATGAAATATACTTGAAAATAATATCGAATACTTTACAATTAATTGATGAATGAATTAAATGTATTAATAAGAAAATCATATCAAAAATATCAATTATTTGTTTTGCGTCGAAAGTATTTTTTATCATCTTCGATATCGGTCTCAGCACAATCACGATGCGTGAAATGTTTTTCCAATTCTTGTTGAAATTTAAAGCTCTTGTGGCATCCACAGCAAGCTAAGGAGTAGTTTAACGTGATATAATGCCAAATCACTTCTTCCTCATTGTTTCCACGATACCGTTGACCACATTGACAATCCTGATTCTTGCAAGCAACGATGCTGTCGTTTCTAACTGCATTTTTTCTTGCTGTCTCTAACAATGTCCAAAAACCTATTGGTATGCGGGTTTGATCGTTGACAATTTGGAATGCGAAATTTTTGGTTGCATAAATTTTATATTCTTTGTCATTGAGTCTGTAGAAAAAAGAAAAGTAACATGGTTAATAATAATCTCATTGGCGCATACATGGCGTAGGGTACTTACGATTTTAATTCTTTCCAACCATGTTGGGATTTGTCGATGTTGTCACCCAATAATTTTATTGTTGCCAAATTAGAAATAAAAGAAATAGCTTCGGGTTCCTTCCTAATATAATTAGCAAAAGTAGCTCCATTGACACGAGGTCCAATCACAAAATCTTCTCGGGCGATATTCAATAAATAATCAATGTATTCACAAAGGGTATCCAGCTTTGGTGCCTTTGCTGTAGATGCACAAACGTTAACGGGTGATTCGCTATGAGATTTTTGGGGCGATTTTGCCAGAGATTTTTTCGGAACTTTTTTAACTGCCTCATCCTCAGAGTACGTTTTCTTCTTTCTTTTGTTGAAAATTTTGAGAAAAATTTGCAATAACTCAACAAATGATTGTATATTCCGTTTTTTTCATGGACACTCTTTGCACAGCCAGAGCAAACATAGCTGACAAATTTTCTTTGGAGGTGTTTTCGGCCATTCTCTTGACCGGTTAAGGTCTTTTTGCAATCGCAATGTTTAAAAATGCATTTCCAACCATTTTCATAATGAATACCTGGGTTGATTATGGTCGTAACATAGTTATCGGTTAGCGGTTCAGGTTTAAATGTTAGAAAAACTTGATAATATCCATTTTTTGTGTAGTTAACTTTGAATTTATCGAATGACCTAAGATAAAAGATGCAAAACAAATATATTAATAATATTATCAAATAAAAAATGATCAGACTTACCATTTAGCCCCCGATACACCAAAAGTTGACCTGAGTTGGATTTTCTTATACAAGTCTTCCAAAGCAACACTTGCAAGTTTGCTTTCGATAAACCAGATTTCCATGGATTTGACTATATTTGAGGATTTGAAAAATTTGTCGCAAATTTTGTTGCTCAAATAGTGGGCAGGAAAATTTTCAGCATAAGCTGGAATTACCTCTTTAGATTCCTGACACAGGAAGACATTGTCTTCTAATTCTTCTTCCTGGAGAAAATCAGAAGCTAAAATTGTTGTCCCTTCAAATTCACTCTCTTCATCATCGCTTGGAACCCTCTCGATTGTTGTTGTTGGCCGAGTCTGTATGGATGATGACGGTTGTACAGCCGGTGTTTGTTTTTTTTGTAAGCGGTGTTAGGAGTTTTCGTTCACGTTTGGTTGAAGCTTTGCGTCCTTTTTTGGAGCTTCGTAAATGAAATCGAAATCCTCAGTCCCTTGGTCAAAAGTGACATTCAAAGGTTTGCTATTTATATCTGCTAAATCGACACATTTGTCGCGAATAACCTTTTTCAGGTTAGATAAGTACTTTCGCAAAGTGCTTTCAGCTCCTAGAAACGAGAAAATTGGATTAGTGAATATGCACAAATATGCGCCAAAGGCGAACTAGAATTAAAAACTTACCTATTTTTACCGCTATGCAGATAACCTCTTGATCCTCTTCTAACACCAAAATTCGATCAAATTCAGCAATTTCGTTCGCTGGGGGAATAGGGCGAACTTTTTGACCAGAAATAATAAAGTATGATGGTCCAACATTCTGGTTTTTATAATGGCGTCGATAATACAAAAAGAAAGGCTTTTTTCTTGGCTTGCTTGGGTTGATTTTTGACTTGATTTTTGAGACATTTTCAATCGTAGTTGAATGCAAACTAATAAAAGTTGATTTTTCAATCGTTGATACCACAAAAAAAGTTAAAGTTGAATTAAACAATATAATGTAGTTAGAGGATATAACCAATTACTAATCATGTGAAACACGTGTTACATTCGCTTCATTTAGATGTCACTAGATGTCGCTTTTATCATAGTTACATGTTAGAAATACAGAAGGCAGCAGTAGTGTGTTCATCGAGTTCATTATTCATCTAATTTTCCATTTGTTGCGAATTAAATTCAATGAAAATTACTTAAACATAATTTGATAAAACACTTGAACAGTTTTGTTCACAAATTGATCAAAAAGTCGCACGTTACATTTCTCTTCGTCACAACAAACTTCTATTGGCGCACCATTGGCGCATACAGATTAATGTAAATATATGAAGAAATACACGAAAATTTATTCAATCATGTAAATTTATTGTGGTTTTACAATTTGGGCATAATTGTTATATTTTTTAAAATCAATCAGGATCCAGGGTACATGTACCAATGTGGTTCTTGTATTCTGAATACTTAATTTCATCATGACATTCAGAAAATTTGCATTTTAACAGCAAGTTATCCATAATGCTTTTACTGCGCTGTCCAACTGGTGATGTTAAAGGTAAAGGTTTTACAACAAATGTCTGTTCATCGCATCTATATGGATATGATTGTTTACGGATTGCATGGTAACATTTCATACGATTATTCATCTTCGAACTGGTTCTTCATGTGGAAACTCAATGCCATAGTCATGCCGACTATTACTCTATTGCGTAGTCAAAGTCGATGACAATTCATAGACTCAAGCGTAGATGGATTCGTAAACGATTTCTGTGTAGTCACTGACTATCGTAACTCAATCTCATAGTCAGTACAACAATTCATTCAGTAGTGTTAATCAGCTTTTCTCCGCATTTTTGATGATAATTAATTAAGAAAATTTGTTTTTATAAATTAAAATATAAAGCAAAACGAATCAAGACAGTTGGTAGACTCAATCGCCGATGATATTGGAACAAGAGAAGGTTGATAGACTCAATCGCCGGTGTAACTTACCTCATCTCAATGGAACAAGAGACTGTTCATGTCTTGATGAGGTGAGTTATCCGGCCATTGAGTCTATCAACTGTCTTGAAATGTCTATCAACAATTTTTGATTCCAATGGAATGAATTGGATTTCATTGACGATTAAATTTGATTACACCGCCTTCGGTCTATAGCAACAGAGTTGCCAGCCTTTTACCTCTTCACTCATTGCATTGTTCCAGGGTAGAGATGTGCGATTATTAAAAAAACGATTATCGATGATGACGCAATGTTCACAGAAAAAATCGATGAATATCGATATTATCGATAAATCGATTTAATTGAACAAACCCGATATAATACAGTTAATACTTCAAGAAAGTGCCAAAAAATTCAAAAACTAAGACAAGCCTTGGTGAAATAGGTGGCAGTGTTAAGAAAAAACAAACTTTTCTCGGCGTTTTTCTCGACTCGATATATCATTGAAATCATCGATATGAAATCGGCTTAAAATTATCGATAAAAATCGATGATTTTGATATAATCGCACATCTCTATTCCAGGGTCTGGGATTATCTTTGCTGTTACAAAGCTAATTCGGCTAGTTTTTTTACTGTATTTTTTTATCAATTGTGTCCATCAACTGATCTTTTGGAACCAACTCTGCTCGACGAGCTGATTTGTCATATTGGAAGTCTAGCTTCAGTTTATCATAACCCTCCTTCAGCCTTCGTTGAAGGTAAAACTGGTCTCAGAAAAAGTCTTAATCCTCGTTCAGGATCCGGCGATGATGGCCAATTGTCTAACGCTACAAACGAACAGCAACCTACCGTAATCCCATCACAGGAAACTCTCATTGGTGATCTTCTCAGCCTCGAGCTTAATCCTCCCCCAGTTCAACCAACTTACACTACTTCACCAATTAACAGTTATTCCAATGTTGATATACTTGGAGGTGGTTTAGACACACTTTTGGGTGGTAATGATATTTCACAACCAGCTCCTCCAGTGCCCAGCACAACATTCCCACCAACTGCCTCTGTACCCATTCCACCTGTCCCAGTCTCTTCAACTTATGGACTTCTTGGTGATATATTTGGCATTCCAGTTACTAGCACCTTTTTCACCCCACCTAAAGAGGTTAGTAAAATTTATTCTTTTAATTTGTAAATATTTTTCAAATTATTATTTAATTCATATTTTTGTCAATTTCGTAGCTTTGGCTCTCAGCTACTGATGGTAAAGGCCTTGAACCATCAGGGACATTCACTCGTCGTAATGGTGCAATTCATATGGAGATGACTTTTGTTAATCGAGCAATGCAATCCATGACAGGATTTGCTATACAGTTTAACAAGAACAGCTTTGGCTTGGCTCCTGGTCAACCATTGACTGTCCAAACACCCCTCCAACCCAATTTATCCTCAGATGCGAGTCTACCTTTGAGCACCAATGGGCCTGTTCAAAAAATGAATCCATTGACAAACCTTCAAGTTGCAGTAAAAAACAACGTCGGAATATTTTACTTCAGTGCAGTTGTACCATTGCATGTTTACTGTGTTGAAGATGGTAGCATGGATAAACGCGTTTTCTTGTCTACCTGGAAAGAGATTCCATCTCAGAATGAATTGCAGTTTCCCATTAATGGTGTTAACCTTGATGCTGATGCTATTTCATCCAAACTACAATCCAATAACGTTTTTACAATTGCTAAACGAACTGTTGAAGGAAACGATATGCTATACCAATCGTTCAAATTAACTAATAATATGTGGATCCTCGCTGAGCTCAAGATTCAACCCGGTAGTCCAGATATACAATTATCTGTTGAATCCAGAGTCACCGAGATCGCTTCCTGTGTGCATAAAATGTACGAAATTTCATGTATTCCCAATCAGAAAAGGAGTAAATATTTCGAGAGATTGCAAATTTCAAAAATATCTGTTATTTTAATTTTAATATTGTGTTTTTTTAAATTGTCAAAAGTTCACTAAATTAAATCTTATGGTTGATATTATGTTTTAAAAGGCTTAAAAAGTTGAAAAACTCGTTTTATTATCGAATTGGTTGTTGGTTATTATTAGTAGGACCCTAAGTCCTAACCGTCTCACCTCTAGTTATTGCTTTAGCTAGTTTTTTACCGAAGTAGACCCCGAAACATGGCTTTTATTAATATCATTGCAGCGTGCCGTTAGCACGTTCCTTTAACGACAAACCTAATTAAGATATTGGTAACTATTTATTAGCTTGATAAACAATTTCTTAAAAAAATCTTATTTGAGTAAGAATTGTTATGTTAAACTTAGATTATTGAGAATCTGATGAAATTTCCGATAAAATTTTAAGATTGAAAAATTTCAAAGAAAATTTCTCTGAAAAAAATATTTGGTGTAACTGATGAAAAAATTATCTACTTTATTACATAAATTAATAACTCATTATCTGCTTTTCATTTGTAATATTGGCAAAAATCACATGTAATCAATGTTGACGCCTTTAATATTCTGCAAATTGGTTTAAACATGAAGCATTTATTTGTGTTTGAGTTGATAACAGATTGTACGATAGAGCATCCACATACTAGAGTAAAACAGTTGACTGTGAATCTGGTTAGAAAGCCAACTTGCTCTAATAATAATTGACATCTTATGTTTGTATTTTTTTAATAATTCAGTGACGCTCTGTCATCTAATTATGTAGGTGAGTTTTCTAATTAATATATAGATGATTGAATTGATATTATCACGTATATTAATCAATTAGCTTGGTTATTTTATTTTTGATTACCTTTTCTTTTTGTTTATCTTCTATTTTACCTCTTTCTTAACATAGCTTTTCTAGACAACCAGGTGATGAAACCTCTTTCTATCTGTTTTCATATTTATTGTAATATTTACCACCGCTTTCACATTACCCACCGTTATCTAATTTATTGGTAATCCAACGTTGATCTTTAATTGATTATAAACACCTTGATAGTGTCATTTTTTATGCATCAACATGTCTTCAACCAGCTTGTTTTCAATACTATTGCTTTGCTGGTTGACGCTTCATGTTCAAGCAAGGATCCATCATTTAGTCTTAAAGGTAAGATTCTGTTTTAACCAATTTTATGATTTGACTGTCAATTTTAATTGAATTTTTATTGTTTCAGGGAGATTCTAGACAAAATTTTAAAATTTCCACTTTTGGTTATCTATATGATGGTACCCTTAGAGTAAATGTTGAAAATTTCTCATTTTCGCCATATGACAAAGAATCTAGAGTAAGTAGACTCATCTATTTTGAAACGTTTTACTTTGTTCTGTATGATTCAATTTGATTGCATTCTAATCTTTTAATCTTTATCCTTCTAGTTTGGTTTCACATTGTTAAAAACAAGGAACGATGGATTACATCCTTTTGCTGTAAGATAAACGAGTCATTCCCTGATTAATCGTTGTTTCATCTTAGTCATGAATTCTCTTTCTTTAATAACACGTAACTTACTCGTTGTTTTTTCCTCAGAAGGACAGAGATGATTGTATTCTATATGACCAAGGTTATGGATTAAACAGATTTGACGATGATATTGGTGTGGTAACAATCATATTCGATTTGAAAAAGAAAAAGTAAGCTCATAGATGCCCATTGCATTGGCACTTTGCTAAGCTAAGTTCTTTTTTCTTACAGAGCGCTATTCCGATGTAACCCTTTAATGAAACAATTCAGCGTAACAAAAGGTTACATTAACTCTAGAAGAAAGAGAGATGTATCTATTCCGCCGTCTAGTAACCCTGATTCAGTTCCGATCGCTGATCTATTGAACAAAGTTGGACCACGTGAAGTTCCTATTCCTTCAGCAGATAAAGATAAACACATTGAAGATAAAGTCCCTTCTCATTTAGATAATCCTGATCCTAATTTACAAGAAAGCAACCGTGTAAATCCACCTGCCCCCGACCCTGGAGTTGGACGTGAGGGTGAACCTGAGTCCAATCCTGAGCCGGAGCCCGATCCTGAAGTAGACAATAGCAATGCAAATAATGCCAATGATGTTAATGACGCGAATGAAAATTATTGTATGAATGGCAATACAATAGACTTACTGGAGAAAAATGTTTCAGGAGTTATCAGTTATTCTTTTTCGGTATGTTAGAATTATTTTAAAAATCAATCAGACCAAACCTAAAATCTCATTTTTTTGTCTTTTTTAGTTTCATACCACCATGACGGATGTCTCTCTGATAGGATTATACAGTCTATACTTCCTCAACTGTCCGAATTATGGAAGATCTCTGATGAGATCTCATGAAATCACTTTTATTGATCTTTCTATGGTTATTGAAGAGAAAAATTTCCGTGGCTATCTTTCAGCGGGAGAAGAGCCATTGCCTTCGCTATATTTCTCTCTTTCCATCGTTTTCTTTATTCTTGGATTAGTTTGGGTGCAAGTAATTCGAACACGTAAAGATGATGCCTTCAAAATTCATTATCTAATGGGAGCTCTAGTTTTTGTAAAAGCTTTAGCCTTATTTTTCCACTCCGTAAGTATATTTCACTTTTTACACAATACTCTATTGGACGTAATACCAGCCAGATTTAAATTCAATTTCATTTTTGCAGGTCGATTATCGCATTATAGACCAAAATGGGGCTCAAAATGAAACTTGGGCTATTCTTTACTATACGCTTCACTTCACCAAAGGGGCTCTTCTCTTTATCACTATTGCCCTTATAGGTACTGGCTGGGCTTTTGTTAAACATATTTTAAGTGATAAAGATAAAAAGATTTTCATGATTGTGATACCTCTCCAGGTGAGTTTAATTTAAATAATTATCTTCATTTGTTTAATTAGCTGATTTTTCAACTTTAATCATGATTCTCAATTATTTTCCTTTTTATTAGGTTTTAGCTAATGTGGCTGAAATCATAACAGAAGAAAGTGAAGAAGGTGCATTTATGCATAACATTTGGCGAACAGTTTTCTTATTAGTTGATCTGATTTGTTGTGGAGCCATTTTATTCCCTATCGTCTGGTCGATCAGGCACCTTCAAGAAGCATCTCAAACTGATGGCAAAGCTGCTATTAATCTCTTAAAACTTAAACTTTTCCGTCGCTTCTATGTTATGATCGTTTGTTACATTTACTTCACTAGAATTATTGTTTTCATTCTCAAATTAGTAGTACCTTTCCAATTTGAATGGCTCGACGTATTCTTCCAACACGCGGCCACTCTTCTATTTTTCATCTCAACTGGATATCATTTCCAACCTACTCATAGTAATCCATACTTCCAACTATCACAACAGGAAGATCTCGAAATGGAAGAAGTGTGAGTATAAACCGGCAAAATTTAGTTACTTCTTACCTTAATCAAAATTACTTGAAAAGCTATTGAAAATAACACATGGTTTTTTGTTTTAGACGCTTTCATTGTAACTATTGACTAAAATAATTTTTCTCCTTTCTTTTCTCAGGCTATTTAATGTTACACCGAATGTCTACATCGCTAGCTCAACCAAAAAACGGGTCAAAGAGAAGGAGAACGAAATTTCAGAGGATCGACAGACATTGATAACAAAACGAGAAAATAGTCATGATTTTGAATAAATTGTTTTGATATATGATGTAAAAAGATTCTCTAAATTTTTTATGCAAACAATCTGAAATACATTCTTGGATAAATAATCGAGTAAAAAATACATAATAAACTCTATTATAAATTAAAGTCACTTTAACGAACAGATTTTACTGAGTCTAAGATTAAGTTTTTTAACATCATTAAAGCCTCTGGTTCGTAATCAGAGCTGTTTATGTTAGCATGCAATACAATGAAAAGAAAAATTTTAAAGATGAAACGCGATATCTAATAAAAAATTTAAATCTTGCAGTAATACAATAGATTTGGAGCTTTAAACGTTTATTTACTGTAAGAAAAGTTAAGGCAGTTTTACAGATGCAATTTGAAAATTGAAGCATAGAAAGTTGTTTAGGCTAGACAAGGGAAAAAGAGAAGCAAAAGATTGACTCCTTTTCTTCTCGAGTCTGGACTCTCCTCAACAAACTGAAACATTACATTGAAATGCGCCATCTTAATTGTTATATTTAATTATTTTTAAACATTATACTTTCTAGATTAGACAATCAGTTTCAACATCTGACAGTTTTTACATTCCCTACTTTGTAACAAAATTAGTCTGATTTACTTTACTTCTTACAAGTTGTCAGCTTTATCCTTGTTACATCACCAACAACTACAACAGTAATAATAACAAACCTCCATTACCTAGGAACATTGTTCCATTGCTTGCCAACTGTCTTTTATTTTGTTGTCAACTGTTTGTTTGCCCTCAGCTTTAAACTCGACAAATCCTTCATATTCCATCATGTCTGTTAATTTTCAAGTCACCTTAGTTCGACAGTAAGTTATATTTTTGTATAGTCCTTCATGATATCTGTAATATCCTTACCCTTCCTGTTTTGTTTACTTCATCCGTCGATCCTTTGTGTTTTTCTTTGTTATTTGTACCGATCTTCAGCTTTACTACAAAGCTATTGTATTTTTAAGTCTAATTATTTCTTATTCTTATTGATTGCAGTGGTCAGACAGCTGCAAATAAAGCTCAAATTATCCAAGGTAATGCCGATGTTCCTTTATCTGATGTAGGAAAAAACCAAGCTACCAAACTCGGATCTCATTTCAACAGAACTGGTGCATCTTTTACTCATGTTTATGCTAGTGACCTATCTCGAGCTTTGGAAACTGCACAACTAGTAATTGGTGATAAACAATCTATTATTACGGACAAAAGGCTGCGAGAACGTGCTTTTGGTGTTGTTGAAGGAAAATCAATTGAATCTTATCGTGCTGCAGCTCGTGAAGCTGGCTTCAAAGAGAAAGAGCTGAGTTATTTCACACCTGAAGGTGGGGAGACCTTACCACAGGTTAATCAACGGGTCAAAGCTTTTTTTACTGATTTAATTGATCATCTGAAAACTTCGCAACCTGAAAATGAGAGTAAAATTCTTATTGTCACTCATGGAGGGGTTATCCGAGAGTTCATGAGATTCTTTCGTGATGATTGTAGATGTGATTTCAAGGGAGGTGAAATAATGATCGTCACGCCCAATACTGGAGTAAATATTTTCAATATTTCTATTCTAACTGGAAATAAAGTGAAAGCTGAAGTGGTCAAAATTCATGATACCACTCATCTACAAGGAGATAATCCAGAAAGTAATTCTACTAAATCTCAAGTCAACGTGAACGATAACCACACTGACAAAGGAAAATCTGATGATGATGCTCCACCGCTTGTGGCCCTGTAAGGAACCATCCCAATCTTTACTTTTAACGGTTCTCAATTTTGACAAAATTAACCAGCTAAATTGGAATCTCTTCCATTCGTATTTCTCTCTTTCTATTTAAACCGTCATTTACTTTAAATATAAACAGATCTAAATCTAGTCAAAAATTAAAAGAGTGTCAACATAAGAAAAAAATTGGATGATTAGTGATTTAGTCCTTTGTTTCAATTCAATCAAGTTTTCGCTTGCCTTTTCTTCTTTAGATAATTTAATATTATTCATAATAAGTTATCTTAAGTTTTAATTAGCAGAAAGCAACTTCGAATCAATGCCAAAAAATCGTCGAAATCAATTTTTGTTCAATAACTATTTTTTGTTAATCATTCATTATTTATGATATTTATTTTTATCACATTAAATTGAAATAAGTGGTTTCGTCGATTATCTCATATAGAGTTGGCTGTCTAAATGATATTTTTTTAACTTGACAAATATTTAGTTATTCTGGTTTCATGAATAACTTTTGTAATTGTAAGACAATTGATCCAAGGACAAGATTATCCAAGTTGTGTAAGTAAATGTTTGTTCCAAGCCCTCGTGAGATTAAATTACTGAAAACATGTCAAACTAGGATTATATGAGGACATGAATGAACAGTAAACTTTTTAACAAAATGAGATATTGCCGATCAAATAATTTTAATTAATCAATCGAAGTCAGTTACATCGGAGTTTAGATGAACAATATTGATTAAAAAATAACAAACTTACATAATTACAAATATGGGCTTTGATTAATTAAATTTTTAGTGACAGATGCCCAGTACAATGAGTAATTAGAGAGTGAATCGCCCTTTTTCGCGCAAGATTAGGCCTTCAATTGAATAACGGAGGGTCCATAGACAAGCGTCGACTGATCGAGGATCGGGATCTTTGCCGCCAAAAATACTTATTTGATTGATTGTAGGATTTGACCCGTCGACTGATGGTCTTAATACGGTCGATGAAGGTTCCTGTCTTTTAGTTGGTAAAGTCTAGAAAGAAATTTAAAAAATAAAATTTGCATAACTGTTTTCAAGTGATAGACGTAAACATACCTCAGAAACAATGTTAAAGTCAACATCAGTCAAATCTCTATCGGTCTTATTAATAGCTGTAAACATGGCGATGACAACATCATATCTAGGAATATGTGGTCCAATAGTTAAGAAGCATTTAATCTGTGGATTATCGAGTAAAAGAATATGGCGACGTTCAGCTGATTTCAGTGAGTTGAATAAAAAAGGCAGAGATTCAACAGGCGGTGGAAAATTTCCCGGGAGAAGAGAAGATGTTGGTCCCAACGGAGATTCTGTTATATGATCTGGTACTACCAGGGGATCGCCAATTTGTTTATTTGCTTCAATTGAGTAAAGAAAAATGGAATCAAGCTCTAAAAAAGATGAACCTTCACTGATTCGTGTTGTTTCTGGTGCTATGTCTGAAAATGAAGGTCGGTTTGGCAGACAAGGTTGCAAAATATCCTTAAGAAAGTTAACTTGGGCATTGACAATACTAGATTCCACTCTGGGCAGATTATCAATCATGTTTGATAAATTTTGGCCTATCAAGGTTGTAGGGGCAAAATTTTCGCTCAATAAATTTATTTCACTCAACATTGCGCTAGCACCAGCAATATCTTGATCATCGGTAGGGGATGGTCTGTCATCAGTTACTCTGGTTCTCTCAACACTTTTTGCGATTTCGGATATTGGATCAGTCATGGTGATGAATTGTAACCTAAAATTTGAGTTGATATTTAAAAGTATCGAAAATTTAAAATATATAAACAAATTGTGTAAAGTAAAAGCCAAAGAAAATTAATTCACACACGTTATAAGATTTTAAAAAGAAGAAATAATGAAAAAAAGTAGAATTATAAGTTGAACAGTGAGAAAATGATTTTTTAAATACTCACCAAAGAAAATTAGATGTTGATTGGTTTTCATATTTATCGGCTTTCAATTCAAATATTTATTTCGCAATTTTAATTTGGTAAAACAAATTTTTCAATTTTATAGTATTATTTCCTGCTCTAAAGATGGCACCACAAGATGGAGAAAATTTTTTAATGAGTTTTTCATTCTTAATTAGCATTTAATTTGTAATCAAATTCAATGGAGCCAACAAATTATGGTTCCATTTCTGTTTGAATGACATATGAATACTCTTTGTACCCAGTGAAAACATCAACTAGTTTTTATTTTTTTTATTGCATCAATAACAATATAAAGTTCTGACTCAATATTCAAAATACGGAAGCAGTTAAACTAACGTTGATAATTTAAAATAACTAATCAAATCACTCATGGATGGTTTGCCATTGAAAATCCTTGTTTCTCAGACGTTAAATTATCCAAGCAAATGACACATTCTCATTAAATATATGGAGTTAGCAGGTTACATGAGATTTTCATATTGAAAACTTCTCATGAGTTAAACAAAAATTCATTTTCTAACACAAGGATCTGAAAGTCGATCCAAAAACCGAAACTGGGGAAATTTCAAAATCAAAAGAATCAGAAGCAAATTAGCAACTTGGAATATTATCCCAAAGTTTGAAAAGTTATGCATTCATCTTCTTACAGTGAAAGACTTACTGTACAGTGTACACCAAGAAACAAATGAAATCTATTCACAAATATCCACACGGAAAGAAGAAAAGATTATTCGGTAACATTTACCGTCAAGATTCCTGGGGACCTTTTAAAATTGTAAACACTCATTGTAAAAAATAACCAGAACTTCAAAGGAAAGGACGAATCATCAGTTCTTCGAGTTAAACTTTATCTTACAAACTGAAATTCACTCGACTTGAGGGTATCTGTTTGGATTTGCTCTTTGTATCGAGTACTTTCTTTTTTTAGATATCGATATCTCATTCAATGCAAGGTAAAAAAAGGATTTATGATTCTCAAACTGTGAATCTTTAGGTAGAGCCTATTTGCACATGAATCGTGTGTAAATAGGCACCCAGACTAATTACACAAAGTGCACCTCCAACGCCATCTCATAAGGGAACTAATGTTGCGGAATGTTTTTGGATATGTGATTACTTTAAATCGTCAAATTTTAATTCAGGCTTAGCCTAGTGGGTAAAGGTTGGGTTAAAGTGGAGGAGATTTTAGGTTCAAATCCCGGTGCTTTATTTTGTAGATTAGTTTAGAATTAGAATTTTTTTAGTAAAATTTTGTTGATTATTAATTGACAGTGAATCAGATTTAATCTTATTTTAATTCTGCCTTTAACCAACACACAATTGTGAATGTAAAATTTAAAATTTCATGTGTAAAGTTGTAAAATAAAAAGCGCGCTCGACTCCTTGCTGATCCTATCGATATCTCATTCAATGCAAGGTAAAAAAAGGATTTATGATTCTCAAACTGTGAATCTTTAAATGAGACTTTGTTGTTATTAATTTATTTTTGGTTATTGGAAAACTGTGAATTCAAGAGATTTTTATTCTTGGCTCTTCTCCTTTTTGCACATTTTTCCTTTCTATCAACCGTGTTAAATCTAAAGACTGATTAAGGAGATTCGTTTTTGCAGTAAAGGTATGTTTTTTGCATTATTTTGACATTTCCTAGTAAACATATGATTTTACCTGATGTCTTCGTTTTCTTTATTGTTTATCATGTTAGACTGATTTGATAGCACCCTGTTCAGTGCAACACGCTCGTTTTTGGCTATTTAATTTTTTAATGCTCCTGGCTTTTGCTGTTAAAGTATTTTCAAATTCCAACTCATCATGATATTTCAAACGAACCTGAAGGCAGTCATGTATGACATTTGATCCAATTTTTCATCAGCAAGATTAATGTCATGTTTATTGGCAAGTTCTTACGTTGAGGGTCAGCTTAGGCAACTATCTAAAAATGAAGGAATTAGAAAACTGTGATCACAATGGACCAATCTTATATGTTCTGGTTGTTGGATTTCATCACAAAAAAGGCTGTTTAATTGAATACTGCTTCCCAAAAATGAGGCACACAGAAGATTCAGATGGTAAAGAAAGTGATATGGATGGAAACGATGACTCAACAACCAATGAAAATGACAATAAAAAGCCTTTCAAACTACCCAAAGTTTGGCGGACTTTACCATCAATAGCTTTACCTGATGGTGCTCACAATTATGATCGTGATACAATTTACTTTCATCTTCCACATCCTGATAGGCCGCTATCCACAATTTATGGCATCTCATGTTATCGTCAAATTGCTTCGGACCGACTGCATCGTAAAACTGATGATGTAACTCGGGGAACAGTTCAGAAAAGTGTTGTCCTGCTCAGTGAATTACCGTTATATGGTTTAATTGCTGCTAAATGTGAAATGATTACCTACGCCTACTTCAATGAGTTTGATTTTTCCAAGGTAGACTGTTTAAAGGAGCTTTATTTCAATTTGAATGGGTTATTGACCGAAGAATATCTTAATTCCAGTGAAGTTTTTCTTGGACTTTCCCCTCGTGATCTAATTGCTACATTCCAACATAAAATACTCATTCTTTTTAAATTAATTCTACTCGAAAAAAAGGTAATGTTTGTTTTAAATTCGTGAAATCAAAATATTTACCAAAAGCTAAAATTGTTTATCTTCATCTTTCTATTTTCCACTTATCTAGGTTTTATTTTATAAATCACCTGTTAAAGACTTATGTACCATTATCTTGACATTACTTTCTTTATTTCCCGGTATGATTGAAGAAGGCGGTCTCGATTACTCTTCAACCTCAGTTGTACCAAAACCATCAAGTGGTAGAAAATTCTCAGGAGATATTGAACTTCTTGATCCTTTAATTCAAGAAATAGATGCTAAGGAAAAGGAGTTGAATTCTTCAAGATCTAAATTAAAGTCTGAAACAATTGAAGACTCTGCAATCTCTGATAATACTGACCGAGAAAAAGACGATGAGCTTTTACTAGCAGAGAAAGAGGATTGTCCTAATAATAAAGAAGAAGAAGAAGTAAGCACCGAAGGAATCACCGAAGGAATAACTGAAGAAATCATTGAAGGAATTATAAATCAAGAAAATGAATCCGACGAGCCCGATTCATCAATGATTACTGCGAAAGATAAAAGTGAAGAAGTGAAAATAGTAACAGATAGTGATGATAACAAGACTGAACAAATTGAAGTATTTGATGATATTGACAACGATGTATTGAACATAAGTCATGATGATATTGAAGTAAAAGAAGATCAATCAAAAGATTCTCAAGAACATACTGGATCATCAACCCCACCACTTTTCAAATTACCTCTATCAGAATGTGGTTTACCTCTTAGGATATTTGGCAATGGTTCTTTCTGTCATCCATATTTGTCAATAACTTATTTGGATATTTTGAGTGACTCCAGAGTTAGATCTTGTGTCGTCGGTGCTACTAATTTTCTATTCAAACAAAAGAGAAATTTATTTGACATTATAATCGAGGTTGATGGAGCCAAAATTGAGATTAATGATCCCGAATTAAGGAAAAGAGTTACCCTTTCAACGGAAGACCTAAGATTTGCAGACTATCTGGTAAAGGCAGCACTGGAAGGGCAGGTAATTAATAAAAATTCTAATACTGTTCAACTTGTACCAAATGATGGTTCTTCTTGGGAGGGGTGTGATGATTGGCTACGCTATCAGTTCAAAATATATCTTCTTCATCTTCTCCGGACATCTCAATGTGAAGGCAAGTGTTATTTAATTGTATTCATACTTTTATGTTTCTCTCTTTATTCGTTATAACAATGGATAAATGATTAAAGAACTCAATTAATTAAACCTTTTCCATTTTATTCTTGCTTTTAACAGAAAATAGCAAAGAATATGCTTCTTTCAATTCACTCTTCATGGCCAGTTGGAAGGAAACTTACAATTATCGTCTATGGTCGGCTCTTTCAAAACCTGGTATTTTTGAGGTTAATCCTGGTCACCCATTCCATGGACAGTTGAGCATTGCTGATATGAAACTCAAACTATCTCAAGCCTTTTCGAATACCGAAAGGGGTAAAAAACTTAATCAAACATTGGGCCAAACTAGTAAAGCTGTTGGAGGTGCACTTAGTTCAGCTAAAACTGCAGTTTCTTCTTGGTGGTCTTCTCAATGGAATTCAACCAATAGAGCTAGAGATGTTTCTCCTACTAATACTTCATCCTATTCCCTATCTGGTCTTCTCAAATCATTGGATAAAAATTCATCAGAGGAACCGGCACCTAAAGAAGATGTTTAACTTCAAATTGAACAAGCTTAACATTTCCAATTTCTAGTCTGTACTAATTACTGTTCTCAATGCAATGTGATTTTTTGTGTGAATGTAAACAAAGACGTATTAATATAATATTTATAAAAATCAATGTCAAAATGAATTTGACAACAATTCTTATCATGAAATCTATTATATGAAACTTACCAAATAAAATCATAAGATGTACCATGATGTTCAATTTCTTTACCAATGAACAATTCAATAAACAAAACCATTGAATCAAATCAATCTTCAAAAAAAATCTTTATTTTCATATTTTACTGACGATTATTATTGTTGTAAATTTTGATGAGTTATCTATTGAAATTGTAATTGCACTTCAAAAACAACAATTGATTTGATACGATTTCACCCCAATTTTTAAGTGAAATTAGTCATTAAATTTTACAATCAAATTAAGGTTGAATTCATTTGCGTCGGAAACTTGGTTGACTCAATCACCAAATAATACAATCAAGAATTGATGATTTTGCTTTCCTTTTAATTGATGTGTAAAGCATTTTATATAAAAGATATTTTAATTATATTAGCCAATCAGTCTCATCATACACCATTAAAGATGTTTTTGCACCTCAAACATTGAACCAAGCTTTGCGAGTGATGACAGCATTTAATCATCAATTTATGATTCCATTATTGTATTTTATAACGCTAAATGACAGACATTGTCTGATTCCTTACTTGGAATGATAATTGTTGTCCTAGTAGTGTTGATAACCATACCAACAACAATAATAATAGTTGGTAATCAGATCAAACTTAAGGCGTCTAATTGTTGTCTCTTCATTTTCTTGTTATATTTGTCTGTCAACTTAACGATTTCTTCCATTCATTTACTGGTGAAAAAGTAGGTGATAATCAAGGATAAAGATGACACCAACTCAATTGTGAGTAATCAAGTGAGATTGTTATGTTAATCAATTAGTCAAATTAGCTTAAATAAAGAATAAATATTAACAAAAGGTAAACAAAATTAAGAGAAAACTAAATCAAACCCATTGAAAGTTTGCATATTAAATACCGAGCTTTCTGTTCACTTCAAGTCAGTTCATGTTTTAACTCCAGTTGATCAACTTGAAACATCTTTCTCATCTAACAAATTGGAAAAATTTTATCCATCAAACAGCCGAAATGAATACTTTCACCGTTTTGTGTTTCTTTATTGTCTCCATTGCATGTTCATCAGCTCAAAAAGAGACCGAACTGAACAACAACGAACCCAATGTTGAAGCAAGTAATGGTTATCCATCAGTTGCTAGATCAAGAGTCCGTGCTTCAAATACCGTTGAGGATGATTATCATGTAAGTTAACTGATCTATAGATTATTCCGTTGCTCAAAGTGACTTTATAGCAATGATTGTTTTTGTTTTACATCCTCACAGCCAATGGAACCTTATGCTTTTGGTTACAATGTGAAAGACGATTTTGGTAACAACCAGTACCGAAAGGAAGAGGCAGGTAATGATGGAGTAGTCAAGGGTTCATATGGTTACACTGACGCTGCTGGTCTCTATCGTGTTGTTGAATATATTGCCGATAGATTGGGTTTCAGAACAAAGATTCGATCCAATGAACCAGGACTTAAAAGCATGTCCTCATCACATGTTACTCTAGACGCTCAAAACCCACCTGAAGCTATTGCTGCCGCTGCTGCTGCTTCATCACCAAAAGAAGTTGTTGCTCATCCTAAACTATCTTTACCATCATTGCCATCCCCACCATCACCCATACCAAGTGGACTTAATCCTCGATTCAGATATGTTGCCTCTGCTAGTGAGCTTCGACCACAGCCATCAGAAAATCAACGAAACTAACCCAAGAATCCTTACACTTTCATACCAATCAAATTGGTAATAGACTATTTTTATAAGAAAATATTGTAATAACCAAATACACAATTTAAAATTGACTTTTCTTACTCAATAAATTAAACTATTTAACTTAAATGAACATAATAGATGGATTGATTTAAAACTTATACCCATTGGCAGCATTGACGCCATTATAAAGTACAAATAACTTTAAAAAATGTGTTAATTAAACAATAAAATAAAACTTTCTGTGCAGGTGAAAGTTGAAACTTCGATTGTCTTTTGTCCAGCTATGCAACCAGATTTTTTTACGGGACTTAGTTTACTAATGTATCTTTTAGTGATCAACAAGAGAGTAAAATTATTTTGGTGAACAGAACTTTAATTTTCCTTTAAAACAGATTAGTTCGACTTATAGTTAAACCTCACGCATTCTATGGTCGTAAAAGCTAGAGAACTCAAATTTATTACCAGCGTAGAAAAATTGTCTGTTCACATTATGGATCAAATACTTCCTTCGTTTCACCAACAGTTCTCTTAATTTTGGTCATTAACCTAAAAACTTTAAGCCTCGATATTTCGAGAATGGCATCATTTACAATCATAATTCATTCACCAATTTAATCCTTCACTGATTAATAACTAGATTCATTCACAAAACTTGCAAAAACAATGCATTTTTGCGTTCTGGTTACGATATTCCGGTCATAAATGTATCACCAACAACTTATTTTGCAAAATAAACTCATAATAACCAATATCTTGCTAAAAGAAACAATTTTCTGGTTAATGTTGCAAACGCAATGCAAAAATGACTGCAGAAGGATCGAAAATTTGAGTTAAGGGTTCAAACTTGGTGGGTTTTGTAGGGATATGTAAACTGAAGCCATTGATGCTATTAAATATTTCATCCGATAGACAGTTTTCAAGAAAATTGAGGCCAAAGTTGAAACTTCGGTCGCCTTTTGTCCAACTGTGCGACCAGATTTTTGCAATAAAATACTTTTTTCTGATCTAATTTTTGATGGCTAACAAGAATATGAACTCATTTTGAGAAATAAACTTTCCTTTTTCATGTAAAACACATAAGTTCGATTTTAATTTAAACAGACTTTTTTCAGTGACCATAATAGTTAGAGCGCTCAAACTTATTGTTTACCCATAAAAATTGATGCTACATAATATGCATTGAATCTTTTTTTCGCTGGATCAACAGTTCTCTTAATTTTTGGCCATTGATCTGAAAGTTTTGAGCGTCGATATCTTAGGAATGGCATCATCTACAATCATTATTTTGTATCGCACATTAGGCTGCACTATGGACTATAGCACAATGTGCTAAATACCTGAGAAAACCTTTGCTAATTCATTTAATGATGAATATAATACTAACACAAGAGATTTGTGTTTGAATAAACATTTACCTTTATAAATCAAGCTAACATCTGACAACATAAATAATAGAGTGCTATAACTTTTCTTGTAGGATGTTGAATACTTTAATATTTCAATAAATTATAACGCATAACGAAATCTGATGTGCAATACAAGAATAATGATTGTAGATGATGCCATTCCTGAGATATCGACGCTCAAAGTTTTCAGATCAATGGCCAAAAATTAAGAGAACTGTTGATGCAGCGAAAAAAAGATTCAATGCATATTATGTAGCATCAATTTTCATGGGTAAATAATAAGTTTGAGCGCTCTAACTATTACGGTCACTGGAAAAGGTCTGTTTAAATTAAAATCGAACTTATGTGTTTTACATGTAAAAGGAAAGTTTATTTCTCAAAATGAGTTCATATTCTTGTTAGCCATCGAAAATTAGATCAGAAAAAAGTATTTTATTGAAAAAATCTGGTCGCACAGTTGGACAAAAGGCGACCGAAGTTTCAACTTTGGCCTCAATTTTCTAGAAAACCATCTATCGGATGAAATATTCAAAAGCACCAATGTCTTCAGTTTACATATCCCTACAAAACCCACCAAGTTTGAACCCTTAACTCAAATTTTCGATCCTTCTGCAGTCATTTTTGCATTGCGTTTGCAACATTAACCAGAAAATTGTTTCTTTTAGCAAGATATTGGTTATTATGAGTTTATTTTGTTAAATAAGTTGTTGGTTGTGCATTTATGACCGGAATATCGTAACCAGAACGCAAAAATGCAAAGTTTTGTGAATGAATCTAGTTATTAATCAGTGAAGGATTAATTTGGTGAATGAATTATGATTGTAAGTGATGCCATTCTCGGAATATTAAGGCTCAAAGTTTTTAGGTTTATGGCCAAAATGAAGAGACCTGTTTATAAATTGAAAAAAGTATCTACTCCATAATGTGTACATACAATTGTTATTGAAGATACATGAGTTTCAGTCCTCTAACCTTTACGTTCACAGAATACTGTCTGTTCAAATAAAAATCGAACTTATATGTTTTACAAAAAATTCAGCATTTTATTTCGCAAAAGAAATGCATTTTCTGGTTGATCATCAAAAGCAAAATAAGTGAAAAAGAGTTTTGACCAAAAATCTGCTTCCATCGCTGAAGAAAAGGCGATCGAAGTTTCAACTTTGGCCTTAATTTTCTATAAATCTGTCCATCTGATGAAGTATTCAAAAGCACCAATGTCTTCAGTTTACATATCCCTACAAACCCCACTTAGTCGCAACCCTTAACTCAAATGTTCGAGCCTTTGGCAGCAATCTTTCCATTTCATTTGCAACATTAACCAGAAAACTGTTTCTTTTACCAAGATATTGGTTAATATGAGCTTGTTTTGTTAAATAAGTTGTTGGTCGTTCATTTATAACCCAAATATCGTAACCAGAATGCACAAATGAGAATTTATTTTGTTGAATCTAGTTATTAATTAGTAAAGGAATGAATTGGTGAATGAATTATGATTGCAAGTGATGCCATTGTCGAATTATCGAAGTTCAAAGTTTTTAGGTTAATGGCCAAAATTAAGAGAACTGTTGGTGAATCGAAAAAAGTATTTTCTCCATGATGTGAACAGTCAATTTCTATGTGTTGTTAATAAGTTTCAGTTCCCTAACTTTTATGGCCTTAGAATGCATAAGGTTTAACTAATAAGCGAATTAATCTGTTTTAATTAAAAATAAAAGTTCTATTCCTCGCACTAATTATATTTTCTGGTCAAGCATCAAAAGATACATCAGTAAACTAAGTCCCCTAAAAAAATCTAGACGCATAGCTGGACAAAAGACTATCGAAGTTGCAACTTTCACCTACATTTTACTCAAAAACTATTCATCACAGAATGTTCTAGATCACACAAATGGACGCAGTTTTCATGTTTCTACAAAATAACAGAGTCTAAATTGGAAAGAAATTTGTTTTTCGCCCGGTTTTATGCACTTTTGTCTGAATTCGTGCCTAATCGTGATAATTGTGTCTGTTTTAGTAATAATTTTTCTTTAATTTCAGCAGATGGCATTGTCGGCTTCATGTTTTAAATGTACATTTACATCGCAAAAAATTGTCTAAAATTTTTAGATGAAATGTAAAGTCCTAACCATTAAAACTATTGTACTAAATAAGTTTTGATGAATGAATATATGAATTTATCCTTTGATCTATTGACCTCACTCTGTTTGTAGGCAAGTTCACCTTATTCCAATGGTATCTTGACTTCATCCAAATGTTATCATTAATACTTTCAAATTAATACAAATCTTAATGAGCGAATTTATTTAATCGGTAATAATTATGATTCAGACAATTAATGTTTCTGTTAGCAATAGATTATGAATATTTCAGGATATTTCATCCGAGATATATATCCATTCAATATAAAGGGACAAATGACTGTATGTTTCAATAAACTTCAAAATAGATTAAAACTTTATTTTCAATTGAAATGCAAGTGCACCAGATATTTAATTGCCTTGATATAAATTCATTTAAAATAATCAATTGTTAAATCAGAGGTTCCTCGGAGGTTTTAATTTCCATTAAATATTTTAAATCTAGTTTCACTCGCCATTTGTGATCGATACAAATTCATCTTAATCAGATGAATAAAGGACAAATGTTGTTAATGATCCCAAGGTGAGGTTATCCTTTGATAATATTGGCAGTATATTACAGTGATTATCATGTCTTTAATTTCAATAATAATAAGATTGTCCTTCTTCAACTGCCATTTTAAATTGATGAATGATTATCATTGGAAAATACCTTTTTCATTACAATTCATTGACTATTGATATTGATTGTCTTCTATTAACCATGATCAATCCCTTGTATATCCTAAACTTGCCTCTTTCTCCTCTTTCTTTCCCAACTTCATTTCAAGTTCATGTTAATCATGGATTTGATGACCTTAACAGACAACAGTTAACAGTTAATTTACCTCAAGGTTTACCGTCTAAAGAAGGAGCATACATAAGACGATGTTGAACAATAACAGTAACAACAGCAAAAATTTGCTTCGATCTGCAACCAGATTAATCAATTTGGAAAGTCAACCCTAATTGCTAACAACCCTGGTTCAACCAACATTACGATTGACTATCAAATTATTTCAATCGTTCATTCAACTGTTTCAAACTGAAGAGTAACAATAAAAATTACTAACTTTAAGTCAATCTCTTTATTCTGAATCTTATTTTTAGAAGATCTTGATTCAGATTCACGTGTAGATTCAGTTGTTTGAACCATAATCTGATGCAACTTGTTATTTGTGAATTTACTTTCTACAAAAATGGTTAAAATGGGAAACATGTTTAACATTAACTGAGTTGTAAACAATTTGAAATTGCAAACCATCTAAGAAATACACAGAAACGTAGATACAGCATAAGAGCTTGATTATTGAGTCAATAAAGCTCAATGTAAACCCACTTTACTGGTAAAGGTTGTAATTATATTTAAAATCTATGTGTTTATCTAATAACTGTTACCTTAGTTGAGTTTTTAACATTGGAATGGGTTAAATAACATTGGGATTATTTCATTACACTGGGTTGCTTGAAATGATCAACACTTGCACCGTTGGATCTATTAACGATGTTAAATTTGTAACCTTTGTTTAATAACCTTTGCAAGTTATGCATTTGTAGTTAACGGTGAATGTCAATGATTAACAATGTAATAATGTTACTATTTTCAACAATAAGAAAACTGTATCTGTTAAATGTTCATTTCCTTTCAATTTTAGTAACATTAGAAGTGAGGCCAACATCATCAGTCAACCAAAATGATTACTATTTTCCGTTATTTACATGTATAGTGGCACAATCATTAAAATATAAATCTACGTGAAAAAGACAATTAATAATTTAAAATAATGGTTACTACAAAATTAAACAATGATAGAAGGTTAATCAATTTATGGTTCCATAATCAACAGTTGATTTATTTGACAACAAATGAGATTCATTTGGACTATAAATCCCATTTAATTTAAGTCCATATCTGCATATCTGAATCTATTGCTCTAAGAATAGCACACACAGCAAAAATCAGGTGCAAATAGGAAATTTTAAAACAATGAAAAGCTGTTCACTGACTTAATTTCAATCAACAGTTATTTCACTTTAATTGTGTTGTATAATAAAGATTTACTCAAAGTTATTGCCTACATGATTATCAACTGATTACCAACATCAAAATGGAAATATTTTCACCATAAACCTTAGTCGCCTAAAACAAAGTCAGGTAAGATGACTTAACAAATTAACATTTTAGGTATCAATTGTGTAAACTTGACCATCAAATCCTCGCCAATAAACTTGATGATGATATCATGATTATGATTGTAATTAACATTGAAAATGTAAGAAACAGAGTCTTTTATTAAAGATTAAGTTGGCTTTTTGGTTCCATGTGGATCCACATAACCTCGGCTTTAAAAATGAACAGATATATTACAATCTACTCTCTACTATGCAATTGAAATAATACATCTTTTTTTGGTATGATTACAATTATTATTATGATCGAGGTTGAGTTGAACAATCGATAAATTGCAAAGGTCAATCGCACAATTAAAATCAAACAACGTTTACCGCTGTTAACTAAACTCAAGGATGACATTGAAGTGTAACTCTTTTTCACCATATTGGAGGCCATTTTTAATAATAATTGAGCATTAGGATTAACGGAAAAGACTTTATCTTCCTCAAGGTTTGAATCACTCTCTTATCTTCCCATGCTTTATCTATCTTCCTTTTCCTCTTTGTCATAAATTAACAAATGATTGACCTTAAAGGGTTTACACTCATTACCAATGACCAAAGTTTTCCAGTCTCAATCAAAACCACAGACAGGTTACTACTGATTATGATGAACATCATCATCATTATCAACGTCTTTTTTCAAGGTAAGTTTATTCAATTTTATTCACTCATTCATTTAACTGATCTTGAAGAGGAAAACTTAAATTACGGAAATCAATTGAATACAATTCAAATAAACTTTCATGGGCAATTGATACATCAATGTGTGCATTTTGTAACCAAACCCATCCAAATACAATAATCAAGTAAACAAACTCACACAATTCAACAAGACAACTAATTCCTATCATTTTATCGCTTAATAATTATCTAACAAAAATGACAAATTTGGTTGGTTCTTTAAAGCAATTTAAGTATAAAATTACCAGCAATTACCAGTATTTGCATTTGAATAAAATTTCAAAGATTGAATCAAAAACGCCAAAAACGAAACTCGTAAACATATTTTCAAAAGCGCCTAAATTTAGTCTCGATTTACTAATAACAATAAGACTTGAAATTTCCAGCTGCCAATGGACTTGATATTCAACCAGAAATGAACCAGAAAATGGGTTACCAAAAAGAGCAAATGCTCTGAAGATTTCGAGTGAAACCAGTTTTTTAGGATTATCTAAGAGTTTGTCCATTAAGCTGTAATCGGTCGATTAATAGTTGAATTGTAATTAACCATAATGAGGGAATAATTAATTTAAATTGATGATGTTGGAGGAACAATCGTTAACTTGATTCATTGTTAAATCCAACTGTTTCTGGTTACTGGTTTTGCTGCTGTTGTTACACTCCAGGTTGACCTTAAACAGCGTTTAATAACTATCCTTACTGACCTTGATTATGTTAATCTTGGTTGTTTGGTTGAAAATGAAAGCTGATTTCCGTAAACATTAGGTTAATAATAGTAACACGTTAAAAATATAACCCAAAATAAGGATTACAATTGAAGTTAACCCGGAAGGCCGTTGGTCTTTTCTGGTTTCATACCATTTCTTACATTACCAGGTTACCTGAAAAAAAGAGACGAGTTACAAGGTTAGTTAATGATAATAAGGATTTGAAAGATAATTGTTATAATGCTTTAAATCAGCATCAATACATTTTGGGATTGATAAACCTTGCCTTGGACAAGTTGATTGATTGATCGGTTCACTGTTGGCTTTTCTGGTTCATCATTAGTTAATGATCATCGAGTAATCAATGATGTTATTGACTATCAATGAAAGGTACAATATAAGCTACAATTTAGTTACAATTTAATCAGGAAGTCTGAATGAGTGAATGACTTAATGTCTTGTAAACTGTACAATTTGTGTATATGCAAACGAGTCAACCATTGGCTTTTCATTTGGTTAACAATTTGACGGTTTGGGTTGTTACAGGATTAGATTATAATCAGTTAATATTGAAAAGGTTAACCATTTATTGTTCAATGGAGGACTATAATTTGAATAAACAACTAGGAAGGTGGAAAATAGCATAACATTGATTACTCAAGGTAGCCTCATCAATAGATATATTTTTCACCTTCTTCTTGTCAATCTAATCACTTGCTCATAGCTGATATTAATCATAATTATAATACACATCAACAATGGTTAAAAGGTTGAAAAAATAGCAACAAATAATCAAAATAAAATATCTTCAGGAAATATCGTCACCTAAAAAAAACGTTATGTTCAATGTTCAATAATGAATATGAACACAGCAAAACAATGTATACACATTAATAATCCAAAAATAATCATTTTGCTCTCAAGTTTGTTTTGCTTGATACAAAGTAACAATTTGATCAACCTTGTTCTGATCAGTCTTGTTTATATGATTTGTAGACACAACAATCAAGGCACAATTTAAACAAAACAAAATTAACCATAAACAGGGAAGCTAAGGAATCTAAAGGCAAACGGTTGATCAACAGGATTTATTTTGATGTGATAAACCAATATAGACAGCATTTCATGGTAAACTTAAAATATATAACTATTCAAAGATGAATGATAAAATGCTAAAGGAAAATAATTATAATTAAAGTCTTAAATTGTAATAATTATCAACCAAAAAAGGAAAGGAAAGGAAAGCGCCAACATTTGGAAAACGCGCTTCGGTTCATCAGCTGATGCAATATTACAAACTGGTTAACATGTCTTGTGGTATAGCAATGGCATTGATTTTGTTGAAGTTACCTTCTTCGTAATTTATTAAAGTTTATAATAGTTAATTGTAATAATGTTAAGAGTAACATTGAGAAATAATTAAATTGTTAATGGTTAACCGTGAAGTTAAACGATGGTGAAGGAGAAAGATGAAAGTCTCAAACAATTAAAGGTTATCAATATCTTTCCCTTTTACCATTCACTTTGTGTTAAGTGAATGTTCATAAGGTTATTCTAATTGTTGCTGATGTTCCTGTTGATCTCACTTTAATATTTATTGATTGTAATAAGTAAGTGTTGATAATTTTCAATGTTACATGTAATCAATTCAATGAGACTAGCTGTTAATTACAATGGCAATAGCATCCAAGCAAAAATGGTTAAAGCAAGGCAAATGGTATCCGCGTCCATTCAATACACTATAAAAATTGTTAATCAATCAGTTGGAGGTAACCAGAAAAAAAAGACTTAATCATTATCAATGTCGGAACAACCCGATGATGATGATGGTGATCAAAGTCATTGATAATAATTTTTTCATAAAATTATTAATGGTAATGATGAAATACAATTTACCTTCCCATTACCATGGACACTTTGCCTTCATATTTCCAATGACAATCTATGTGTATTATAGCCAACATTATCCTTGCAAAAATCAAGGTTCATCATAACTTCTTCCTCATCACTTCATAATCATCATCATCACTTTCATCAGCAACATTTTCACCATCGTCTTCATCATCATGTGGTTCTACAACAATGATTTACTTGGTTTTTGTACATTCAAATCAGGGTTAAATTTTCAATTGATATCATCAAATCTCTATCATCTTAGCCTTCGTACATATTATATTTCAATTTAATATCCACGTTAATTCAAGTGATAAATAGTCAAGTTAATCAATATGCAATCATTTGTAATGTAAAAGTTTAAAGCATCGAAACATTGAGAAGATTGAAATTCATGGATCATAACTGTTTCAATACTAATCGAAGCTGTGCATTGGGCTTATTGGTTTAACCATTTCTTATGAATCGTTATGATTATTATCATCATCTATTTCACTTCAACTCACGTATTAGATACCAGAAATTAAGCTTGCGTTGAACCACATAGAAACAGTTCCAAATCTATGTTTAAACCTTAAAATTAGGACAAATTAACTTACAAATATTTACACACTTCTATTATTGTGTTGCTGTATTACAAGGTTCAACTAATTATATACATGGGTAATCATATTGGGTTCATCTTTATTGGATTCAGTCTTGTTGGATTAAAACTAAACTATCTAGTGAGACCGAACACACAATTTAATTGAAACACCTAAAATTTAGAGTTGCACATTTATACCTATCAAATGTTGGCATTAACTGTAATCTAAACAGGAAAGGGCTTGCCAGTAGAAAGATCACAATTAACAATTGATTATATCAAGTCACCAACGATAATTACAAAGTTAACATAAAAGCTCATGTAATGTTAATAGGAGTGATAATTTTCAGAGATTCATCCAAATTATCATCTCCTTGACCTCGTTTTTATAAGCTTATTAACTCGATTTCTTCATCTTAACCATTGTCCTAATCAGCATAATGAAACTAAATGGTATAATCGACAATGATGAAAGGTTAATCTTGGAGATTCATAATTAGCACGTTATATAAGTAGTTTATTACAAACAATTAATAAAAAAAGGAAGCACAAAACACAATAAAACTAAAGGTTAATAATGATAAAGCATAAAGTCAACCAGAGAAAATGTAAACAAACCAGAAAGAGGCGCTCATTTTAAATTAATCAACCAGAAAATTTTTAAATGTCGATGAATAAAATTGGGAGACAATTTCAATTAATTATTATCTTCTCTTTATATTAATAATAATAATAATAATTATAACAATAATAATAGCAATAATAATAATAATAATAATTATAATAATATATTTGATTGGTGATGATAAAATGTTGGATGTCTTCTGTTGTTGATTGGGAAAAAAACAATAACAAGAATTTGAAATTACAGATTGATAGAGTGAAGGAATCAAATCTAATTGAACAGAAATTTATCCATTTTTTATTGTAAAATAAATCGGTAAAGTAAAATTTATAAATTGTTGCCTGTAAATCCAGTTTAATCCCAGAAAATAAGATGAAGGATTGAAAGATGATTGAAGATAATTTTTGTCATTTTGTGATTTTTTTAGTAATTATTTTGGCTTTTTTGTATTGTATTTTTTGGCACAATATTATGGACGTAATCAGTTTTTTCACCATCAAGGTAATTAACAATTAACAACAGTATAATAATAATAAGCTTATTAATCAAGTCACCTCCAAGTCCTTTCAGTCTATCAACCAAGATGAACGTCTTGATATATTATATTTGAATCTTTCATAATAAATCCAACAAATGTAAGAAGCTTTTAAAATTTCCTCATTTTTGTATGTTTATCATAAATTTACGGCAATATTGATGTATTTTAATGATAATATTTCCCTTTCAGTTTGATTGTCTTATGTAAACATCAAGAAACTAATATCATGGTGATTATGATGAATATCTGGATCATCGAGATTAACGTATCAATAGTTATGAAACATTGTATGTTATTGAAAATTTGTTGTCAAAAGTAGAATAATTTTTAAATTGTTTAAACTAAGATGATGATGATGATGATGACACTAAATCCTGGTGGGAATCGAGGTGACCAAAAGAGGTAAATTAAGTGACTTGAAAGGCACAAGAAAACCTTTGTTGAAACATCAATAACGATTGAGCGGAGAACCAAAAAAAACAATTGACCTTAAAGGTCATTAAATGTGTCTATTGTCATAAATAAGCTTTAAAACGTTTTTAATCACTGCAATTATCTGTAATATTTTCATCATTATAATCATCACAGTGTTCATTGGTATTACTAGGTGATCCTATTGACGAATGGTCATTACCATTGGTTTTGTTGTTATGCGTGGTATGACCGGGATTAATGGATGAAGAGGGTGAAGAAGAGGTTGAAGATGAGGTTGATGAGGAAGTTAATGAGGATAAAGCTGAGTTGACAGGGGAACCATTGGTTGGTTTAATGTAACTTTTCAATGAATCAACTTCATTGGCAAGCCTTTCCAGTTCCCTTCTTAAGGTGAAATTTTCCGTTTGAAGGTTTGATTCAAGGGAGGAAGCCAGGGCCACATCAATTCCACCAGCTGATAATTTATCACTTAATGAACAATCGACTCCGTTTCCGTTAGTATCACTTCCTGAATCACTGTCATTCACCGTTGTACGAGCCTTATGGCGCAACTTGTGAGGTAAACATGAATTAATTCCGGGTATCATTGAAGATGTGGCAAATGAAAGTGAATGGCGATGATGAGAGTGATATTTGTGGTTAGAGTGATCGCTGCTTGATAGGCCATTTGAGGTTGGTGAAGATGATCGGTTAGTTTTAAAAGGTCCGCTGGTAAATAATCCGTTGCTTGTTGGTGAAGTTGGTGAATGATGGTGAACAAGATGGTGATGGTGAGGCGGCGAGTTGTGGCTTAATGGATGATTGTTTGAGGTTGTGGTTGATGAAGGTAATGGTGCTGATGAAGGTGAAGTGGTTGATATTGTTGAGGTTGATATTGGACTGGTTAAACATCCATTGGATACGATTCCTTCATAGAGTGAGGAGGACGATGACGAGGGTGATGAAGCAGTTGACGGCATCATTGGAAGGCCATTTAATTCATTTTCACCTGAGAACATTGGAAAAGTAAATTAAATTAGTAAATTGGTGAACATGTTTTCATCAAAAATGTATCTAACATTTTATCAAACTTGTAATAAGCTTGTAAAATGAAGTAATTTTTGATCCAATTCATTTGTCCATTTGTTCAACAATTGATAACCATTGAGATTATGCATCAATTGGTCTATTTCAGGCTTACCTGAATAACCATTTCCGCTCATGATAGAGTTTAATAGCTTATTCCGTCGACCTCGGCAACCGTTTTCAGGCATTGATATTGATACAGCGTCAGGGTCGACAAAATGTTGATTTGAAGGAAGACCAAATTTTTCTTTGATTGCACAAAGTTCAGCTTTAAGAAATGCATTTTCCCGGGTTAACTCAAGAACTCGAGTTTCCAAAACCATGTCAGAGATTCGTCGTTTTTCACGAGATCTAAATTGCAACAGTTGAAAATGATTAAACAGAGGATAAACATTTGAATCATTAAATTGACATTGTAAATTGACTAAACATACCTTTTAGCTGCTTCGTTGTTGCGTCGACGTCGATCCCAATAACAATCATCTTTCTTTGAATCTGGAATAAATTCCCTTTGCTTGCGAGATGAAAATAAAGGACTTGTTGGATTTAATCCATTTGTTGATGAAGATAAATTGTTGCTCCCATTATGATTGTTGCTATTATTACTATTGTTGTTGTTGGATGAAATTGAATTACCGTTATTGGTGTTACCATTCATCATGCTTTTCATTGAGAAAGGTCCAGGTGAAAGGGAAGCTTTGGATAATGATAAATTTGTAAAGGTAAAAATGAATAACTCAATTTCAATTTCAATTGTTGATATTTTAACCAAATATTTTACTTACAAGGTAATGAACCAAGTAGATGAGGAGGTGTAATTGAAGTATTAACTGTTAAATCAACTGGCGAAGGTGACCAACGTGGTTGCTTTGTGTTTAAAGTCAATTCACCATTTTCTGAACAAGTTTCCATGTTTACCTGGCTATGAGGACCAGAATGAATTGGATTAAATAACATAGTTAACATTTTCACTGATCAACTAAAACCAAAACCCAAAAAAAGAAGCAAAAAAAGATAGAAACACAAAAGTTGAAAATGAAAAGATCGCAGTTATTGGGATAAAAATGGTAATTTGCCGTTTTCGTCTCACAAAGTCAATCATTTGACTCATTTAATCACATTGGTAAAGTCACTGGACACTTGTTGGTGATGATGAGGATGAGGATGACGGAATGATCAGAGATGATCAAAAGAGAGGAATAAAAGTGATCAGAAAAAAAAAGTTTTTGCTTGATATCTGAAAGTCTATGTGAATACTGATGTGTGTTTACTGAACTTAGAAAGTAAATGAAGACAGATGATGATGATGAAAAGTGTGTGAGTGAGGCTGAGAGAGAAAGTGAAAGAGAGAAGGAGAAAGGGAGGAGAAAGTATCATTGAGTGAGTAAAGTGAATAAGGAATGATAGTTTTTTTTGTGGTTGTTGTTTTTTTTCAAGGGAATCTTGAGGTGCTTTCAAGGCTTTGGAAACGATTGAAAGGCCGTTTTCACTAAAATCTGTCTCGTCTTGTAAAGATACATTAGCACACCGTAACTATTTTTACCCTTAAATTTGCTAATCTTAAACACAACAATTAGTTAAATGATGAACAACAATTAAATGATGTTTACTTGAAAAAATGATGTTGACTAACATTTTGCAACATTTGTGACTACATTGAGTAAATACATTGGGAAATCATTTCAATGTAAATGGCATAAAACTGGTTAAAATGGGTTCTTTGGGTTCTCTGTAACATTTGGATTAATTGGTTTCTGGTTTTGGTCAAAGAGGTGAACATGATTAACTTGATTATCATTTTTGTCATTCTGTGTTGTGAACTAAATAACATGAGATTATTTGAGATGTGATTTTGGCTCTCAATGATTTTAGGTTTTGAGACTTGGCATGAATAGACGAAAAAAAGTGAAACAAATTGTTCACAGATGAAGATGCAGATTAGGCTGAGGAATGGTAATACAGACTGATATTGTTCTTGATTGTTCTCAATCCGGAATAAGACTTGGACAAGATCGACCTCGAACTTTGGGTTTTCAATTTCATCTTTTTTTTCCGTTATGATAAAAGTTATACACAAAAAAACGTGAAATTAGGCCAAACCTGATAACGACTATCTAAAGATGGGTTGATTAACAAATAATTGAAACTAGCAAAGAGTATATGAGTTACTATTATTGTAATAATTATTATCATCGTTTTTAGCAGTTAATGTTATTATCAATTGGGTTTATAAACCTTGAAAGTAAAGTATATATTTATACAAATCAAACTTGATCTTCCTTTAATTGTCAAATGACATTCAAATTGTCAACAAAACCTGGTTCATCAATTGTAATGTTTGAGGTAAATTTTAATCGAAACCCAAATTGAACCAGATTCAAGATTAAAAGGTTTCTTTCATAAGGATTGCATTCATTTTGTTATTAGCCTTTCAATTTTTAAACATTTTGTTGGTTTGCTCTTCTTTTTTTGATTACTATTAGTTGTTTATTAATTATGATCAATTGATGTTACCTGTGTTGCCCTTGAAGTGTTGATGATCAAGATGATAATAATGATGGGTTTGATTGGTTATGATCATCATGATCATGGTCATGATGTAAAAAAAAATGGGAATCATCTTGATCAACATCAATGATCATTAAACAATTGACACAATGTGAAGTGAAAAATTCATTGTGACCCAGTTTAATTATATCAACATTATGCTGTTGATTATGATGATTATGGTGAGGATGGTGAAGATGAGCACACAGTTAGATTAAGAGCAAGAAGTATTGTTATTATTAGTAAATTGTTATCGATTGCAATCAATCTAATTGGGAAAAGTGAAACGTTACAAATGTTTGGTGGAGGATAAAGATGAAGGTAAAATGGGTTTTATTAGTTAATTGTTGTTGAGAAACAAAAAATACATGCAAATGTAATGAGGTCTGTGTTAACAAACAACGATAAGATGCATTGAAAGCATTCAAGATTAACATTTTTAGATTAACATTACGTTGGCAAAGGAAAGCGAGAGTAACGTTTCATTTATGGGGATGAAAAGGAAGAAGATGATGATAACTGCAAGATTACCGGCTCATCTCACTTTCATCTTCTCTCTCTCTCTTCATTTATCATCATTCATCTTCACCAGTTATCTGAATTGAGAAGGAAGAGGAAGAGATGGTGAAAGTGTGTCAGGGGTAAGCCTGGTATCTGTAAAATGTACACAAGGTTACATAAGAAGAGGAAGGAGAGGAAAAGAAAGAGATAAAGGAAAGTGAAAGGCGGTTATGGGTGGGTAATGGGGTTGGTAAATGATGACTGAGTTATAACACTGGCACTTATTATAATTTTGTATATTACGCTACGAATTAATATGACCCAGCAATTTGGTTAAGGGAAGGTTAACAGCGTTTTGCTGGTCGCCGCTCAACTCGCTTTCAGCTTTAAATCAGCTTTGCCTAACCAACCTTTCTCTGTCTTATTTTGTCCTTCTTTACAACCCTGTCTTTACCCGGCAAGGTTAAACCATAATTTTGTTTCAATCATAATTTTAATCATAATTGTGATCATAATTGTGATTATTATAACTGTTAAGGTCACATTAAGTTGTTTGGTAGAGACACAGACTTTTCCCGCCTTCTTTACCGTTTAAAAGTAAAATAAAAACAAAATGGATGTCTGTTTATGATTTTAGGTTAGGCATGGAGGTTGATACCAATGTGATTTATGGCCTTTAAACGGTGGGTTTATTGGGTTGATGGGTTGAATAAGAGGATGACTATTCAGGTAATTAACAGGATTAATAAGACTGATTACATTGTGCCAATGTTTGGTCTAGTTAATTGTAATTTAACAATTGTAATTTGTCATTGGCTTTGTTTGTTTACGGCAGATTCTAACGACTCTAACAGTTAGTCTATGGTTTGGGTTTTGGGTTGAAATTAAGTTTAGTTTATTCTTACCTTTTCAATTAATGTTTAATTAAATTAGATCCAATAGTTAATGTAAACATGGATGAAATAATCACATTACAAAAATTTGACGCAATCAAGATGCTAATCCAATGTTGATTCACTGTTGAGTATCAAACGAGGTTACTTTTGTTTTCACTGTATTTTTGTTTTTTACTGGTTAATGGTTTAAGGTGCAACTTTAAGGCTTACCAGTAATTTACACTGGTCAACAATCAAAATTAATGTTGTTTCCCTTCAATAGTTAACATGATTGTCATCACATTTAAACAATATTTACAAATGGTAAATGAAAGGGTAAAATGAAAAGAGTTGAAAAAGTGAAAGTTGTAAGTTGAATGGCAATAAGCAAAAGATAACCACGTGAGTTGATGAAATGAATAACATGAAATGATTCTTATGGTGAAGTTACGTTCTTGGCTTCATCATCATCATCATCCTAATCTTCATCTTTCTTTTACTCTTTCTGTCTTTTGTCTTCTCCCTAGAAAAGTGTTTAACATTTCGAGTTCCAATTTACTTTGAGCAAGCTTCAATTTCTTACGTTTTTTAGTTCAACAAGTTACAAACATAGCTGGTTAAGATGATGAAAGTGATGTTGATGATGATGATGATTATAAATTTGTTGAGATATTTTGGATGTAGACAGAGAGAGACAGTGAATTGTGTTAGGTAAGTCTAATCAAAAGTGTTGAAGTTGATTATGTACCAAAATATATTTGTTTTTTATAACTTATCTTCATCTCCTTCATCCTCATCTTCAACATCATTCTCATGCTCACATGTTTTACTTTCTTCATGTTACTTCACCATAACTGACCAATGGTTAGTTCCATAAGTTTATCCCAGTCTTGAGTTGACCTTATACATGGTTTAATGTCATGTTTGCCAGTTTAATCAACATCACCTTTTTTTATCTAATTAGGAATCAAATGTTAAATAAGATTTTTATATTTATTATCATTATATACATTAAAATTAGTCTAAATTGTAACTCCAATTGTTGACTTTTCCCAATCATTTATCATTGCCTTTTTCATAGCAATCTAATCTGATCAGCATAACAATTTACTAACTGTGTAAACATGAGAAATGATCATGAGAATCAAATGTTCAACAAAAAGTATGGAAAAGCACCAAAAAATGGAAAATCCTTTCCATGGAAATTCAATGTTAAAGTCTTGATTATCATGAATTGATTGAATAATGGTAATGATTAGAGATTTCAAATTTTGACCAGTTATTAAATAAGCAAAAATAGATTATTTAATTAGACCAAAATTATAGAATTTTAATCAATTTTTTTGATCATGAAAATAGGTGTAAATTGAAGAGTAAATATTGGTAAATAATTAGAGTGAAAATACAAATAATTAAATAAATTTTTCCCTATTATTGATCGTTTGAAATAATATTACTGTCAGAGGTTTAAAACTTTCTGGTTTACCTGATACGATTGAATTTCAGTCTTTCAGTGACCAAAATTTCTTGGTTAAAACATTGTTGTCTGTAATTTTGGGTTGAATTGGATTGATCTTCAAATTTACAATTTAAGCTGTCCTTTGTATTTAAAATTGGGACTGTTCACAAAAAATGACCAGAATGAATACGAAATGGACATTCCGTGGTCGCACAAATTTTAATTTGTAATTAGTTGACTTACAATTTGTATTTGTTCAATGACAGTTTTCAGGCTAAAGGAGTAATTGTAATTGTGACTTTTGAGCTGAGAGTTGGGATTTTTTAGGCTTGTAGTGGCATAAAAACTGAGTCCATTTGTCCTATTGATAGTTTTCGACTCCAAAGTTGAAAATTCGATCGTCTTTTTCCAATTATGGAATCAGATTTTTTCATCAAACTCATTCCTCTTTCGATGGGCAATCAAAAATGCTCTTATTTTGGGAAATAAAATTTGCTTTTCTGTACAATCTTTCACTTCGATTTTCGCTTTAAACCTGGTGCTTCGAGGGACTGTAAGAGTTAGAGAGCTTAAACTTGATTTTATGTATTGAAATATTTGAAATCGTTCATGATGCTACACAAAAAGATATTTTAGCAGATCTGATACTTGATTTTTAAAGGTAAATCGTTATTCAGACACTAATATTAAGTGTTAAAAGGATGTTCACTATTACAGGAATTTGGTCAGATTTTCTGTTCTTCAGTCGTATTTTATTATAGCCAATGTTATCTTATAATTGTTGTAAGAATGCTGATCGTAAGTGCCGCTATTCTCGCGATATTGTCCAACTAAGTCACATTTGTTACAAATATCTCTTTAGCCTAAAAACTGTCATCAAACAAATAAGTCAACTAATAACAAATTAAAATTCGTACGACCACGGAATGTCCATTTCGTATTCATTCTGGTTATTCTTTGTGATTTTTGGTCTATTTTGGTTTTTAGTGAACATCAAAATTGTGTTTACCGTTTTTTTTGCTTCAACAAACAAATCTGATTGTTTCTGGTAACATCACCAAAAGCTGTTTTCATGTTCACCTCATCAAGTGATTTCAACTGCAATTAATTATTGATGTTTATCAGTTAACCATTAAGTAATGACAGTTAATCATAATTTATTACAATAAAAAAGGGCAACTTTTGATCAAAATTTGTTGATTGAATGCTTGTCCACGAAGAGTTTTGTCAATTAACTTTGATTATCAAACGTAGTTTCTAGTCTGGCCAACCTTAGATTGTTGACGATTCCTATTTAGTTAATTTTAAACATATAATCCTTGAAATGAGGATAAACAATTACAGTTACGCCATTTATTGATTCAGGAAAGGTTAATCATATTAATTTCATTCAACTGTTTTTTGCCTTCCCATCATCTTTGCACTCCAAGAGCAGAGTAGGATTACGTTCGGATAAACCTTTCTTTCCTTTTCATCATCCAATCTTCATCTTTCTTTTCCTCCTCTTTTATCATCATTTATTCATCATGTTTTCACGTGTGTTACATAACTATATTTGACTGAAACGTGACTTTATTTCACGTTTTTCATGGAATTATTAAGATAGATTCAGTAAGACAATAATATCAATCCCAATCCTGGAAATTTGATAAACAACATTCACTTTTCCTCTCAACCTTAAACTCATTTCACCTTTAAACCAACTGGACAGTTGGACAGTTGAATTTCATTTCCATTGTTGCCATTTCAACAGTTTTGATAAGGTCAATCATTATGGAAACTTGTTGATTCATTTCATACTGTTTTCACATCTTATATCAGACATGAAATGATTTAGCTATTATAAGTATTATTAGTTGATAGCTATACTTGAATTAGTTTTAAAGCTAAAATTTAAATTCTTAACCAGCATTTGATATTTAATTGCAATTATTTTGAAGCAATCCTTTATTAGTCTGTGGTTGGCTTTTGATTGAAACTACTGGTTATGTGATGTTGAAAAAAAACATATCAATCAAACATATTAATAGACTAAACTTTGAAGGCCTTTACTGGATTAGATTATATTATTTTGGCCAATTAAACGTGTCTTTCCGATCAAGCTTTCAGCAAAAATTATGAAAACACTTGAATAATCTTGTACAATTACGATTTTAGTTGAGTTTGTTTTTCTTGATTGATTCAAAACAAATTTACCATTTAATCTGACGACGTTGTTGGTGATTGAATGACTAAAAAACTGATTTCTTATGAAACATTCAAATGTAAATTTGATCAAGTGATGCAAGTTAATCTGCAAATGAGTAAAAAAATGTGTCAATATGTTATTATGGTGAATCCGATTTTTATGACATTAAGCTTAATTCAGGATATATTCAACATTAAATATCCATTATCCATCAACTTTGCTTTTCTTTCTTTGAATTTATACACATTTCTGATATGGAATTGCTAATTATCGGATTGACTAATTAAAAGTCAAATACTGATTTGAATTTAATTTTCCAAGTGTTAATCTAAACTGGATTGCTTGATGAGAGCTAACGATTGACTAAGTATTGTAGTTACTTAATGATTCCTGTAGACATTGTCATTTTATAATATTTATAATTTATTTGTCATTTATCTTTAGAGTATCAATAAAGTATTTGTCACATCTCAATGAATTTCATTTGAATCTATCATGCTTATAATGAAATAAAATTAAGAGTCAACTGATGATGTATATGTAAAAGGGATGAAAAATAATACAAAATATAATCTGATGCTGATTGTCAAATGTGGGATTTATCAATCTTCTTGAGATTCTTCTTCAACCTCTTCATTATCGGCGACTGACTCAGACTCTACAGAACGGGCAGCTGATTCAGTCCTTTGTATAAACTGTTGATTCATGTCGTGAACGAATTTGTGAGCTCGTAGTTGGACATCCATTACGCTAGCTAAATTAAAGCCCATTCTTTTTGCCATTGAAGGTGATAGTGATATTGGATAGGGCAACGGTCGATCGATTGATTGGCTCAGAGATCTTTCGTTAGAAAAGTCAAGAGGAGCAGATTTATCGCTTGACAATAGTTTGGGGAAATATTGTTCCAATAGAAGTGGAGACAATTTGGCTCTCAGCTGTTCTTCAAACATGTTTTGTTGACGTGCAGAGGATGACACAATATCATCGTAAGTGTAACAAAGGGGAGGTTTTCTAGTGTCCAATATTTGTCCAGTTCGGATTCCGTAGTAAGCTAAGGGTCTATTTCGGTTCATTTGAATGAAAGATCCGTCAGGTCTTCGTTGTAAGCCATCAAGTAGATTCATATTCTGAGGTTCAGAGTTTTGCCATTTAGACCAGATTCGATCGATATTAGCATGATGAGGGTAGAACAATAAACTGCAAAGTAATACATATTTTATATTTTAATAAATTTGAATAATTAAAGATTGATTTTAATCAACTTACTCAACAGGTGACCAGGATGAAATCATATCACCAACATTTCCTCCAATACCAAAATGCATTGAGTTATGAAGGGAGTGCTCTAAATTTTGTCTGAAGGTATCATAGCTTGATGAAGTTTGAATTATTGATGTTATAAAAGCAGGGGATTGCCAAGGCGCTATGGAATTGGCATTCGGCCCTTGAAAATTGCGACGTAAACAACGAGTCTCAGGATAGCCTATTGAAAGATTTGCTTGAATACCAGAAGAGACGCAGTAATTATTGTTTGGGTTTCCATTGCCACCAAAATATGATTCAGAAAATACTCTACTTGTATGTGGAGCAGTAAATTCAGCAGCACCATCCTATTAGGAAATGAACGCATGAAATTCGTTAAAAAATTTTTGTTTACATTTGAAATGGAATGAGTTTAAGGTTAAAAATTAAATAACTTACCCAGTAAGGTAAAGCTAAAGATGGATCAATTTGGCGAAGTCGAGTCTCAAAGTCATGTAGGAAATAGCGATGCCAAAGTAAAAATTGAGGCGAATCGTGGATGACAGCAAAATGATCATTATGAATTTTAGCTAATTGGTCAAGATCACCATTGAGTGCCATTGTACGAAAAGCTGATACATAGGTCTTCCATTTTTCCGGCGAGATTGAGAGGATATTTTCCCTGGTCACTATATTAGAGCATTGCTGTGCATTAACATAATAGATTAAACTCACTAAGGTCACAATAATAAAAAATAAATTTTCAATTAGATATTTCATAATTAATTTAAACAATTTATACACTTGAAACAAACTGCATCAATCAAACAAAATAAAGAAAATGAAGGGTAACTCTTACCTTCTTTTGTTTTACTTCTTATATTAAAAGCAATAACCTATGACAACATATTTTAAATTTGATTTGACCGTTAAACTTTCAGTTGTTTTTTCAATTTATCAAATACTAAAACCAATACCATTTGATAATCATTAAAACTGCCTGATCTAACCGGTAATTTGAAATTTCCGAAGATTCAAATTTTTGTAATTTGAAATTTCCGAAGATTCAAATTTTTTTAATCATAACTTCGCTAATAAGGTTCAAGCAATCTTTTACCTAAATGTTAAATGACGGTTAAATTATTGCGTCTTTGTTATTTTCATCGTATTTTTGCGTCTTCAACAATCTTTATTATAATCATCTTTATCTCTTAATCAACGTAAATTAATGATCAGCTGATTTAGTTAATTGAAGCCTTACATAGAGCTTTGTGCATTTTAGTAGATACAGTTTGCGCTATTTTTGAAAGAAAGGGTTGTTGAAATAGCGAATAAAAATGAAATAAATTTACTTTTGATTTAATTAATCCTTGAGCATGTAAGGATAAGCAGATAGCAATAGCAGTAAAGGATAATAAGACAATAAGCTGATGCATTGATTTACAATTAAGAGTGAGAGAATTTTTGTTTTAAAAAAATTTTGGGTTACATTTTTAGTTTTGTTTCGTTGGATGAACAATTTGATATCAATGTCAAATGGAGAAGAGAGTGATGACAAGATAATTAGCATTGATGATTTTATCTTCTTCATTTATCTATGTTTGAGAGTATCACAGAAGGAAAAAAATTTCACTTTTGATTGACAATAAAAATTAAACGTATTTTACAATGGTAAGAACTTGTGATGGGCTTTGATTTTTGTTTTTATCCAACACACAGAAAGGTACATTTCTTTGATAATAAAACACTTGATATTAAACGAAATGTCCACAAATTAGTTTTGAAAAGAGATCCTTCCAGTTGCTTTTTCATAGCGATGGGTTATTCTTTACCACAAAATTAATTTGTTCCCTTAATTTTCGTGATTGGAATGCAATTTTTTGTGCAAATGTTTGAAGATACTTCCATAATTTATTCATTTTGGATAATTTGAGTCACATTTCAAATTTCGTTAGACGGAAAACATGATTGGATGTGATTATGATGGAATTTAATAGCTGATTATCATCTTGAATGAATTAGTGGTTGAAATTTAGTCCAAGATACGCTTTCGCGTACATGAATGCAAATGCTTATGTTACAACAATCTTGAATATATCACACTCAAAATATTTATAGATCAGCACCATGAAAAGAAAGGAGCTCGATTTTGGAATCTTTGAGTAAATTGGTCAGCCATTACTCTTATTCTTTTTTTATGGTTACCTCCGGGAGTTTCTCGACACCTTTCAACAAGTACAGCAGGCATTTGAACGAGCTGAGCCGGACTTTTGTCTTCCTTCAAAGCTTGAGTCAGATTGAGAATCTAAATATAATAGTTAGAATAAAAATAGTCATTAATAACTTTACGTAGGTTGCTGAAGTAGCTGAAGTGAAATATGTCTAATTAAAAACATTTTTAACCAAAATATTCCATTCGCTATCCAGAGATTGTAAATGCTTACCTGTCCTCTCATAACTGACATTTGTTTTTCATAAAGATTTCGGTCGAATCCTTTATCAGTCTGCAAAAAAAGAAACAAAAATTTAATCAATGGCTGAGTTAAGTGGAGTATAGAATTAATTGCGACTTCCAAAAATACGAATCAAGTAAATAATTTTTATGTATTCTATCTTGTAATACTTTGATTGAATCAACAAAAAAGAAAAATTATGAAGATTTCATATTTGAAGCATCATTTTTTATACATCATTGGTTAAGGAAGTTACTATTTAAAGGTGGAAACAATCAATATTATAAAATCGATCATTACGCAAACAGATGATCGTTGTAATTCGATGGAGTTATTAATCTACAAACTGGTAGCTGTAATGCGTAGAGTAGACAAATATACTAATATATCTGTTCAATTGCAAGATATTGAGTAAAGTGAATCATAAATTAAGCATATCATAAATGGTAAACAGAATGATTAGCAATGAGGAAGAAAATATTAAGCTAATGGAAGTAACTCTGAAGTTTGCGCATTTTCCTTTGACAAATTAAGTGGGGATTTGCTTTTCGTTGCAAGACCGTGATTACATTGGGTCAGAACTTACTTTGAAAAGTTCATACATCTCATCACAAAGCTCTTGAACGTAATTCATATCTGATAGTTGAGGCAGAATAAGGTCTTTAATCTCTTTAGAGAAAGGAACTTTAGAGTAAGGTAACCAAGCCCAATGGTAAGGATCTATAAATGAATGAAAAAGCATAAAAGAATGATTAGAATAATTTATCCAACATAAATGAATAATGCGATGTGGGTGAAAAAAATTGGAAGGATGTGGAAGTAAATTTGAGATTAAAGTTAACATACAAGCTCTCCATTCATCTGGATGTTTGAAAGGAAAGGCTAAACCATTGTCGATGGCTGCTATTTTGACAGAAGGTTCCTTTTTTTGATTCCATGATTCTGAACCTTTTTTTTCATCGGGCTTATTGTATTTAATCAGCCAATTATCATGATTTCTATCAGTATTCCTGATTATATAATCTAAAACAACTAATCTTTCAAATTGTAGTTGAAACTCTCGCTGGACACTTTCAGGCAATGGGTTATCCATAAATTGTCTAAGCATTACTGATGCATCTTCGTAGCCATGTACATATAATTGAAATGAGCCAACCTTCAAAATAAGAGAAAGATTTAAATAGTTAAACAAAATCATTTCTTTAAAGAAAAAAAACGCAAGTTGTGATTATTTTACCTTGGTCGGTAAACCGATTCTGTTGAAGCGTCTGCCCAAGTTAGGATATCTTTCAGAAAGGTTTTGTTTGGTACGTGCTTTGGCTCTGTCAATTGCTGTGTAATTAAAAGTTTTACTTGCTAACTTGATAACCTATTAATATTAATGGAAATGAAAGAAGAAAAATGTCGTGAGTAAATAACTGGAAGAGGAGAAGAGGAATGGACAGGAATAGGAAAAACAGCTGATTGAATGTAATTAATGAAAAATGACTAACAGAACGGTTAAGATAATTTGAAATACTGCAATTTTGAAACCATTTCATATTATGATTGTAATAACAGTCATGAAACTAGTTGTTCAGCAAGTTACAGATAGAGATTCAAGGCTGAATTTTCTTATTCATTTTAAAGAGAAAAAGAAATACTAATGGTAGTAGCAATTGTCTGACTCATTTACTTTAGCCCATTTTCAAAAGGGAGGAACATAAAATATCCTAGAGGAAAACACATTGATGAGCAACTATGGATAAAATGATCTAGATAACGGCGGAAAGAGCTTGAATAAAGTGAGTTGCTATATTTACTGATCGATACAAACTGGCATTAATCTAAAATAAATAACCAATAAACGTTATTAGGCAAGCTCAGAAGTAGACTAATAAAAAGTATTGGGTGATAGAACAATTAGAGAAAATTAGAATTTCAGAAGTCGACTAATTGGATTGACCCATTTTAAAAGGCGAGAAAAGGTGGAAAAATAATAAACTTAAAATACTGGGCTTGCACAAGCCTAAATTTAAGACTGACAAAACTAATTAGAGAGCAAAATGCGTCACAATCGGAAGCCTGGAGAGGATTTCTATACATTGTAAGAATTTCCATGAGATAGAAAGCTAATTAAACAGTAGTTTTGAAGAAGAAAGGAACAGAGATAAGAAAAAGTAAGTTGCTGGTTTTGCTGAAGCGTACTTTCGTTTTAGGGACTATATTTAGTTGTAACTTTTGGTCAACAAGTGAAGCTCCGGCTTCCGAAAGGTAGCCTTGATTTGGGACTAGGCAGCTTCTGCCGAAACAGCAAGGACAACACAATTTGTGCATCCATTTGGTCCATTTAGGATTTAGCCTTCCGTATGGTTCCTCATCCTTGGGTTTGAACACACCTATTCTTTTCTGAAATGAAAACAAAATTGCATATTAGTAATAATAAGAACAAAATGAAGGACAAAAATTTTATTCTAAAGATAAAATTAATCACAGATTGATGGGTATTGAAAATAAAAAATGCGATTTCAATAGGAGGTAATTTAAAAATGAAACTAATTAGTTTAAATTTGCAGCTAACGAGCTGCTAGCTTAAAGTGTAACTGTATCATATAAATCTGATGCCTTTAAATGTATTTGATTGTTTCTTGTTCAAGAATAATAGATTATGAAATGAGTAAGCTTTCGTGGCAGCTAAAGCCTACAGACAATGGTAGCTAACTCGGTGGATTTGAGATGCAATTGATGATGTTAGTAGTGGTGACAAGTGATGATAAGTGATACCAATTAACTAAACTTGACACCATAACACACACCAATTGGTAAAGTAATAGGCTATTACAACTTACCAGTTGGCAATTTCTGACAAAATAAGATCCACTTGATCCTTTTGAAATCCTTTCCGGATAGATAGCAGCTTCAATGGCAGTCTCAGCTTCTTTGACTATTGATGTAAATTCTGGATCATCGGCGAACACATTGTTTATGGAAACAACATCAGGATCCATTCTTTTCAATAAGGGCTGAGATTCTCTCAATTCTCTTTCACTTTGAGATGTTAAGCTGGTTGATTTGTTTGATTTAACAACAGTTACATCAGGTAAAAGACAATTATTATCACAAATCTCTTCACTACTCTCTTCCAAGCCAAAAGCCTTCAACTGTGTTTCATCTTGAGGGGAACTGAAACATTCACCATTCTCATTCTCATTGCTTTCATTTGACATCCTTTATTTCAGTCTCAAATTTCTATCTCTCCTTCTTTCTCTCTCACATACGCTTATCTCTCTTTCTCTCTCTTATCCTTTCTTCTCACCTTTCTATTTCTCCTTGTTTTTCTCTTTCTTCAATCTTTTCACAATACCTTTCTTCTCTCACCTCTCTCTTTGTCTTCTTCAATTCTAATCTATTCCCCTCTCTCTCACAAAACCTTAAATTTAAAAAATTCACTGTTATGGTTTTCTAGTCAACATAAGATTGTTTTAGGCTTGTTGAATTGCACATCAGACTCTTTAAAGAAACTTAGAGCATCACGGATGGTAATTGTAGAGAAAAGGGCAAAGATTTCACGTTATTGAACAGATCAGGGAAATTAATTTTAACCTAATTGAAATATTTTAATAAGCAAAATAAAAACACAGTGGAAATCACACAAACTTTACAATAGATATTTATTAATAAAAGAGAGGAGTTTTTTACTCCAAAGTGAATTGTAAATTTTGCCGTTAGAAGGCAGCAGCACAAGGAAGCGCGAATAATCAAAAATTCGAATTATTAGTATTCCAATTGAATGTTACAATCATATGATTGTTTATAAAATAACAAATTGAAACGTTTAACAATTTTAAATCAAAACATTTAACCAGAGAAAAATTGGAATTGAACCAAAAAGATCACATCTCCAGATTTGATTGAGAAGAAACTCGAAAACAGTTGAAAGAAACGAAACTCACATTTGTAGATCAAATCAAATTAAATATTAAAAGTAAAAATTGTAAGTTGATCCAGCTAAAGTGATTGCTTTTAGTAAAAATTTAACAACAGCTGTATAAATTTAGATTTAGATTTACCAATGGCTTCAATGAGTTGCAAGGAGTCAAAATTATAGCGATAACAATTGGCATAAAGTGTGATGATATAATTAACATGTAGTTGAAGTAACATAAATCATTTCCTCTTGATTTAATCACCGGTACACCGGATTTTACGCTTTCATATTAACAATAATATCGATGGTTAGCAAAAACAACAAAACTATTGAATCCAGTCAATTATAAATACTATTTCGTTAAAACTCGTACACAATGCATTAGCGAGTTTATCACAATAACAGTTGATTAAAAAAGATTGTATTTTATGACAGATGATTAAAACGAAAGTAAATGAAAGTAAATAAACAATTGTTGATTAACATTTGACAAAAATTCAAAGAGCAATCCTTTACTCTACTCAAAAATTGTTATTGTAGTCTTGCACCATCTAGTAGTACTAATTGAAAACATAAAGTCCGTTATTAATGTTAAACAAAGTGACGCGTTACATTAACTACATGCTACTTGAATCACCAATAAGGAAACCAATTATCTTCCATCGAACAAGTTAATCTCACAAGTTTGTCAGATTATTACCAGACACTTACAAGTCCATACTTGAAAAACCGCCCTACAAATGCCACCATCCTAAGCCAGATAACATTGTGGATATGTTTCTCACCGACCAATCAGTCCAAAACATCTTCAACATCTTACTCTACAAAAGATCTGAAATATTCTTGAAACTGATACAATTTCCTCAATCCTGCAAAGATTTTTAATAAACGGATAAACATCACATAAAACAATGTAAAGATTGAAATGCCACTAATGTCCAAGCCGTAGCTGTTGTCCTTCAAGCTTTGTCACAAATTAAAGAGTGGGTTGACTTGCGATTCAAGTGATTTATCTAAAGTTGGTAAATGGTTTTCTATTAAATTGTTATTTAACTCCAATTATTGGAGTTACATCACGCCATTTAATAACTTGACTAATACCTTTAAGAGTAAATTACAAAAATGGATAAAGTAACAATCTAAAGACAACTACACAGCCAGGTAAATGTGTGTAAAAGATCACAGCTGTTTAATTTTCAACAGTTTTTCCTTTATCAGTATGGGATTACTAAACCTCATCATGGTTATATAACATGGGATTTATCATCAGTATAATCAACGTTGATGTCTTATTTGTCTAAGTCAATATTGACAAGGTTTGTACCAAAATTATACACAAATATGCCACATCGATTAACGTTTGTTTGAAAATCAAATCTTGCCTCCATTAACGTCAGGTTCAATCAAATCCATGGTTAACATAAAGATTATAAGATAAAAATCAACTAAGTGAATATATGTTAATCGATTTGTCTAATGAATTGGTGATCAATGGTACGACTTGGAAAAGGATGAATTTTATGATGTCTATGGATCAAAATGCAGGATTTTTCATGATTAGTTTGCAAATTTAAATTTGAGTCGATCTTGGAAATAAATTGATCAATTGAGGCACTAATCTGAAGGTAAGAATGAAATATTTTGGTAGATTTCCAGAAGAGTTTAATTAGTACTTTAAGTGGATCGGAAATGTTTCATAATTTGTTTTTCCATATCATCTGTGCAACAACGAGTTTAATCAATATAATCAACCCATTGAGTTAGCAACAATTAGACCAGTAGCTAACTGATTTAATTTCATTATTCATCAACCAGACATAATGTTTTATTGATCAAGTAAATTGGTTAATGTTTTTGTTTTCCCAAAATCGTAAACAATTGATTAAATTCAATGATTGAAAAAGGCTCCATTAACAGATAATATTGATTGGTAAGGATCGTAAATTGGCCTTCGATTAACAATTTATTTACCTCAAGATTGAACACAGATTTAAAAGATGAAGTAAACTGTAAATAACATCATAAACTGTTAACTAAGCAGTGTTGGAAACAACAACAATTAACCAATTGATCATCTGAATAAAATTAGGTTTGTTTCAAGCCTTGAACTCATACAATTCAGATCTTTGACTTTATCCCATGCAATTGGACAATGTTTTACCGAGTATTTATGCAACACTTTAATTAGTTGATCATTCAAGTTAATCTTGAAATGTTATCCAACCACTGATCTCTTCATGTAGCCACACATACCTCAATAAATTACTCACCAAATTACTCTTATTCATTTTAATTGATATCATTAAGAAGACCATAATTAAATCCATTTCTATTCTTGTTAGCACCACAATGATTAACAATCCAAGAAAACAATTATTTTTAGACTTTGGGTTTTACTACATGAATGTAATTGAGTGACAATTACTTTCGCCAACCTTTCGTTACTCAAATTATCAAACAAACGATAAAATGATTTGCCATTTCAATCTTGAAAAGCTACAAATTAAATACAGAGATGGCGTTGTAATGAGAAAAATAACCGTTGAGAAGTGTTTGTTTTTTGGTGTCAGAAGTTCTTATGTTATTTTTTATTCAAATAATTCCTATTATTAAAAATTCCTATTGTTTTATCATTCATGATGAGTACATGTGTTTTACAAACTATTTAGCATGTAGATCGGGCTTCGATGTTACTGTATTAACATGGTATTAATGTGATGAACTTAAATGGTGAGATATTCAGTTTATCTGTGTTACAATCAACCACCAGTGAGATGCTCACAACTTCTGGATATTAATTTTTGTCATCTTACGCAAAGATAAAATTACTGTGCTTAATCAACAATCAACTTATTTCTTTTTTTATTCATTTCTCCTTCAATCTTTACTCTATTGACAATTCAGATTCCGAGCCACTCATCTAATTTTGTCAACCACCAGAATTATTGACACTTGTAATGTTAACTTTTTGATTTGAAAAGTGTTACCAAACTGTGTTTGGTATAAATTGGGTTTGAATTTTCTACCTGATCTCATATTTCAATCAACAACTCGGTGGATAATATTGATTATTAAGGACCCATTAAAAGTGTAAAATAATTGGAATTAAAAATGTCTTCTCTAGCAATCTGTTATGGCATCGGTTTTGTTTGTGCCTTTTCATTAACATCATTTTTGCTTTATTTTGTCTGTAAACCTGTTGTCAAAACAATCAATAGATGCTCGGATCGGACTCCTAAATTAGCAGCTATCAATCAAGCTCCATTGTCGCATGGTCGAGATCGAACTGTATCAACAATTTCTCATATGGTTTAACGATTGTTCATCAATTTTATTGTAGATGTTTGAAAATTCATCAAGGATCTGGTCAACATCATGTTCAAATTCATCTAATAATCATATTCATCTTTCCACTCAACATCAACAATTACCAAATGTATTAATCTCAAAACCAATCTTATTTTATTTATTTGTATTCCCTTCCTGCAAGATTGTCGACACATTGTACTAACTGTTGTTATCAACAAAATGATACATTTATTAAATCAATCAATAAAGACATCAGATATTCATCAAACAGTCTCTTCAAATCAACATTCGGATTCCCAAGTATGATTGAAGTCAAAGTGAGAGGAACAATAATTAATCATTTGCTCCAATAATGAAGTTATTCAACTTACTCAAATGCCTAACCTAATCAGACTTTCATTAAACTCATATTGGACCAAACCAACCAAATCATTTAGCTTTGACTTGAAACAATTAAATCAAAAATTATTATTTATTTACAACAAAACAAAAAAACATAATTCTCAAAATAGATTCTCATTTGATCAAGAAGGAATCAAAACAATTGATACGTTTCAACTCGACATTAACCAAACCACTGTTTAATGGATTTCCAAGAAAACCGACTAAACAATCTTCGATCTTTTTTACCTTCATTACAACCACAATGTCCATCATCTTCATCAGGCTCAATAGCACAAACTACTTTGCAAATGTCTTCTTGAGAGTGACCATGATTTGGATTCAAAAGACTCTTAATTGAAAATTTGGTATTTGAATTGTTACCAGTTTTCTTGTCATCCGTATTACCATTACCAATAGAGTTGCCAAATCCTTGTCTCTGAGGATTTTTTTCCAGTTGCCCGGTCAGATTATTGCTTGTGTCTTTAATTTTTTTACAATCACAATATTGATTAGCTTCATCGGGATCGTCTACACACATGTAAGAGCACAATTGAAGACGAGATTGAGAATCGGGTGATTTGCCGTCATTTTTGAAATAATCAGAGAGGGTTTGGTAACCAGTTGAAGATGAAGCTGCAGTCGATTGAACGTTTTCTTTGCTTGGATCATCACCTTTCATTTGACAATCACAGTATTTGGACGCTTCTTTGGGGTCCTCTGAACATATCAACGAGCACATTTGTTGTTTCATAGCTGGACTCGTTTCTTGCTTGAAATAATCAGACAAAGTAATTTGCTTTTGGTCTGATAAACCAGTTTCATCAGATTCCATAGAGTCGAAAGCTTCACAGTCACAGTATTTCTTGGCTTCTTCGGGTTCCTTTTTACAAACATATTCACAGAGTTCAGCGTGTTTTGAGCTTGGTTCAGGATCTGGTTGAGATGATGATCGGGTCAAAAGACTCAGCTTTTTAAAAGGCCAACCTGGTTTACACAATGAACTGTCGATTGAAAGGCAAACAATGAAGAATACAAAAATATGGCTTCTCAATGACATTTTAAAGTAGTTATTGATTCCCTTTGACTTGGTTTAGTTGATTTTAAATGAATAAAGTGATGTTGATTAAATAAATTGTACGAGAAGAGTTGACAATCTAATTGTTTGAAGTGAAATACATTAGAAAGTGAATGAAAATGAGATTGAATTTACTGGTACTAATCAATAGTCCAAGATGATGATTTGGATATTGAATTTGAAAATGAAATGAAATTATTTACTTTTGATAAGCATAACGTTTAAAATTGATCAACCTTAAATTATTACCTCCTTTTTATTTGAAAAGTTCATTCACTTTAAAAATAATTTTTTGTTTTATTAATCGATAATAATGATAATTAATATAATCATTTGATGAATATAAATTAACATATCTAAAAATATAGCAACATGCAAAAAAGATAGATGGATGGATTGACAGAGAAATTAATGGACTTTTTTTAGAAATTAACTTGATTAGAATTGGACGGATTAATAGATGAATGATTTACGGCTATACCATGTTATAAGGCTTTGATTGGGTTAGACAGCTATCATGAATGTGTTTCAGTATCAGCTAGCAGTGAAAGAGGTGAAGATATCCTTAGTGTTGGTGGTTCGAAGGTGGTGAAAATTTGATTATCCCTGGAAATCATTTTGAGTTTCGATGACTAATGTATAATTTGTGATTATAATCATATTTTAAAGCTTTGATTTAGTTAAATCCTTGATATACTTGATAAATGATGGATTTGGATCAACTTGATTAAGAGGAGCTTTCTTTGCCAAATTAAAAAGACGATCATAAACATTGCCATCTTTACAACCTGAAATATTGATAAATAGATAAGAGTTTGAATTAATTAAGGAAATTAAGGAAAAAAATAGAGTTCTTACCGATAGCTGACATGAGAACCATATCATGTAAATCAAATGCATCAACCAAAGGAATCATATCATTTCGTAGTTCTACCATTAATGTTGATAATTCATCTTGTATTTGTTCAATTGATGTTAAATCTAAACCAACAGCAAGGAAATCACCTTTATTTTCATTAATAATGAAACCAAAATAAAAATATGCCAATCTTTTCAATACTTGAGATATATTTAAATCATACTTTTCTCCAGATGAAACCCATTCCCAATATTTTATCATCATATAATATATTAAATGACTTTTTGCTGCTTTAATTAAATCAACTTGACATTCAATCCAAGCTTTCTCAAAAGATTGTCCTTGTACTCTCATCCTACAATCAACTTGATCAAAAGCAAAATGACAATGATAATATGCTGATGCAGAAAATAATCGTAAAAGTCCATCAACATCACTAACTATTTTTCCTTCACGTTTCCCTAAATTACCAATATCAGGTCTAGTAACACGATAAAGATATCCAATAGACTGAGATGTTTCTCTATTATTATCATCATAATTATTATTACTACTTTTGCTACTGGTGTTACTGCTGCTATTATAATTACTATCACCATTACTATTATTATTGTTAGACCTTTCTTTTAAATTTAAAGTGACTTTAGTATTAGACTCCATTGAAGATGATCCATGATTTGATACCAAACGAACAGTTTTGTATAAATAACGAGCTGTTTGTAAGTAAAGTATCGTATTTTCACCTTCATAGGTACAAGCAGCAACCGTATTACCAAATATACGAGGTAATCCAGAAGCCAATAGAAATCCATTACCGCCACAAGCTCGACGACATATCTCTACAGCCGATGCACCAAGGTCTGTTGTTAATGCTTTCAAACCAGAAGACATTGCATGAAGTAAAGGGATTGAACGATAATCTGATCTTTTAGACATACTTTCATTGACATCCTTGAAGGCTGACATCAAAGATATGAAAACTGCTTTACATGCATGAGATAAAGCAATACAAGGAATCAATTTGTACCTTTGAGCAGCATAATCAATTATTTTCAATTCACTTGTCACACCATTTTTCGAATCAGGATTAATACCTTGTTTACGAACAGCTGAATATCGTGTAGCAATGGTCACTGCTTTAGAAATATTAAATGACATCATGTCAATTATAAGAACTCGAACAAATAACATGGTTCCAAGGTTTAATTTATCTGTTGCTTTTTTAGCTTGATAACGTCCATTATCATCAATATAGGCATTCTTCATTAACATATTACTCTTTGGAATAACAACTGATGACAATTTAAGATAACCATTATCGGCTGCTTTAAAACCAAGTTTTGGTCCAAGTTCACCAACTTCAATTCCAGGTAAAGGTTTATGTGTTTCCAAATCACGGATTTGTACCATAAAAGGATGAAGACCTCGATGAACACCATCAACAAACAATTGAGCTTGTACAATAGCATGATTTGCTGTTTTACCTAATCCTCCAGGCCACCATTTTATTGATTCCAATGTTGGTGAATTAAGTGTAAATGTTTTCTCTTTATCATTATAAATTGCTTCAGTTTGTAATCCTTTAAGGTAACTTCCATGTCCCAATTCAGTTTGAGCATAAGTTCCAATTATTTTCAATTCAATTGCATCAGGAAGCCATCGTGCTTGTTGCTCATCATTACAATGTCCCATTAAAGCTGGTATAAACATAGCAAAATGTAAAAGTAATGGTGAAGCTTCATAATGATAAGCATCAGCTATTCCTAATACTTCACGAGGATCCTCCAAATTAAATGCTTCAAAATATATCCGAGCTGCTTTTATTAAAGCTTCCGTATATATCTCAGAGTGACTTAAATAATCAACAGGTACTTTAATTAAATCATTTGGAAATTCATCTTCATAAAATTTCTTCTCTAAATAATTCAAAATAATAAAAAAACAAAAATAAAAATTAACTTATTGACTAGAGAAATAAAAATAAAACAACAACAATAAACAAAATACTCACCCAATTCTCGACGTCGTTCCGTTTTCTCTTGATCACCTTCCAAAAAATATGTCAATTTTTCAATATTAAATGTAGCTTTACATCTTTCCTCTTCAAGTAAAGGATTAACATCATATTTTCCTAATATTGAACTCATTGGTAGACACCGTTATTCACAACAATAAATACAAAACTTACTAAAAAATATTCAATGAGACTGGCGATTCAGTGTATAAAATTCAGGTTAACTAAGTGTTGAAAAAGATACAAGTAACACAAAAAGGGAGGGATCCGATCTAGATGAAGATGAAGAGGATGTTGAAAGTTGGCGGAACCAATTGTGTGATCAGCAGGTAAGCAAACTGTCAAAAATTGCCAATAAATTCCAATATTACATCAATTGACTTGAGACTACTTTCGTAGGAGTGGCATCCAATGTCCTTCTTTCTGAACAAGTTTCCAACACAAAAAAATATTTTTAGGTACTTGTTATAATCATTGAATTTCTTCGTAATTGTTTTCTTCTCTCCTCAAATTGTTGATCATAAGATTTTCAATTTCTACTTCACTTAAAGAAAAAAGCAGATGATTGATCCATTAAAGCTACCAATCAAGTCGAATGGTACGTTCTTTTTGTCCTCAATGATAACATTGTTGCTGACTTGATGTTTACATTTTTCCCAAATGCATGTACTTCTCCTAATTTGTATTCAATTTGATAATTCAACTGCTTTTGTAACTTGCATATAAAATGTTAAAGTTGAATCCATATCAAACAAAATCATCAGAACCATGTTGAAAGGATGAGAAACTTTCAAGGTAATGCGTGTAATTCCATCTTTATCGGTAAGAATTGATTAAACCTAAAACTGAACATAAAATTTTATCAGCTTCCATCAGCTTTCAAAAACGACATCATTACTTGTATTTGTGTCCTTTGATCCGTTTATATCTACTTGTACCAATGTTCAACTTGACCGGTCGTATGCAGACAATTGTAAAGGTGAAGATTTGTATGGTGCAAGAAGCAGAAACATCGATAAGTATAATAATTGTAAGCAAAAAAACTTGTTATGATGAATTGAGACGGAAATGGTTTTTAGTACTTAAATGTAAAAAACTGTTTTTCCGATGAATTTGAGATAATTTCTGAAAACAATGTAAGGTGTAGGCTGATGATGCACTGATGAAGAGAAGAGGTGACAGTCACAGAAAAAAACACAATTACAGCTGAAAAATCGTAAACAGTAAGCCAAACGTAGTCAGTTAGCTGGAAATGAAGTTTTTTAGCTTCAAAAAACAATTGTCTTCACGTGATTTTAATTTGATAAATTTGACTGACAAGGATACAACAAATTTGTAATATTGAATGTAAGTTAATTAAAAACAAATTAATGTGGAAGTTAATTACAATATAAATTACCAAATTGATGAACCCAAGAGCTGAAATTGCTGGAGCAGCAATCAGCGCAGATCAGCGCCCCTAGTGGTCTCTCGAGCATAAGCTTTTTACTGGCTAACTAGTTAACAATTTGACTTGTTTCTTTTTTGAAGTATTGGACCGTCTTTTATTCATTATCATCGGATTTATTGCAGTTCTTTCTTCACAATCTAAATCTAATTCCATGAGTTCAATATTAGGAAAATATGATGTTAATCCTTTACTTGAAGAGAAAGATGTAAAGCTACATTTAATATTGAAAAATTGACATATTTTTTGGAAAGTGATCAAGAGAAAACGGAACGACGTCGAGAATTGGGTGAGTATTTGTCTGTCGTTGTTGTATTGTTTTATTTTTATATTTCTGTAGTCAATTAGTTAACTTTTATTTTGTTTTATTTTATTATTTTGAATTATTTAGAGAAGAAATTTTATGAAGATGAATTTCCAAATGATTTAATTAAAGTACCTGTTGATTATTTAAGTCACTCTGAGATATATACGGAAGCTTTAATAAAAGCAGCTCGGATATATTTTGAAGCATTTAATTTGGAGGATCCTCGTGAAGTATTAGGAATAGCTGATGCTTATCATTATGAAGCTTCACCATTACTTTTACATTTTGCTATGTTTATACCAGCTTTAATGGGACATTGTAATGATGAGCAACAAGCACGATGGCTTCCTGATGCAATTGAATTGAAAATAATTGGAACTTATGCTCAAACTGAATTGGGACATGGAAGTTACCTTAAAGGATTACAAACGGAAGCAATTTATAATGATAAAGAGAAAACATTTACACTTAATTCACCAACATTGGAATCAATAAAATGGTGGCCTGGAGGATTAGGTAAAACAGCAAATCATGCTATTGTACAAGCTCAATTGTTTGTTGATGGTGTTCATCGAGGTCTTCATCCTTTTATGGTACAAATCCGTGATTTGGAAACACATAAACCTTTACCTGGAATTGAAGTTGGTGAACTTGGACCAAAACTTGGTTTTAAAGCAGCCGATAATGGTTATCTTAAATTGTCATCAGTTGTTATTCCAAAGAGTAATATGTTAATGAAGAATGCCTATATTGATGATAATGGACGTTATCAAGCTAAAAAAGCAACAGATAAATTAAACCTTGGAACCATGTTATTTGTTCGAGTTCTTATAATTGACATGATGTCATTTAATATTTCTAAAGCAGTGACCATTGCTACACGATATTCAGCTGTTCGTAAACAAGGTATTAATCCTGATTCGAAAAATGGTGTGACAAGTGAATTGAAAATAATTGATTATGCTGCTCAAAGGTACAAATTGATTCCTTGTATTGCTTTATCTCATGCATGTAAAGCAGTTTTCATATCTTTGATGTCAGCCTTCAAGGATGTCAATGAAAGTATGTCTAAAAGATCAGATTATCGTTCAATCCCTTTACTTCATGCAATGTCTTCTGGTTTGAAAGCATTAACAACAGACCTTGGTGCATCGGCTGTAGAGATATGTCGTCGAGCTTGTGGCGGTAATGGATTTCTATTGGCTTCTGGATTACCTCGTATATTTGGTAATACGGTTGCTGCTTGTACCTATGAAGGTGAAAATACGATACTTTACTTACAAACAGCTCGTTATTTATACAAAACTGTTCGTTTGGTATCAAATCATGGATCATCTTCAATGGAGTCTAACACTAAAGTCACTTTAAATTTAAAAGAAAGGTCTAACAATAATAATAGTAATGATTATAATAGTAATGGTAATTATAATAGTAGCAACAGTAGTAATAATAATTATGATGATTATAATAATAGAGAAACATCTCAGTCTATTGGATATCTTTATCGTGTTACTAGACCTGATATTGGTAATTTAGGGAAACGTGAAGGAAAAATAGTTAGTGATGTTGATGGACTTTTACGATTATTTTCTGCATCAGCATATTATCATTGTCATTTTGCTTTTGATCAAGTTGATTGTAGGATGAGAGTACAAGGACAATCTTTTGAGAAAGCTTGGATTGAATGTCAAGTTGATTTAATTAAAGCAGCAAAAAGTCATTTAATATATTATATGATGATAAAATATTGGGAATGGGTTTCATCTGGAGAAAAGTATGATTTAAATATATCTCAAGTATTGAAAAGATTGGCATATTTTTATTTTGGTTACATTATTAATGAAAATAAAGGCGATTTCCTTGCTGTTGGTTTAGATTTAACATCAATTGAACAAATACAAGATGAATTATCAACATTAATGGTAGAACTACGAAATGATATGATTCCTTTGGTTGATGCATTTGATTTACATGATATGGTTCTCATGTCAGCTATTGGTAAGAACAATATTTTTTTCTTAATTTTCCTTAATTTTCCCCAATTGATTGAAACTCTTTTATTCTATTTATCAATATTTCAGGTTGTAAAGATGGCAATGTTTATGATCGTCTTTTTAATTTGGCAAAGAAAGCTCCTCTTAATCAAGTTGATCCAAATCCATCATTTATCAAGTATATCAAGGATTTAACTACTAGGTAACAAAAAAAGATATGGAACGTTTTCAAAATGGAATAACATTTCAGATTTTTATTTTTTGAATTTTATTTTTTAATAAGAGAAAATTCAGTTCAATATCTTTCATTTGGTACTATTATCATGGTTTCAAGAAAATTAATTAGCGTGCAAATCGATTTTTAAAAAAAAGTCATTGAAAAACGCTTGTGAGGTCTACGGGAAAATTAACATTGACAAGTTAAAATTTTCCAACCTCCCATAGACGCGCCATGTTAAGCTCTCAAAAATGAATTTCGCTGACTTTTTTTAAAAATCGATTTGCACGTTATCTAATTGTCTTGAAACCACGATCATAGTACCAAATGAAAGATATTGAACTGAATTTCCGCTTAGCAAAAAAATCTAATTAAAAAAAATAAAAATCTGAAATGTTATTTGATTTTGAAAACGTTCCATATCTTTTTTTGTTACCTAGTAAATCAAAGCTTTAAAATATGCTTATAATCACAAATATATAATAAACCGTCCTCAAATTCAAGCTCGCATAAAATATGGATCTTCATGGATGGATACTTTGGAAGAAATGCAAATCAAAATTATTAAACTAAAAACATAATTTATTTTGAGATCAAACCATCAATCTAATGTGATTAGACCCAACCAATTTAACTATTGATTACAAAAATGAATGAAATTATAACAATCATCTACGTCCGAAATGTTGTCCAAGGATAATCAAGTTTTCACCACCTTTTTTACCACCACCACCTTGAATTAAACCTCCACCCCATCCACCAAGGATAATAAGATCTTCACCTCCTTTGCTTTTAGCTGACACCAAAACACATCCAATGATAACGATTAAGGCAAACAAAATAACTTTTGATGAATTATTGAAAATCATGATTGATTTAAAAATGATAAACACAGTCACAAATTTTAAAGGAATCAAATTGAAGCTTTGAATACTAAAAACTGAATTGTCAATAAACAATCGATGTTGTGATCTTTTATACCTTCTCTTGATAATGAAAGTTTATTAACTAACAACTCACATTAAAAGGAGCTGATAATTAATCTTACATGATCTTCCTTCTGACACCATGAATAGCTATCCGAAAATCAAGTCTAATCGCTATCAAACCCTAGAAATGGTTCACTGACTTTGACCTGAAATAATTTTATAATTGATATAAACTTGCATCAGAATAGATTCAACAACTTGGGTTAAGCCTGACAAAAATATTAATAAAACTAACCAACGAAGGGAAAGACTATTCTCAATGAAGCCAAACCTTGCATTGATCAATATTGATTGTTTCATCATAACATGGTTCGGCTCATTTTAAACATGTTGAGTAATCAAAAGATGATGCAGATATCTTCCGCATTTTATGTGTAAGTAAAATTAAAATTAAGTAAAATAAGTAAATTTACTGCTCAAATTTAATCAAATAGAGTTTCAATGAACTGTTCATTGATATTGACTGTTGGATTTAATATTGCATTTACAGTCTGGCAGCAAATGAACTTTAGACGCTTGTAAGCTTATAAAAATTAACTAATGATTTTATTGGTTAGATTGCAACGTAAATCTTACGAAAACTTATACAATTTTTTCAGAGCGGCCTCAAGACGGGTTGTCAGTGCTAACCTTTTAAAGAAATTTTGAGTAACCTCTTACAGTGTCTGTGTTGATCTTTGCTCTGGGGATGTTTTGGATGTAATCCTCAAGTTGGTTCATGGTTTTAGGGTTACCACTTCGGCAGCGTTTTGGGATACTCCTTAGTAACATGCAACAAAATGGGGTTTTTGGCGCTAACTATGTGTCAGAACGAAAACGGAGGTTTAAGACTGTGGCATACTCTAAGTTAACCTCTGGTCCTTTGAAAACATAGTTTTGGTTTAAGTCTGCCTGCATTTATTAGTTAAAATGAGTCTCAAACGTCTAAAGTTCATTTACATTGTATTTGGAAAGCTTAAAGCTTACCAATGATTTGGTTGATCAATTCAATTGATATAAACCATTTTAAGTTATAATTTGAGCTGGATTAGGTTAGGTCTTTCGATTAATTAACTATTGAAGCAAAATCATTTGATTAGTTAGCTAGTTAGTTATTTTTGATTACTTATTGTGTAACTTAAAAGTCAATGTGACTGTTATTATATTATAATGTGAGTATTTGTGGTTTATTTACTGAAATAAATTTTTCAATGCTATTATTGAGTCTTTATTATAAGATATGCGTGTAAATAAATGTATAATTTTGCTTGTTGATAACCAACAGTTGGTAGGTACAAAGTGTTGACAATGGCGACATTCAGCTATCTTGATTTGGGAATCATTGCAATAACAAGGTAATTTGCTTCTTACAAGGGCAAAAAAATAAATAGGCATTATGATGATATCAATGAACAATTAATTTATCTGAGATTATTAATAATACTGGTAATTGTTAATGTTGAGTGGAAAGATTAATATGATTATTAGATGATTAGAACAAGATGTTGACCAGATCATTGGTGAATTTTCAAGCATCTGCAATGAAGTCGTTGAAGAATCGTTAAACCAAGTGAGAAATTGTTGATACAGTTCGATCTCGACCATGTGACAATGGAACTTGATTGATAGCTGCTAATTTATGAGTCCGATCGGAGCATCTATTGATTGTTTTAACAACAGGTTTGCAAACAAAACAAAGCAAAAATGATGTTAATGAAAAGGCACAAACAAAACCGATGCCATAACAGATTGCTAGAGAAGACATTTTTAATTCCAATTATTTTACACTTTAATGGATCCTTAATAATCAATATTATCCACCAAGTTGTTAATTGAAATATGAGATCAGGTAGAAAATTTAAACCCAATTTATACCAAACGCAGTTTGGTAACACTTTTCAAATCAAAAAGTTAACATTACAAGTGTCAATAATTCTGGTGGTTGACAAAATTAGATGAGTGGCTCGGAATCTGAATTGTCAATAGAGTAAAGATTGAAGGAGAAATGAATAAAAAAAGAAATAAGTTGATTGTTGATTAAGCACAGTAATTTTATCTTTGCGTAAGATGACAAAAATTAATATCCAGAAGTTGTGAGCATCTCACTGGTGGTTGATTGTAACACAGATAAAATGAATATCTCATGATTTAAGTTCATCATATTAATGCCATGTTAATACAGTAACTTCGAATTCCGCTCTATAAGCTAAATATTTTGTTCAACTCATGTACTCATTCATAGATGATAAAACAATAGGAAGTTTTGGAATTTTCAATAATAATGAAAGTATAAAAAATATAATAACATGTGAGATCTAAACCAACAAAGACTTCCCACGATTCTTATCTTATACCTTCTCATATAAGAGGCTCGTTTCATTACAACGCCATCTCTGTATTTTTATAGCTTCACGAAAAATAAGCTTTTCTACGCGTTAAGATCATTGACTAATTTCCACTCGTTGGGTTGTTGATTAAAATTAACCAAATAAACGATTTTAGACGAATTTTAATCAATCGAAAATAAATTTTAAAATATTAAAGTCAATTGAAAATCTTACTTCTTCATCCTTTTCGTAATGTCAAAAAAATATAACGTTAATCGCTGTCTTTCTGTTAATGGTGTTAAGTAATGTGAATAACAGTAAGGTGAGTAATTTATTGAATCATGAGTTAGATAAATTGCAAGGTTGATTTGTTTATCAATGGCAAAATTTTATGAATTGGATGTAATATTTGCTGGAAATAAGTAAAATTGGTTCGTTGGTCAACAGATCTGTGAGTTAAAAAAAGACGAATCCTGCCATTGTTGCATGATAAAATAATGAATTAGTTGACTAATGATCTGATTATCGTTTAATAAGACTAATTTCAACTCAATTGGCTAATTATATCCATTAAAAGTGTTGGCATACAAATGATTTAAAAAATTATGAGACATTTCCGATTGACTTGAAACGCTTATTCAATTCTTATTTTTAAATAACTCGGAAAGTATTGTAAAATAGTTATGGATAGTGAAAGTGACTTTCAATTACATTCAAAATGATATTTACATTACACGTATTATCATGATAAGTTCTAATTACCAATTTATGAATTATTTGCTTAAAAAACATTATTAGCTTGTATAATTAAGATAGTCGAGTTAATAAACCTGTTAAAATAATCTCAAGTCTTTGGGTGCGTTTCTCATATTAACTTAAGCTGTCTGATTGATTAAATTGCTTCTTGTTGCATTCATTTTGCATTTATTTCAAGTAGCACCATTTAAGCTTTCAACACCAAGAAATGATGATTATTGGATTTGTATCTTAAACTTGAAGGTTGTTACAATAATAATTTCCGATCAATATGTTTTACATTTGCCTATGATTTAATATCTTGAGTAACTAATCGAGCTCCAATCAGTATTGAATTCTTTAGGAATAATCTGAGACGATTAAAGTAGTAACAAGGTTTAATATACCTAAATCAATAGCCTTGATTAAGATATTTCCGACCATCAATTGAATTTCAAGAACACGTAACTCATCCGATGATTCAAATGCTTTTCACTTATCATTGAGACAAACAGATGTTATAAATAGCAGAAATATATCAATGTTGATCCATTTTTGTGCACTCAACAGCTTTTTGCTTGATCAGTATTGGATTGGTTTAAAACACAATTAGCCAAGTATGACAACAGAACAGAATGATTGAATATGAATAAGTGACCTGATAGTTATGACCTCAAGCATTCAAAAACAAGATACGATAGCATTGAGATGCAGTATTTAATAAAATTAATTCTGTTCACAAACATATCAGCAAGGTAATAAAGCATTTGTGATCCGTTCAAGGCATTTGATAAGAAAATCAAATGACGATAAAGATGCGTGAATAAATAGTAAACTTGTTGATTAATGGAAATTTTGGTTGTATATATTGAAATTTGAGATAACATTGTAAATTGATTGGTTCGCTTGTTAAGTTTTACTTATTTGTTACTTTTATAGATTTATATAATAATAGATTATATTAATATGCACATGTAAATAATCTTTCAATTACACTTTTGTCCGACAAAATAGACCTCACTTTACAGGTCCCATATGGAAAATGTTTCAAAAAGAGAAAGAGAGGAAAGAAATGAAGAGAAAAAATTTCAAGACAACATTTCCATAGTACATGATCAGAGACAATTAATCAGCCAACTACGATACACAAAAGGGGTCAGCCGGGATTTGAACCCGGGACCTCTCGCACCCGAAGCGAGAATCATACCCCTAGACCACTGACCCAACCATTAGACAACTATCAAATTGTTCAATTCAAATCGGTCTAACAATTGTGGGTTTGGTTTAAATTATTGGGTCTGCGATTGCGGTTGTTGTTGTTGCTGCTGCGATTGTTGTTGTTGTTGCTGTTGTTGTGACTGCACCTGCACTTGAGACTGTTGCTGTGGTTGTTGTTGTTGTTGCGGCTGCTGCTGCTGCTGCTGCTGTTGCGGTCTTTGTTGTGGGGGTTGTTGCTGTTGTTGTTGTTGTGGTGGTCTTTGTGGTTGTGTTTGTTGTTGTTGTTGTTGGGGTTGGGGTTGAGGTTGGGATTGCGATTGCGATTGCGATTGCGATTGAGGTTGGGATTGAGCTTGAGCTTGAGCCTGAGGCTGGGCTTGAGGTTGAGGTTGTGGAGCGGAATTAAAAGTGAACTGTGTTCCTAATGAGGAGTCTAAAGGTAAAGATATAAGCTGGATGGTGGTTGATGATGGTATTGAATTAACGATATGCTGTGGTTGAGCCACAACTAATGAGGATGGTAAATTATTGGCGATAATTGTTGTATGATTGTTAGTTGATGATCGATTACCCCTAGATCCTCCTGGATTCAAATGAGTTTTTCGATGTCGATCTATAAGAAAAGTATAAATTAAAAATTGCTCTGTAATATTGAGATAGAACCAGCATTTTGTTTGACAAGATATCTTTTTTACTCAAATGTCAAGTATAAAGGTTCAACTAATTTCAAACTTACTAAGTTTGTCTTTACGATAAAAACCTCGACCACATATATCACATGGAAATGGTCTTTCTCCCGTATGAATCATTGAATGTCTTCTAAGGTGGTTTTTCTGTGAAAATGAACGGCCACATGTATCACAAGTGAATGGTTTATCACCTAAAATAAGAAATACACCATAAAAATAAAATTAGTCATTTAAAATAGCTAAAAACATATTTTCGCGGTTCATTGTGTTACTCAAGACTAAATATCAATAATTGAAGAGATGTTAACCCTATTGGAGGAAAGCCTTACCAAAAGTTTTACAGATGCAATAAAAATTAAAAAGAACGAGATATTATTTAGAGAACCCATATAACTATTACCTGTATGTGTCCGCATATGATCAAGTAATTTACATCTATAAGAAAATCCTGATCCACAAATCTCACATGCACAAGACTTTTCTCCATGAGCTTGCCTAAACAGATGGATACAAAGAATAACGAGATATTAGAGACATATTTTGGTAATCTTTAAAAACTTAACCCACCTTATATGAATTCTAACTCTTTCTGCACTAGCAAACAGTTTACCACATTGTTGACAAGGTACACTTTTCTCTACTTTGGTATGCACCGTCAAATGACTCTGCAGTTCGGTGGCACTTTTAAATGGTATCTTGCAGGACGGACAGCCCCAAACAATTGGAACAGTTGCACAGCTAGTGATGCTGATTGTATTATTTGCATTAACATTACTGTTTATAGTTTGGGTAGTGACAACAGGTGATGTTGCAGGAATTAAAATGGTTTTTGCTTGATGTGTAGCCAGTTGGGCTTGAATCTGTTGGGTTGGATGTTGCCTATTGGAGTTGGCCTGAATTAGATTCCTCGTTTCCATCTGGTAATCCTAAAACTTTGAAAGGAATGAAAGTTCCGTAGGCCAGAGATATAAAGAAAGAAAATAAGGAAAATAGGAAGAGAAATAGATTTATATGTTTATTAGAACATGAAGAGCAAAACAGACCAGGAAAGATAAAGAAATGAAAAAAAAGTAAGAGGAGAAAGAAGGTAACTGAGAGTGAAAGTTGATCTGTAGGGTATCACAAAAATTGAATCAATCAACAAATGAATTTAAGATTGTAATAATTGTTTGAAAAAAAATAAAATATTCACAATTTTTTTACACAATCAACTAACATTAAGAATGGAAATGTTCTTCATTTTTTATCAAAGAAAACAATTTAAGCTGATATTTTATTCATATTATTATCGGTATATTTTCTTAAGGAAGGAAAGCTTATTTAACGATCTGCTAAAGAGACAAACGGTACAGCGACATCTATTAGTCATTTATTTAGCCGATTAAAATGGCGTTAATATAAATGTTGTCCATCGATTAAGTTTTAATTAGATTTCAATTTTTAGTTAAAATTAAATTTTCCCTTAAATTTAGCCATGGAAAAGAAACGGAACTTCTTCTGTTCATTACATAAAGATAGTAAAACAGTCAATTACACCCTAGTTTGTGATTTACTCATCAAATTGTTGACATTAATTGTTTGCCATTTTCAATTTTTTTACCCGGATTTAAACCTAATTGGTAGGTAATTTACCAGCATTCGTAGAAATACTTAAAATATAATAACTAGACAAAACAAATCAAATAAGTTCGTAATTAACAGTGTTGTATGTATTGATAACGATTTCCAGTGAAATGAAGTCATTAAATTTAATTCTTAGTTTTTCCATTGTTTCATCTATTGGACTGAAATAAATTGAAGGTTATTATTTAGATAATATAAAATATACTCAAAGATAGTGTTACCATGAAATCCTAAAAGTGGAATGATCTAGACAAAATCAGATGCATTTATCAAGATTTGGGTGAAAAAAGACAATATAAAAGCAACTTATTGTCACTGGAAGCTGATCAGTAGAGTTACTAAAAAACTGTAACAATAATAAGCACCAAAAATGAGTAAATTATTTTTAACATTTAGTGTTATTTTCCTCCAAGCTTTCACAGCATTGGGTAAGTTGATTATCAAATTATTGAACCAATCAAGTTGATTAACACAGCTCTGTCTCCTAAATTTAGCTAGCGTGGATGAACCAGTTCCATGGTTAATTTGGGCTGCAACTGATCCTGCTGAAGATGCTGAAGCCGCAAAAATAAATGCAACCAAATTTTACGAGTTTGGTCAGGAACATCTTTACGAATTGGCGGAGTACTACAAAAATAATGACGTTGTCGCTGCATCGATACTCTTAGCTACCAATGGTAAAGAATCTGGTACCGATGGTGTTAATTGGGCAGCTGTTATGGCCAAACTTGCATTTAAAAGAGCCGTCGGAGCCTCGGAAGATGCAGAACATGGTCTTCCTTCACTTGTTATATGGGCGATTCGGAATACTGGATCAGGAACTGAATATCCTTCAGTTGATGAACACAAATTGGTTAAATACATTCTGTCTCGTAAGGCTGATTGTTTGAGATACATTTACAATGGAGATGTTGATGGTTTAATTGAATTCCTTGAACAAACCAAGTCTGAATCAGGATCTGAAAGTATTGATTGGAGAACAATTATACTTGGTCTTACAGAGAATCGACAACTCTTTGAATATTCATGTGGCATCTTAAATCTTCAACTGTGTAATAGATTGCCTAAATAAAATATTAATATCAACAATAAATATCAAATCTTGTTGATTTTTGGCTGCTTTTATAACTTGACTTCGGCTGAAATCGGATTAAAACCAACATTTGTTTCACTTAAAAAAATTAAATCATGATATTTTGTAATAATTTATCGCTGTTGTCATTTTTAAATCTTGATCAAAAATTGTCAATGATTCTGATGAAAACTGATCGATAATAAAAGATGAGATTACTTGAAATCTCTTATGAGAGAAATTCGCTAACAATATTCAATCGAAGAATCGAAACCATGATTTAAAATAATTTTAAGGGCGTTTTAAAGCATTACAACAAAGATGTTTCTGTTATTGAAACGATTAGGTTGAGCTTAAATTTAAAATACATTATAATGATCTAACATTTAACTTAATCAATCACATGAATCCAATTAATTAATTTGTTAGTTAAAATATGAGGTTGTCCTTTGGATTGGGATGAAACCACAATTGCGGTTGTATCTTATGAACCTTTGAATTTTTTTTTTATTTTGATTAATTTATATCAAACAGTTTTACAACGAACCGGTTTTCGGTTAATAAAAGCACTCGAAATTAAAATAATAACTTCCCAGTATAAGTAAACTTTAAGTTCGTTACCAAGTTTTATTAATTACTTTTCTGTCTAATTTCTTATTGACTGTTCGAGTCGTAATTGTTTAACCTTTTGGCTGAGTAGCTTATTGGCTAGGAAGTTTTGACCCTTTACCGACCATAAAATTCAGCAAAAAGTTATTTGAACCATCGATTCACTCAAAGATCTATTCTCAACCGACCTTGCTGTTTACCCAAAATCGCGAAAATCGTCAGAAAAACGCCGAACTATTTGGTCGGTTGGCAGACATGATCATCATCACGAATTATTCAAATCTTGAATTTAATATCTCGTAGAATCAATCAAAGATTCAATCTCTCTATCTCTCTATATTACTGGTCACTTAGCGAGGTTAATTTGTCAAATAAATATTTCTCTTTTTATTTTAAAAATGAAAACAAGTGTAATGATTGTCAAAGTTTCTTATTATATAAACCCAATCTTCAAACTTTAAATAATTTACTGGATTGATAAATAGTACACTGTACCTGCATTAAACTGGATGTTATTTTTATCTTTTTGCTCATTCATTACATTCATAACTAAAGAATTGCTATTATTCAACCGAATTGCAGAAGCCCGTGATTCAAATCTCAGATATGAATGATATTCATACCTGTTTTGAACTTATGTGAGACTATTCAATATTCAAAATCAATCACATCATATCAGTAACAATCAACTTTAACAATTAGTTTCTCTTTAGTTGAGAAGCTATTGATTTTTATTCATTGATTTAATTTGCGTACGATTTACGTTCAGTCTGCGTTCAGTTTGGCATCTGTATAATTTGAAGACCATTAAATTAAATATGAAGGATGAGTTAACGAACAGAAGCTAGTAACAGAAAAAGTAAATTATTGGAATAATCTATTGACAGATGGAAATAAAAATGAATGTTGATTTGATATGAACTTGTTAAAGAGGAAGATAATAATTCGTCAAGGTGAGGAAAAATATTGAATTGAATTGTACATGGAATTCAAAAAGGAAGTTCATTTTGAAGGAAGCCCATTTTGACAATGGAAATTAAAAAGGACAACACATTGATTTCATTTGTTCATTTCTATGATAACAATCGTTATTCTATCAACATCATTTGATAAAATTTTAGGAAATGTTAATTATTCTTATTAAAAACAGTTTCACACAGCAAAATAACCTTTACCCCGTCTCACATAAGGCGTATAATGCTGCTGTGGAGTTCGTGGAGGTCGCGGTGATGTTGAAGGAGGCGGAGGTGGAGGTGGAATGTTAGGATCTAATTGTCCTGAATAAGAAGCAGCCTCATTGTTGGACGGAACTTCTCCAATACTCGATTTAGGTCTTTGCTCATAGCCACTTGGTTGATAGTAACCATGATAATAACCAGACATGAATCCTTCTGGAGGTTGTGAGGTTGGCGGCTGTGTCAGGTCAGAAGACGGCAGTGGAGGAAGTGGAGGATTGAAAGATGTTGGAGACTTGGCCATTATTTCACTCATATTTCGTTCAACTGTGTATGGACCAGGTAAACGGAACCCTGCTTGTCTTGGTTGATGTGAACTGGCAACCAAATCGAGTCGACTTCGATCCAAAGTTTGATCTCGAGCTGTTCTTTTAAATGGCAGTGGAGGTGGCGGTGGAGCCGGATTTGAAGGTAAAGTGTTTGATGCGGTCGGAGAAACAAAATCACTTGTTCCTCCTGATCCAACCATTGAGCTTGGTGTAATTGCTGAACTGGTAGGTACACCTCCTGGCATTGGATTGACCATTGTTACCGGCACTTTGAATGGTGCTTTCATTTGCTTTTGTCTCTGTTGGTTTAAGATATGAAGATGAATGGTGAATATAGATTATTAGTGAAAATTAAACTTTACCTGGACTAATGATCTCCATTTTTTCGCTGCTTTTCTAGCTGAATTAATTTGGCGAAATCTTCTGGCTTTTCTTCGTTTATAACTTATTTCAATTGTAATGAATATAAATCCAGCCAAAATTCCTCCAGCAACTAACATGAAAACTCCGGCCATATTTTTAAGTCCTAAGGTTGTTGGAAAGTTTTCTTGGGTTTTATCACACTTTTCATCTCCTTTTAAAATCCATTTATTATCTAAGCCTTCCATAAAACCAGACTCATGCATACCGAGAATGGATAGAGTAACATTTTCAGTCCAAAATGAATGTTTCTGTAAACCAATTCCATACCCTGATCTACCAAAAGTTTCACCAGAAATGATTAATTTACAATCTTGAGCAGCTTCATATTCCAATCTTGGTGAATCCCAAAAAAAGACATTTAAATCACCTTTAAGGGTAAAAGTCAAAGTTAGATAATTGTTCAATTAACAGTCTGCTCTAAAAAACACTCACCATTTTTAACAGCTTGAATTGCTGATTCAGTTGAAGGTCGGTTAATTTCCTCCATTAATCGATACATATTGGACAGCTCAACCTGACCTCGGAAATACATATCAACAGAGCTACCCCTTACAGTAGCATAATTAAAGCCCTCAGCTGGGTTTCGCAGTCTAGCATCATCGAGACCAGTGATTTCTGTCTCAGCTTGATCCAAGACTAGAAATGCTGCTAAGTTGGCAGTATAAGAGGCAACAACAATCATAGCGAATCCAGCCCAAACCATTCCCAGAACACGAGCTGAAAAACTTTTGGGAGTCTTTTCACCAATACCACTATTCAACAAAACTCCCCAAGCAAAAAGGACTGCACTGGAAAAATTGAGAGCCTTTTCATCGTCTGGCCCAAGTTTGTCTACTTTTGAAAGTCCAAATGATCCAAATGGACTGAAACGATCAAGTAGGTACAGAGCGAGAGCAACAACATGGACAGAAGCCATCACAAGTAGCCAAAGAGTATTTTGAAAAGGTTGCAAGAAGGAATCCAGTTTAGCTCCTTTGGGAATCTTTTTTTGTAACATTGCTATTCCTTGATATTTAAATGGTTTGGAGAAGTCAATTACTTTGGCTCTTTCAGGATTTATGGTTAATGGAGCAATTACCATATCAGCCTTTTTACTTATCAATTCACCAACTAAACCAGTCCATTGTTTCCTTCCTTCAGCATTGAATTCATAATGTCCATACATCCCATCAGGAACTAAATGTAAATTGTACGTGAATCCCATTTGATCAGATAATTTGGTTAACAAATCAATGCAATAGCCTTTGCAACAGTACAGTTGTTCAATGCCTGTGTTTAGATCAACTTTTGGACATGGGATACTTCCAGAAGGACATGTTGATGATGTTATTGATGATACACTTTGCGATGAGAAGGAGTATGATGAGGATGAAGTTAAATCATTTTGATGAACTGGTGTGGCCCAAACAAAAGGTTCCTCAGCAATTGTAGCAATTCGAAGATGAGTGACAACATAATAACCTGGTGGTTTGGTCGCTGAACCTCCAGGCCATACAATATCAGAGTGATTAAGACTCATAACCATAGAATCAACTTCTCTATTGTAAACATATTTACCAACTTCAGCTTTACCACCAGCTCGTATGTTGATGATTGAATAATCAGATTCACGTCTATCATTGTTCTCATCAAATGATATTTTCCCAGTTGCTCCAACTTCAAGAGTTTGATTCTTTAAGTACTTCATGAAAACTAGGCCAGTTTCCCATTTATCGACTGTTCGTCGACAGTCATTTGGAGGTTGGGTAATGTTTTCATGGAGAAATAGATTTCTCAAAGCCATAACAATGATGTTAACACTATCTCGGATGTGTGAAGCTTCATCTCGAGCATTTCGAAGAGAAGGACCAATTACACCATTAGGAACATTGGGAGCACCTAAGGCCTGTTCAGAGACTAACCAAACGTATCCATAACCAGTCATATTAAGACGTTCAATTTCTTTAAATATTTTGATTGCTGCCTCGCGACTTGCATATAAGATGTACACTCGACAGCTTAATTCCTCCCTGACTTTCAACAGTTCAGCTCCAACATTAGATAATCTAGGATCATACTCAATGACCCTTTCAATTTTAATTTGACTACGGTCAGCCATGTTCTGGAAACGGTGTAATGTACTTTGACCATCATTGTCCGAGGAGTGGATAAAAACAATAGATTGATAATTGAGTGAGCGAATCAATTCAATCCAAACATCAGCTTGGTGGGAATATGGTTGAACAGTTCTCATGAAAGAACCATGTAGATTTTTATTCGATAGGGAACAGTCACGATTGGAAATACCTTGAAAAGAGAGAAAACGAAAAAAATTGATTTAGATTTCAGACTAACGGATTCATCAGAAACAATGGATGTTTTCGTGCAATGCATTATAGACTCGTATTAGAAATTGTGATTTGTAAATTAATAGTTATCACCAGATCAATAATTGAGTAAATGCAGTTGTAATCACAATCTTAAAATTGAATTTACCGATTACAGGAATGTTGTAAAAACCACAGGTGAATGAAACTGAAGCTGGAGATGATTCTTCAGTATTTGGATGACTAACAATCACCGCATAAACCTGTTTAAAAAGTGAAGATTTTCGTCAATATAAATAGAAACATGATGATAATACAAATTATGTGAGTCGAACTCCTTACCTGTCTTGAGATCAAATTATCACAAACATCTTGAGCTGTTCGAATTGGATTAACACTCATCGGAACCGTATTACCAATCAATTCAGTTCTTGCTGGCAGCATGAGTTTTCCCGTTTCAATTTGCTATGGAAAGTAGAAAAAAATTTCAACGTAAGATAATTGAAATATAAATATACATATTTTTTCTCATTTGATGCACTCCAATATAAATCGACTGTTTCCAGATGACAAATGAACAATAAGAGTAAAATTTCTTTAAACTTACCTGAAGAAATAAAGCAATATTGGGACCTGAACTGAGAACAGCTCCAATATTGAAAACAAAGCGATCATCTGATCGAACAATTTGCCAACTCAGAAGTGTATATAAAAGAAAAACAAGTTGACAGCAGCAACAAACAATCAAAGAACTCATTTGGCAATCTTTAAACAGTTTCAATTGGCCTGTGAAAATGGCAAATCAATGGTAAAATAAAACTGATTCCAATGGTTCCCGGTTAATTGCATTCACACTGCAACGAATGGAAGTGAACCATTGTTGATTAAATCCTTTTTTTGCTGGCGAGTAAAACACATCACTGTGAATGTTAATTGACTCGGATGGTGTCATAATTATGATTGTTCAATGGATAAAACACACTTTATTTCATTATTAAATGATTGTATTCAAATCAGCGGAGCAGCTTTGTTTACATGGTGAATCGATGGAAGATGAAAACTCCCTGTTTAAAGCTCCCTCTACAATTCATTGTAATATCACCGAACATGGTGTTTTTTGATTTTAAAACATCGACCATTAGATTCATCAGTCAATCAAATTTTCGTCATCGTCCATTGGCCATTGTTTTTGGTTGGCCATTCACTCAATCGATCTGTTTTTGTTGACATATCTGCGTCTAGGTAACGGTTTTTGATTATTTATTTTCAATTTTTTGTGGGATTTATCGAGGAAATAAGTTAATGTAGCTACATTGAGTTGATATAAAATTCAGTGAGAGCGAAGCCCTATTAACTCATAACAATGAAATAATGTAGTTTAACTCATTTAATGTTTATATCCTAATCATAATTGACAATAGCGTCTCTTAAAACTGTGATTTCAGTTTGATCAAAGTTTACTGTACTGTTCATCAATTACGGTCAATCAATTTTGTCTTAATTTTTTACTTTGCCTGTTTAAATGAGTTAAACTAGATTATCTCGTTAGCATTGGATAAATATATGAGCAACGTTCAACCATTCTGAAATAACAGTTTCAATAACTCTGGATACATGTATCATGCATTGAGTTATTTAACTCAAGTTATTGTCAAATATTTTTGAGTATACAAGAGTAAAAAGTCCAGATGCTATCCGTTAGTATCGTGTTAAGTATCTAGACTTTATTTTGTTATGCTGCAATTGTGGGAATATCTAGATATTTTGAGTCTTAGTCCTAGACTTGATAGTTATTTTATGGATTGTTTTCTTTTGAAAATGTATTAGTTGGCATTTAAAAGCAATGTTAACTCAACCTGGAACAAATTGATTTTTTCATCTTTTTTCTTATTAATTTACCTTTAGTTTAACTTAATTGATTAGTATTCTTCTATGCCATGAGCTATGGAACTTATGAGATGGAAACTTATTTATCTAGTTTTGTTTTTGAGTCACATTTCTGGTTTACTAACCAAACAGTTATCATTAGAAGAAATAGCTCATTACAGGTAAGTCTGATGATTTATATTAATTTCTGTTTATTACATTGTTTTTTTTGCTGCATTTATTCGATTGTAGCTAATCTGCAAATTGTCTTAAACTTTCTTTCTATGTTCCTCTTCTCTAGAGATAAGCTGAAAGCTATGTTCGATTATGCATATGAAAATTATATTGCTAATGCCAACAACTTTGATGAACTCAAACCAATCTCTTGTACAGGAGTCGAAACATGGGGCAATTTTTCTCTAACTTTAATTGATTCTATGGACTCACTCATTTTATTTAAAAATTACACTGAATTTGAGCGTGTTGCACGTTATGTTGTAGAGAACATTGACTTTAATCAAAACATCAATGTTTCTGTATTTGAAACTAATATAAGAGGTAAGTCCGTTCTCCTCTGTATTTTTCATCATTTCTAATTATTGTTTCTGTCAAAGTTGTTGGAGGACTTCTTTCAGCTCATCTATTATCATATAAAACTGGGATGAAATTAGAGCCCGGTTGGCCTTGTGATGGTCCTTTATTACGTTTAGCTGTTAAAGTAGGGAGAAAATTATTACCAGGTAAGAAAATTTGATATGTGATTCCTGATTTGCTAAATTAATTTGTGTTTGTTTACTCTCAGCTTTTCAGACTCGAACTGGTATGCCTTATGGAACCGTAAATTTAAAGTATGGTGTGCCGTTTGAAGAGACACCAGTAACTTGTACAGCAGGGGTTGGGACATTTATTTTAGAGTTTGCAACACTTTCCAGGTTAACTGGTGATCCTATTTTTGAAACAACTGCCTTAAATGCTCTAAGAGCATTACATTCATTTAGATCTCATTTAGATCTTGTTGGTAATCATATCAATACTTCCGATGGTAAATGGACAGCTATCGAATCAAGTATTGGCTCTGGAGTTGATTCTTATTTTGAATACCTAGTCAAAGGAGCTCTTCTTCTCAAAATGCCTGAACTAATGGACATGTTTAATGGTAATTTTACTAAATTTTCATTTTTTCAGTTCAATTATTAATACATCTACATGTACATCTTTTTTAGTGTACCTCAAATCCATTAACAAATATATGAAAAGGGACGATTGGTATTTCGTTGTTCACATGAATAATGGACTGACTACGATGCCAGTCTTTCAATCACTAGAATCTTTTTTCCCTGGTCTATTGGTAAGTAGTTCACCTAAATCAAACTTTACTCAAACTAGTTCACCTTTAACTATTTTATTTTTATTTTTAGACTTTAATAGGCGATATCGAACAAGCTCAAAAGTCTTTGCTCAACTATAGATATGTACTTAAACGTTATGGTTTTATTCCGGAATTTTTTGATGTTTCAAATAATAATGTTAAAAGAAATGGAAATCCTTTAAGACCTGAGTTTGTGGAAAGTTTGTTTTACTTATACAAAGCAACAAAAGATCCTAATCTGCTTACAATTGGAGCTGAAGTCATTGAAGCGATAGAGTATTCTGCTCGAACTGAATGTGGTTATGCTACCATCAAAAATGTTGACGATCACACAATTGAAGATAGAATGGAATCATTTTTCTTGGCAGAAACCCTAAAATATCTTTATCTTCTTTTTGACAATTCCAATTTCATACACAATGAAGGATCTAAAGGCGTTGTAATTAATCACGATAACAAACAATGTGTAATTGATGCTGGAGGGTATATTTTCAACACAGAAGCACATCCAATTGATGCTTCAATTCTTGACTGTTGTTCTTCTAAATCACGAGATTTTTCAGATATTATTGATAAATTAGATCTTTATGAACTTGTTGGATTGACCAGTAATACAGCTGATAATCAATATAATAGCAATGCAAAACCAAGCTCCGATAAGCATGATTCAGAGCCAACAGTTAGTATTCAACCTTCATCGGATGTATCATTTAAATCGAAAGATCATATTGACCAATTCTCTGCTACTTTTGATATTGAGAATGTTGAATCTACGTTACCATCAATTACACCTACTTTGGATGCAGCTTTCCAACTTGACATGGACTTGTCTTCCATTGATGATGTGATAGAGTCACCAGCGTCTATCAATGAAGATGTGGTTCACAAATTTGATCCCTCAGCTGTTCAAACTAACAACGAACCTTGGACTCCGATTATTTCTCCATATGGACAATCACATTTGACTCCAAATGAGCCTGCCAATACCCAATACTGTGATATTTCAAAGCATAATAACTGTCCATTATTGGAAACCCCAGAAATAATAACTGCTGCTCCCAGTCAGCAGCACCATTTCAGCCACAGCATTCCTCCCGATTTAAATATGAGTGATTTCATATTGCAATACGAAGATGATGAGCTATCATCCTCCTCCTTTCAAGATCAAGATTATGAACAATATCAAGAGCCGGCTCAATCTCCGTCTTATTCAAATTACACAGAGTCTAGTCATGAAATTTTACTATGTTTCCCATTACCTTTCCTCTCTCCTTTCACTAAATATGGTCAAGTCTTGATTCGCAGTGAAATTTGATGAGCAAGCTATTTATTCAAATAATTTCCAACTTCATCAGCTACAAAGAATTTATTTATGCTATTTCTAATTTTCAAATGTACACTAATATACATGTCTACAAAAAGATAACTACCATTATTTGCCTTTAGAATCAGCTTTGAAAGCTTGCAAAGTACTCCATAGATTTTTAAAGTAAAAAAGGTACATTACTAATAAAGGTGTATTAATTTTGAATTATTTTAATATTTAATAAAATGTATCGACTTTTTGAGATTTCTTTGGAGATTTCGGTGATCTAATTGAAATGGGTTTTACATCATAGTTAGGTAACTCATAATACAAATAAAATGGGAACCGAAACCCTGGTTTAAGCTGAGAATCAAATGATTCCTTTCGATTAGAATGAGATAAAAGTGTAAAAACTCGATCATGATTTGGACTAATTCTACTTAGCTTACTTTTTCTAGTATAACTATAATTCGGTAGCCCTGCTGATTGCTTTCGATTCTTACAATTACAAATAATTGAGTCAAAAAATCTAGGAATATGAACAGCAATTGAAAATCCCAACCAAGTTCCAAGTGCTGTACCAGTCATAATAAGAGCATCAAGAATTGTCATCTCAGGTTCATATGTTATTCGGTAAATTGGATCCCTGATGGTATCAAATGATATTTTAGCAAAATTACCTGTTATAGGGATAGGACTGCGAATCGATGAGTAGAATGATCTAGCAACACAATCTGGTTGTTTAGCTGCATCAAAACACCGAAAAACAATCTCTTCAACTGTCTTTAAGTAACCAGGATCTTCCTTCCTTTGATCATAAATTTGTTTACCGAACAGCTTATCATATGGATAATCAATTATAGACCAAGCTAAAGGTGCTCCAAGCAACTCCATTGCTAACTTTATTTCGCATTGATTAATCATGTCTATCCTTGATGGGTAACCAAGCTCAGAATAGTTGAGACAATTAGTTGCATAGGGTTTGGGTAAATAATCAACTTGAAGTGAATAAAAGAAATAGCGATGAGATTGAGTTTGAGCAACTGTTTCTTGTGATTCCCATTTGAGTGACGCTCCTAGGGCTGTTGTTTTAGGGTTGATTAGGGCCAAATAATAATAATGTATTTTTTGAAAAAAAGATTGGTGAAAATTGATTTCAAAAAAGGTTTCATACTGGCTGCCACGGTAAAGATTGCGAGACCAAATAATCGCTGGTCTTTCTGTCCAACATGTAAACACAAAACAATAAGCATTACGGTAAAACACATTTCGAAATGGACAATCGTATGTAATGGTCTTTCCCTTATCAGGAGCTGATCGAGCAATTGCTGAATGAACTGCTGCCTCAGAAGATAACATCAGATTCCATGTTTGTTTGATTGTCAAGTTGGTAAAATAACCATTATAGCTGTTTTTAAGTACTTCCAACACCTCTGAGTGGTTTAGTTTTGATTGTTGGAATAGGTTAGGATAAACAGTAATCAGTTTAGATTGATTAACCATATACAACATATCATAGCATATAATGACATCAGGCAATTCAGTTCTATCAGGCACATAAATAATAGCTCGAGTTGAATAAGCAAAACTAAAATAACGCTTGAAAATATAGCTAACTTGAATTATGGCTCCAAAAACACAAAATATTTGAAATAACTGATGACTTTTCAACCTTTTCCAGGGGTTAGATTTATGTAACATTGTTATAAACAGATAATTATGATTAAATACACAATAACTTAATAATACAAACACGACAGAAATAGTTTCATCCTTTTGTTTAATTTCGCTCACCTAAATGGTTAAGAGTCAAGCTGACAAAGGCCTTACGCTTTGACTTACTAATGGATGATTGTGGTTGCCAATAATTTTTATCCATTTGATTGTATTATAATTTTCCTTGATAACCATCTAGGCACTTCATGTTAATGCAAACTAGTCGAGACTCGATTTTATACGTCACATAATATCGAAAAGTTCACTGTCAAATAATGGGTTATAAAGTGAGAATCAATGGAAGTCAATAGCTGGTTAACTTACAATCCTGTTTATATCGATTGATTGTTTCACTAAAAATTTTTTAATGCCATTGCAAAAGACTTATAAATCAATTCTGATGGGAAAAATTGAAGATTGGTAAAGGTTGCTCCGAGATTGTGATTGACTACTTTCATGAACTTAACATGAAGCTTCCAGACCTATGCTCAATACTTTCACATTTTGCCTTTAGCTCAATACTTTGAACCAGATTTTAATCTTCTTATTTCAGAAACAAAATTTAGTTTATCCGTTGCCATCATGGAATAAACAAGATGGTTACTAATTTTGTGTTGACTATTGCCATGCTTCTTAAAGTTATTTTAGCCATTTTTTCATTGGCCGCCAATTTCCAGTCGATTTATGGCTTGAGACTTCAGGGTCGAATCGTTGGTGGTTTAGAGTCAAGAACGACTGAGTGGCCTTGGATGATTTCCTTATTTGAATATAATGTGGAAAGTGAAAGGGAAAAATTCAAATGTGGTGACTCCCTCATTGACCAGTTTTGGGCCATAACACTGCCCATTGTGTCTATCGTTGCCCCTGTCAAAAAAGGATGATTACGCCGGTAAACTTGCGGTAAACGACCCAAATATTTAAATCATGTGGAGTTGCCAGTGATGAGCAACTTCAAGTGCCAGATTTTGAAAGCAGTGTATTTCAACGGACGAAATTCCACCATGCGCGGTTGTGTGCTGGTTACCTACCAGGTGGTAAAGATGCATATGATGGTGACTCTGTTGGGTCAAATAATGATCTTTATGAACTTGTTGGATTGATCAGTAATACAGCTGATAATCAATATAATAGCAATTCAAAACCAAGATTCAGAGCCATGATTCAGAGCCAACAGTTAGAATTCAAACTTCATCGGATGTATCATTTAAATGATCTTTCAAGATCAAGATTATGAACAATATCAAGAGCCGGCTCAATCTCCGTCTTACTCAAATAACACAGAGTCTAGTCATGAAATTTTGAATTTTTTAACATTTCAATAAAATGTATTGACTTTTGAGATTTCTTTGGAGATTTCAATGATCTAATTGAAATGGGTTTTACATCATAGTTAGGTAACTCATAATACAAATAAAATGGGAACCGAAACCCTGGTTTAAGCTGAGAATCAAATGATTCCTTTCGATTAGAATGAGATGAAAGTGTCTATGAACAGTAATTGAAAATCCCAACCAAGCTCCAAATGCTGTACCAGTCATAATAAGAGCATCAAGAATTGTCATCTCAGGTTCATATGTTATTCGGTGCATTAGGTCCCTGAGGACGTCAAATGATATTTTAGCAAAATTACCTGTTATAGGGATAGGACTGCGAATCGATGAGTAGAATGATTTAGCAACACAATCTGGTTGTTTGGCTGAATCAAAACACCGAAAAACAATATTTTCAATTGTCTTTAAGTAACCAAGATCTTCTAGGATTTTGCCTTTAGCTCAATACCAGATTTTAATCTTCTTATTTTCAAAACAAAATTTAGTTTATCGGTTGCCATCATGGAGTGAACAATAGTACTAATTTTGTGTTTTGCCATGCTTCTCAAAGTTATTTTATTCATTTTTTCATTGGCCACCAATTTCCAGTCGATTTATGGCTGGAAACTTCAGGGTCGGATCGTTGGTGGCTTAGAGTCCAGACCGACGGAGTGGCCTTTCATGATTTCTTTATTCGAAATGTATTATAATGAAGAAAATGAAATTGAAATGGAAAAATTCAAATGTGGAGCCTCCCTCATTGGTCAGTTTTGGGCCATAACAGCTGCCCATTGTGTCTATCGCAAGGATGCAGCGAATTTTAGACTTAGAATTGGGGAAACAAGAGACTTTCCTCATGGTAAGAAAGTAATTCACATTCATGAATTTATTTGTCATCCATTGTATCGACATGGTATGTTTACAAATGACATTGCCTTGATACGCTTCATGACACCGGTGACTTTTGACACCGAAATTTATCCCATTTCGTTGCCCCTGTCAAAAGAGGATGATTACGCCGGTAAACTTGCAACCGTCATTGGATGGGGATCCTTAGGTGAGAGGCCAAATCAACGACCCAAATATTTAAATCATGTGGAGTTGCCAGTGATGAGCAACTTCAAGTGCCAACAGATTTTGAAGTTAACAAGCGTATTTCAAAGAACAAAATTCCATCATTCGTGGTTGTGTGCTGGTTACCTACCAGGTGGTAAAGATGCATGTGATGGTGACTCTGGTGGACCTCTAGCTGTCCAGGAAAATGGCCAGTGGACTCTGATTGGTATTGTTTCTGCTGGATTTGGTTGTGCTCGACCCTTTCAACCTGGTATTTACGCTCGGGTCACCAAGTTTCTCGATTGGATTGCGTGTGTGACAGCAAACTATGATGTCTTGGATGATTATTATCATTGCCTTACTTCATCCAAAAACTAGAAAATAGTTTTGCTATTCTGGTACAGTCTTTTCACACTTATTTTGACAAAAAAATCAGAGCCATCTATTGGTATCGAAACTCTAGCCCTAGCATTAACAGTGCTAACTTAGTACGTTCGTCTTACTATTGGCAATATAATAGACGGCGCTGTTTTTTTTGTCAAAATAAGTGTGAAAAGACTGTAATATACTTGTCTCACTGCTTTAAAGGGATTGTTTTGTGTTCAACCAGATTCCTTGTATTTCCGATTTGGTAAATTGGTGTCCATCTCAACAGATACCGAGCATCCCATGTTGGATGAAATGGTTCATTATCTAACCTACGCCATTTCGGAGGAACCTTGAAAATTTGTTCAATCAAGAGCAAAATAAAACATGGATTGGTTTTAGAAACGGTAATCTTCCCGATTATAATCAAAATCAATGTAGTTAACGAAAAACAAATAAACAAATAAACATCAATTAACCTTGATTTTGAATGTGAGTGTTGGAATAGTAACTAAATAATAAATAGATATTAACAGCGGATCGATGCGTAGGAATCATTAAAATTTGCTGTCAACAAAAAAAAGCCAGCCAAGGAAGTCGATAGTAAACAAGATACATTGACTCAGTTTGAGTTCACTTTTGATGAAGATTGAAATGATGAGCAAAATTATGGATTGACTTCTGTTAATTAATGATTCCGATTGCGAATGTACGTTCCAAAAATTGTCTCTCTTCAGATTAGTCATTTAACCTCAAGGTTTATACCTTGTAAACAGACAGTGTTTGCCCACTAAGACTGGTTTCTTCCGTTTAAGCGATTTGCCAAATTATATTAGCAGAATACCTTAACTGTGATTAAGGGAATTGATGTAAATAGCTAATCAACCCACACTAATTTTAAGCGTAAACTTGCTTTGTTTGCTGTTTTGTTGTTAAAAAAACCTCGAACCTTGTTAAGTGTTTAATCAACATCCACTCATTACCTTCTCGATTTGTATTTTTTTACTCATGTTGACATGAAATGGTAAGGGAAGACGATGAAGATTGTGTTAAGGGAGGGAAAGTCCATGGAGGAAGAGAGTAAAAGTGAGAATTGGCAATAATCTTGTTCATCCGAGTTCGTGGGCATTTCTTTGGGATCTTTTTGCATTACCAAAATTAACCCAACCCATAATCGATCCTTATTAGGTAAATTGTTGTTCCTACGAAGTATTGAATCTTCGTCATCTTCACCATTATCTTATTAATTATACATCGAGAAAATTTTAGAATCTTCTTGAGCTTAGAAATTCAAAAGTATCTTAGCAGAAAAATTGCTCAACATTCAAAATACTATTCATTTGCTTCGTTTTCATTCACAAATTCGTGTTCAAGAAAACTTCCTCACTAGTGATTTTCATTAATTTATCAAATTGATTCCAATTTTATTTCAAATCACCTTTGGTTCCATCTCTTAATTCATATTTATCAAGCTGCCTTGTCTTCATCTGGTAAGAGGACTTTTATCAAATATCTACTAATATTCAAGTCTATTTAATTTTGTTCAACCTTTAATTACAATTTGGTTTGCCTGTTTAATTTTCCAATCAACTTATTTGTTATCCATTCCTTCAGGTTTAATTTATTTTTGTATCGAGTGTCAAAGATCAAAGTGACACAAAGATGGCTCCTTCACCAGCTAGGATTACCAATCAAGGTCCAAGTCGCAATTCATTTGAAGCTTCACTTCGATCCAGTGATAGCCCTTCTAGATCAACTGTTAAAACTCGTCCATTAAATAGTAGAGATAAATCTCCCAACAAGTCACCAACACGTTCACCAGTGCGTGAAACATACCGACCTGATTCATGGAAGACTCGACCAGAGTCACAAAATACCAACGATTCATCAACAAAGACGATCACTGTTCGACCAGCTTCCAGTAGTTCCGTAAAATCATCATCATCATCGATATCTAGAACCGTCAGTCCTGGTGTTTCTGGTAAATCAACACCATTTGAAGCTAAGTATGACTCTAAAAATTGGGAAAAGTGCGGTGAAAGAGAATCGACTTGGCCTAAGATGGCGGAAAAAGTATTATCTGCTGAAGCTCCATTAACATCAGCCAAAGCATCGAGCACATCAGCAACAGCATCATCAATATCTTCAGTAACCACCAATCGTTCACAAAACCGATCACCAAGTCGTGAAAGTGAAAAAAAGGTTCGCATTAATCTGGAACCAATGGCTAAATCATCATACTCTCATGAATATCATTCAGAAATGAAGAGTTCTTCATCATCAACAAGCAAACGAGATGATAAATCACCGATCACCGAAACAAGTACAACAACATCGAGTTCATCAAAAGAAGTGATTGAGTGTTCAATTGAAGTTCCAGAAGATGGCTGGTCACTCAAAGATTCAATAAGGAAGAAGCTTCTCAACCCTAAATCGGGTATGTTTAATCTTCCAACTTCACGTCCAACTAATATCACTTTTCTAGAAGCTTTGAAATGTAAAATTATCAATCCCATTTCAGCTGATGTTGTTGATCCAGCTCGACTATCTTCACCACAAGCCTCGGGTTCCACTTCATCACCAATCAGCTCTCGACCAGTATCCTTATACCGTGCTCTTGAAAAGGGTTTACTCGATGAACACGGATCTTATTCAATTGACAACAACAGAAGTAAAATATCCCTAGAAGAAGCAATTGACCGAGGTTTTGTCACTTTTGACGATAAAGTTAAAACAAGTGATTCTTTGGTTACTCGTGTCATCAAAATAGTTCGTACTGAAGGCATATCACCAAAAGATGAGGTTACATTGGAGCCAAGTCCAATAGGAATGCGATCATCACCAATCAGATCTTCAATTCGAAACAGATCATCAAGTCCACCGAAAATGGAGTCAACATCATCCGAATCCAAGCGTTTTTCATCAACATCAACCCATAAATCTGAATCATTTGAAGATTCTAAATCTTCATCGGGAAAAGTTGATTCAACAACAAAATATGAAGAGTTTGTTGAAATAGGAACAAATATCTTTTATTGTCCATCAAGTGATACAGTCTTTGATGAAGTAACAAGTAAACGGTCAACATTAGCTGAATCTTTGGCCAATAGAAACATTGACTGGGCAAAATTTTCCGTCATCGACACCTTAACAGGCAAACCAATCAGCTTGAGTGAGGCCATATCTCGCAAGATTCTTGATCCAGTTAAATATACTGTTGTCGATAAGAAGCGAGGTAAAACATATACTTTACCAGAAGCAGTAAGACGAGGTCTTTTTATCCTTTCATCATCGCCATTACTTTTGATGGAATCGGCCTCGGCTGCTTCACAGGTTACTATCAATCCAAGTCTAGATGAAAGTGACTCAGGTCGACCAGGATCAAGATTAATCAGAGAAACAGTTCAAGTCTTAAAGTCTCGAGAAATTTTCATCAAAGATCCATCAACCGGCCAAGAAGTTGCACTTGAAGAGGCTGTACGGAAAGGTTTAGTTGACCGAGAGACTGCAGATCGATTACGAGCACAAGAATCATCGGCTTCAGGATTTTCAGTCAACCGATCTGTTAACTTGACCGTTCATGATCCAAGGACTGGCCAAGAGATTCCCATTGACTTGGCTGTTAGAAAGGGTATCATTGATCAAGCAACGGCTGATCGTATCCGAAGAGGCGAAGTCATCGAGAATGTCATCTCAACCAATGTTACTCTTGTTGACGATGAAACGGAAAACTGGTCCGATATTGTATCAGAGATCAATGAAAGGTTGGACTTGATTACCGAATTCAAAGCTTTCCAACAAAATTATACTTTGGCCAAGAAATGGCTTGACGGTGTTGAAAGAAGGATCCATTCATTGGTGGCTGATGATGATGGTGATTTAATCAACATTGAGTCCAAACGGTCCCAAGTAAATATGTTGAAAGCTGAACTGTCATCGCAATTTCATTTGATAAAAACTGTCGACGAATCAGCTGAACTCTGTAAAATCAGAATGGATCGCGATTCAATTGAATTCAATCGAATTGAAAGGTTGACTCGAGCTCTTCACGATCAATATAAATCTTGTGTAAACTCTGCCAATGATTTGGAGAAACGATTAACTGATCTTGATCAAGCAAGGTCTAAATATTATTCAAAAGTATCTTCAATTGACAAAGAGCTGGAATCAATATCAAGTGATTTTAACAAAATTTGCATCTCATCTTCATTGTCCCTTGATGAGAAGGAGATCAAGTTGATTACATTGGAGTCTCGATTAACCTCTCAAAGATCGTACATTGGTGAATGCGAGGCTATCTGTGACCATCTCTGTCGACTTTTGGCTTCCTCAAGCGAACAAATAAAGGCACGAAATAGCCTAAATGAAATTGAACGCAAGTATCGTGAGATTAGTGGTGACATTAAAGATGCAACCTTAAATTATAAAGATTTTGAATCTTTTTCAAGGAAAGCAAATGAATTTAGCAAATGGCAGTCAACTATTGAAACATCTTTATCTAAATCCAGTTCATCGACCAGTCACCAGTTAAGTTCACTTCGAGATGAATTTGAACGAATTGAGTCAATCATTAAAAGTATACAATCACGTGAAGTTGATTATGAAGATTTAATTGAATCTGGAAATGATTTGATCAGTCGACTTGAAAACTCTTATGAAACCAATACAATCCGATCTAAATTGGAGACAATCAATTCAAGCTGGGAATCAATTCGATCCTCAGCCGAGTCTAAAATTAATCAATTAGAGGCAAGTTTACAAGCATCAAGCAAAGCAAAGGAAACATTGAGAAAATTCAACTCTTATTTGGATAGCGTTGAAACTGATTTATCCAATTTACCTGAAACTACTTGTAATCAGATGACAAATGAGAAAAGTTTATCATTTGTTGACAAATTAAAGTCAAGCTTGGATCAACACAAATCAGAATATGTAATTGTGTCCAATTTAAAGGTAATTGGATCGGATAAATCAACAAATCTAATTGAGAAAGAAGTCAAAGAAAGTTGCTCTCGATATGAAAAGGTTTACAAAGAGACGACTAAAAAATATGAACAATTACGAGAAATGGTTGGTAAATTGGAATCGCTGGATTCAACTCTTAAACAGGTCGCCAGTGAGGTTGAAAGGTTTGAATGCAAGGTTGCTTCAAGTCAAGTAATGTCATCAACGTCTTGCGATTCAAAATTATTTGAAACAACTAAAGGTCTGCTGAACCAATCTTCCAGTTTAATCGATAAAGTTGAACAATCAAAGAGACGGATTGTTGAAATTACCAGTGAAACGGTTAATTCAGAATCCAATTCTTTTGTTAACGAGATAAACCATTATGTTGATCGGGTTAAGTCAATTAACCATCAATTATCATCTCGATTGGAGTCAATTGAATCAGCATCAGCTGCCATTGACAAAATACGACAAAAACTGGATAAAGCTGAAGCTCAATTGAAACAAGAGGAGAAGATTATTTCACGATTTTCCTCCATTTCAAGTGAAAGTGTTGCTCTTGAGAAACAAATGGTCGAAGTGGAAGACATTTATCATGAAAGTGATAAAATCACGTCAAATTTGGATGAATTGAATAAAATGGTAATGCATGAAGAGACTCGATCATTGGGCAAAGAATGGGAAACAACTTATCGCCATTTTGTCCATTTAATACGCTCAATGGAAACTAAACATTCAACCAATTTAACAATCCTTAACCAACGTAAAGAAGCAATTAAATTGGCTTTAAATGAGACTCGACAATTTGAGCAAAAATTGCACGATTTTGATTGTTGGCTAACAGAAACTGAATCTCAACTTGAAAAGATGGAAGAAGCATCTTACTTGACTGAAACCTTGGAGACTCAAATGAACCAGAATCAACAATTGCAAGAGTCTATTCGTCGTAAGCAAAGCATTCTAGAAGATTTGGAGAAGAGCGGTAAACAACGTGACCTGTTGATGACCATTAGACACCGATGGAATAGGTTAACCTCTAGATGTACTGAGAGAAGTCAAATTCTTGATCGTAACCTAAAGTTGGCTCGTGAGTTTGTCGACAAATGGACATCATTGATTGATTGGTTAACCGAGACTGAAGTTACTCTGGAAACTCGATCTTCATCCAAATCGCAATCTGTTTCATCGCGCTTGATGGAGACTCGAAATAATTACAAAAATTTACTTCGATCATTTGAAAGTAAAAAATCACTTTATGAGACAACACTTCGACTTGGTTCATCATTAAGGGATAAAAGTCCTAAAAGCGATTCTCCTGTCTTCCAGAGAATGTTGAATGAGTTGACATCCAAATGGGAATCAGCCTTAACTACAATCACGGAAACTTTGTCATCTCTTGAACATGATCTCAATTGTTCCGATAAATATCAATCATTGGTTAAAGATTTGACTGCTTGGATCCAATCAAACCAGATTACATTGGATGGACTTTGTGGGGACGTAAAAACTGTCGAGAAAATGATTCGAGAACACTCGGCTTGGAGTAAAAGCTTGAAATTGCAAGAGGATAAAATGGTTAAAATTAAACATCTTGGAGAGCAATTGATTAGCAATAATGTTTCTTCTGAAGACTCGATTGGAATTAAGCGAGAAATTAAAGATTTATCTCGACTGTTGGACGAGTTGAACGAGAAAAGTGTAGCTAAGGAGAAAAGGTTGAAGGAATCGTTGAGAAAAGCTGAACAGTTGGAAACTGAGGTTAATCGGTTGATAAATTGGTTGGTAAAAATTGACTCTTCTGTTAATAAAATGGATTCCTCTATGAATTTTTCCGAAGAAACTGAATTGGTCAAATATAATCAACAAATTGAAATGTTTACCAATGAAATGGAAAGAGAAGAGGTTAATCGAGATCGACTGATTGCTGACTGCCAAAACGTGTTACTTGATTGCCATCCCGAGGCTGAATATACAATTCGTCATTATATAACTGTCATTGAATCCAAATGGAAATCAGTTTCTGATTTGTTGAAAGTTAAATCAGCCAAAGGTAAAGCAGCTTACAATGATTTGATGGATAAGGCAAACTCGCTTGATCAATTATTACAATGGCTTAGTCGAGCTGAGCAGGACTTTGAAAATATGGAATCACAACCAATTCCAGATGAGCCTCACTTGATTCGCTCATTAATTGAACAATTTGAATCTTTTAAGTCAAGAATAATGTTGAAGGAAAGTGAGTTTGACCAAGTAGCAACCGATTATTATAATGGCAACCGGCAACAGCAATTAGGAAAGGAGCGATCATCCAGAGTATCAAATAGATTGGTTCATGTCAAGTCTTTGGATGTTTCTTTGTCTTCGTTGACTCACTCAAAGGCCATTGAAGTGGTTGGAAGATGGCAAAAGTTAATTAAGGCAATTAACGATCGATTGGTGCGACTTCGAAGCAAGCATAATTACTTCAGTGAATTGGAAAGGTTGAAAGATTTTGATTTTGATGCTTGGAGAAGGCGATTCCTAGATTGGATGAATGAGAAGAAAGCCAAGATAATGGACTTTTTCCGTAAAATGGATGATGATCATGACGATAAAGTTAATTATGAACAATTTATTGATGGCTTCATGAGATCCAAATTTCCTACCAGTCGAAGTGAGATGTCAAAAGTTGTCACCATTTTTGATCGTAACGCAGATGGTTTTGTGGATAGTAAAGAATGGATTGATACACTGAAAGATAAAACAGAAGCTGAAATAATTAAAGATGAGGTTTTCCGTCAAGTGGCTCAATGTACCTGTCAAGATAAATATAAAGTCCACCAAGTCGAAGAGCGTAAATATCGAGTAAGTATTAACTATCAGTTTACACAATCATACTCATTACGAGCTAAAAGACAAGGCAAAGCATTTTACGCTTTATCAGGTGTTCACTTGCTGATACCATTTGACTTGTATGCTAAGTCAATTTACTGATTGTTTTTACTTCAATTAGTGAAATTAAATTTGATAAATCTAAATTTAGTCAATTCATTTAATAATCATGTTTGTCATCTATTCATTTACAGTTTGGCGAATCACAGAAATTAAGACTTGTACGTATCTTGAGAAGTGTTGTTATGGTTAGAGTTGGTGGTGGATGGGTTAGCCTGAATGAGTTCCTGCTCAAAAATGATCCTTGTAGAGGTAAGTAAATTGTAAATTAATTAAACAATTATTAAGTCATGGGAAAAGGATTGTATTCAAGTAAGAGACAAAATGATTGATAGAAGACAATTAGACTGTAGAGATGCAGCATTATAAACATATCTATATATGAAAGTAGCTATGAGAGTTTTTGTCTGCTTAACAATCTGTTAGGCTTGTAAGGTATTTTCACTTTTTGTTGGATATTATTATTACAATTGATTTACTTGCATCACTTTTTGTCAACGCTATTTGAGGCCAAAACTAATTATCTCGTCGTTTTTTGCACAATTTTACTTTGATCCAGCCAAGGGTCGGACAAACGTTGAATTGAGGGAACCATTGGCTGATGGTGTCAGTCAAAGCATGGCTGCTTTCCAACCCAAAATAACATCAACACCAACTGAGGGAAATATCATTTACGGTCCAGTTACCAAGGTAAATATTGGGCTTTGATTGGAACTATTCAAGTGTTAGAGTTCATATTGGTTAATATAACTTTTTTTTGTGTTTGTTCACAGATTCGCGAAAAGACTGATCGAAGTATGCCAATGTCAGGGACTACCGATGGCAATGAAGATTCAGATAGTTTGGGTGAACTCAGATCCCGATCTCGATCCCAGCCACGAACCGGAGGTTAGTATAATCAATCATTTCTGATTATTTTAATCAATGGCAGTCATGAGCAATTCATTCCTTTGTTACTTCTGAATTCTAACCTATGCTAAATTTTTCTATCTCTTATAGCATCAAGCCGAGCTAGTGATGGATTATCTGATGTCAGTTTAGATGCACATCTCAATCAACAACAACAACAACCACAATCGCTACGAATGTCAAGAATTGATAGTAAACCTCGATGGCGCTGATATGGATCACAATATTTTTGGAAAGTCGCCAATCAATTTTACCTTTTATAACTCTTTTTTTACGAGATTTTGAACAGCAACCCATTAAAATGAATGTTGCTCCATTTAGTTTTTTATTTTTACGCTAATTTTTATACTTACACTTTTAACATTTACACTTTTTACCATTGATTTTACTTGCAATTAAAAATTAAAATAAAAAATTGAAACAAATTAGTGATATCTTTAAATTTCGGGTTTAGTCGAAAGAAGGTTGGAATAGTCGATTGAAAAGTAAAATTAATAAATTCGATTCATTTATTTTAGATAAAATTTCATTTCTTTTCAATATAAAATTGTTTGCAAGAAAAGAAAATTTGATATTACATAATTATTTGATAATTAAAATTAGAATAATTATTAGTAATAATTAGGCTGGAATTGCATTTTGTTGATTTTGTTCATTTGCATAGGTAATTGTTTCTCTTGGTATAAACAGGAAACAGGTGTGATTATCAAGTGTGTCATGGTGCTTTAATTTATCCGTAAATCACAATGCCCATTGGTTGAGAGAGTTTTATACCAATGTTCATAACAATGTTCATATTAAAAAAGTATGACAGTAATGAATAGTAATGAACAAGGCAATGATGGTGATGGTAATGATGATGATGATGATGATGATCCTAATGAAATACAAAGTAGCAATGGCAATGGTGGAAGGTGGAATGAATTTTGTTATGAGAATCCATGATTTCGGGTGAAATAATTATAGCTATGAGAAGTTGATTGAGATGATGGTGATGAAGATGATGGAAGATTTGTTGTTCAACAAAAAAAACAATGGTGAGGATGGTGATGATAGTCATGAGTTGGAACTTGATTGATTCAAAGTTAATTGATGGATCAATGGATGACAATGGTTGGTGTTTTTAAAATGACAATTATTGTTTCCAATTATTACGATTCCGATTATCATGTTTCGTTAACATCAGCTGCTGTTATTGATGGAGCTGCAGCAGGTTTTTCGGTGAAATCTCCTTCAGAGTCTTCTTCATATTTTTTACCACAATGTTTACAAATACAGGCTATGCAGACTATGCATATAAGGATTAGACAAAGAGTGAATAAAGCAATTGCCACCATTACTGTAGGATCCGATATTGCGGATAAAATGTTTTTACAATCGACCAAAGCTTCCAGTGAATCAATCCGTACATCCTAAAAGATGGAAAAAAGTAAATAAAAGGAAACATAATTAGTTGATTAATTAAGATTTAACTTGGTTTTAGGTTGTGTGTGTGAGAGAAAGATCAAGTTGATCATTTTGATACTTTAATTGTGGCTTGTTAAGGTTTAATTGGACGAGGAAATTGTTAACAACTTGTTTACCTGTAAAGCCAATGCCTTATAAAGGAATCACTAATTCCATGATGTAGATGAAATAAACAAAATCACGAAAATTTTTCATATTTGTTGGTTTAATTAAAGAGCAGTACACTTTTATATCACACACTCAGGAAAAAAAGCTAAACCTTGAAACATTACTCTGCAAACAAACAATAAAATTAAAATATAAAACGTCTATCTAATCATCTTGACTTTCACTTGTTGAACCTTTCAATGATTAAACATCTTAATCACCTAGCCCAGTAATCAAGAGGTTCAGCTGATTGTATCATACTGATCAAAACAAGGAAACAACAAACTCAAACAGATTAAAAAGCCGTTAATAGCAGACGAGTCTCTTAAAATAACAATAAGTACAAATAGACATCATTGTTATTCACACAGCAATTAAAAGAATAATTTTTTAATAAATTAATTAGCCTATCAAATGTAATTTTAAAATCAAAATTTGTTTAATCACACAATGAACAGTTGTTAATTTGTTAAAATTTGTCCTAAAAGTTAATTTAAATTCTTATTAATTAGATGATATCAATAATCGCGATATATTGATCAGCCTATTTTCAGTTTTTCACATGTAAAGGTTTTTCATTGAATGGGTAAACCCGACTTTTGTTTTCAAGATCATTTCAATTATGTTTTTAATTTATTAAATTAGTATCAACAACCAACGTCCACCATTGAGTTATCAATTTACCCAATCAAAAGAGCAACAAAAGGAAAATCAAAGGATATAAAATCATAAATTACATTTGTGCAAGTGATAAACGATAGACGCTTAGATATGGCCGTACAAGTAAAAGTGTGCGCAACAAGTAACATGATGAACCTGTTTAACTTCATCAGGCCTTTTCTTCATCTTTTTATTGAACATCCTTCATGATGATGATCATCACCAACAACAACAACAACAACATCAGAATGATGAACCAGTCTCTCTGGATGATGTAACAAGTATACAGAGGACGATAAAGAAGATGAGCAAGAAATAAATAAAAAAAAGCAAGACAACGTTCAATTTATCATCTTCATCTTCTCAGCCGGTTACCAGGCTCAAAGTCTCTCTTCACTGATTCTTCTCTCTCCTCATTCCCTTTCTCTTTCCTCCATCTTTCATCCTCTTTATCTTTAATTTTTTTCTTTCAACAACCACTTTTAAAGCCTACATTCTTCTTCTCCTTATTCACCGTCATAAAGATTCCTTGCCAACTTCATTACCAATGGAAGTTACCTTTTCCTCTTTCTTTCTTTCCTCTTTCTCTCATCAATTCTATCATCTTACTCTTTCAATCAAATCTTCTCCATCAACCGACATCTTTTTTTCCCTGTGTAGGTAGTGTTTACCTTGCACTTGTTTTGTCTCTCATCTTATCCCTTTTAGTTTCATTTTTTTCCTCACTTTCCTTCTTTCTCCAGACAACTCTTTGTTTTTTGCCCTCTTATCATCCTCCTTCTCCTTCTCCTCCCTTTAGTTTAAAATCAGTGTGAAAATAAGTATTTGGCAGGTAATAAGAACCAAAAAACGGCCCAAGAAAAAGCTAGTAAAGATAATCGTCACTTGAAAATGTTGTGGTAAAGAAGCCAAAACCAATTATCCACTGTAATCCGGTTTTTTAAAACAATGTCCAGTCTAAGTAGAAGATTTTCAAAAAAAAACTTTCTCTTCTCTACCATCATCATCATCATACATTTTCTTGAACCTTTTTTGACTCCCTTAAAGCCACCAAGTAAATTATTATGCCTTTGAGAGGTAAAACAAGTAAACTTTACTAGTTTACCTGGAGAACATTGAACTTCTACTTTTTACGCTCTTCTTCATTAGATTGACCGATCTTCTTTGTACCTTCTTTACACCATTATTTTAACAAGTAAAAGTAAGAAGATGCTGACTATTAAGATGGTTGGTCATTTAAGTGTCTTTAAAAATGACATTGCCATTCAAAGTGTAGGAGGCTTTGGGTGGGAAGATTTGTCGACCCTCTACAAGATGAAATAACAACCAGGCAAGAAAAATAATGAACCAAATACAAATGTACCTTGAATTACAAGAACACAATCAACATACAAATGATATTGTTAACAACCATAAGCATTAGCCTTTTTTCAGTCAATCCAGCAATAAAAAAGCACAATTTTGAAAGGCCTTTTATTGTAATACTTAAAAACACTGTTAACATTCATAACTTGTAGTATAATGAACAAAATTGTTAACCTTAAAATGTAAATTCATCTGCAAATTTCAGCTCAAAATCCTATTTCAGGGTGTATCAAAGTAACACCCAGAATCACAGTGTTAACAGAAAAAAGATTTAAAATTTAACAACAATTGAGATTCTCAATGTTACAATCAAATGAAGATCTTCAACCAAGAGTCTCAAGATATTTCATTCACATCTAAACGGATCTGTGACTTGACCAAATTGGCAGTTAATCAAGTAAACAATCCAAATGGTCACAATTCAAAATCCAAATTTGTTACAGTTAACTCAATTGAACAAAGTGTCACTTGACTGCCTAATAGTCAACAAGTAAAAGGTAAACAATTGTTTGGGTCATTTTCTGGGTCCTTTAACTGTCAAAATAGTAGCAAATAAAAAAAGGCAAATCAAATTAGAAGGCAATTTACTAATTTACTAATCATTAAATCTAATAATAATTCGTATTGTTGAAGTAAACAAACAATTGAAAGACAATTGAGACTCATTGAAAGCGTACCATTAACATAACTGAATTAAACTAACACCCAAACTAATAAACTTGAGATTTTAAATTGAAACAATTGGTTAACTTGATTGGTCACTTTAACCATTTAACACTGTTAATCAAAAAAAGTAGAATAGAGTTGAAGGTAAATGGTCAGATTGATTCAATTTACTTGAAATGGTTAATATTTCCAAATCAATTTCCATCCAATATTGAAAGAGTTAACTGTTATGATAATGATGATAATTAATGATAATAACTTTTCTGAGCTTTAAATTGTCGATAAATTATCTGCATGATTAAAGAAGCGTAACAATTTTACTGTCACAAAATATAACTTGATTTGACCTGTATATTTCAATGCGTTTCACTCATTTCATTTTTTTCAGTTTACTGGTGAAAAAATTATGACTTGACTGACGTTGATGATGATCATCATGATGATTATGGTACTGGTGATGATAATGGTGATTATGATGACAATAATCAAGAAACAAGGAAGAGATGCTTCTGTAAACATGGACGACTTTTGGCCCTAATTTACCTTTTTTTGGCTGTTGCTTGAGAAGCTGAAAATTGTTTCATCAACATCATAATCATCTTTAATGTACTTTCATTAACTACTAACACAGATTTTTACCATCAATTTAACCCATTAATCAATTATCAAGACGTCAATCCATATTGACCAATCAACTTGAATGGGTTACATCTTTAAAGCTCTGATAAGCTCAACAATTGCAAGATTAAAGTGGATTCAAACAATTATATAAATCATCTCTGGTGTGAATCAAATAAGGTGAAATTGATTAGTGAAATGAACAGTAAAAAGGTTGAAAACGGTGTGAGTTTAGATGTTGAGTTGGAACTGAAATTATGATGGAAATTGTGAGAAATTGTAAATTTCATTGAAATGATGAACATGGGTAAATAAGGATGTTGATCATCAAGTCAAGTTTATCTTCATTAACAACAATCAACGTTGTTCTTTGGTGGCCATTAAAGTGCAAAAATACTAAGACTATGAAATTAGTTGGTAAGGTTAATTTTTTGGAACCGGTTTTGTTGCTATTTACCTTGTTGTACCAATTTTTATATTCAAATGTAAAGGTAAAAAGTTGCTCATAAAAATCTATGGTTTTATCTGTTGAACTCTTCATGTTTCTCTGAATTTTCAACAACTGATGTTATTGTTGAATTTGGGTTAAATGTTGGAGAAAAGGTTTGTTCATATTTACATTGACATTTGTTAACCTTTTGGTTGACAGTTTGGTTCATTTTCTGGTTTTGGTTTCTTTCTCAATCAAATTACTAATGAACAACTGATGATTTGGTAAAGTAATCAACATTTAGAGCATAAAAATCTAATCATTATTATTAATTATCACCATAAACAGGCTTAAATTTTCACTTCTCACGGCTCAACTTGACTTGGGTTGACATTTAAATGTAATGGTTGACAATGCATTTACCAATGTAACAAGTTTTCCCATTAAAGTATCAAAATTGATTGCTTGATTATTTGTGTAATTGTTTCTGGTTAATTGTCACATTTTAATTAATTGCTATTGCTTACCGTTTTCTTTCCAATGGCTATCTTTTCACTGCCAAAATAGATGTAATCCCGGCCTTCTGGGGTGAAATTGGTTGCTAAAGCTCTACAGTAACCAGCTTTTTTGTAGGCAACCTTAAAATTATCATCGGTTCCTTCAGTTTTAAATGAACACTCTCTTTCCTGGAATTTTACACCATCAAATGATGCTGTACAAGCTCTTGAACCAAATGAATTACGTCCAATTGTTGTGAAGCCAATTAAATTTTCCTGCAATGGATCACATGTGAAACAATCAGGATCTCGAGGAACTGCTTCACTGAATAATTTAGTTAATAAATCGGTCGCTTTTAACACATAATCCCTGTACAACCAGTAATGGTCATCCTGTGATTCAACAATAAAAACAGAAAAAAAGAAACATTAGTATCAATGATAATAATTCAATTAATAACCAACTCGCCACAAAACAATCGAAGGTTCATCATTGAAAAAGGTCAACAAATGCTTGGGAAATAACAAAATCAAGGTGATTGAAATTACTTGATAGCCATTAACGCCAAAAAGCTAACAAACCTGTTCAGATATTAAACCATCAAAAGCATCATCATGATATGATCAATAACATTATCAAAATAATCATCTGAATTGGAAAAATTTTCATCCAAAAAAAACATTTTTTCATCAAACAAACAAACCCAAAGACATTAAAGGTTAAACCTAGAAGAGTCACTCTCTTCCCATCAAATGGGATAAACAAACAAGAGTTGCGTGAAAATATTTCAATTTCAACTCAACATTGTTATTGGATATTTAATCATCATTACCTGATGCTAACAATGATATATGAATAACTATTATCGTTGATTAAATTATTAACCATCTTAATCATTGTCTGCCTTTGCACATTAAACTTTAGCATTGAAATTTGCAATTACGTTTTGTTGAGTGAAAACATTCCCAGTCAGTTTTTGTTCAATTCAAGGACAATTTAAGCAAATTTAAATATTAATCAAAGTTTACTTGATAAATTTACTGAATTAATTGTTAAATTGTTAAAACGATCAAATCAAGGCTCATCTTAATCATCGCAACAGTAACAAGTCTTTACCGTAAACAATTTTCAATGGTTATTAACCTGATTTGGGTTAACCAGATTAATTAATTTAATGGTTAAAAGGCTGATCAAGATGAGATTTAAATTATAATTGTTATTCAATCTGATTTGCTTCATTACAATTTAAGGTCAGTTTTTTTGTTTTATTTTGCAAGCCTTTAGCATCATCTTAATTAAAAGTTGATTGTTTATTTATAATCAATTGTAAAACAATAAAAACACTTTTCCATCAAATTGGTTCAACTGATTGGTATTTTCAGTAGCAAATTTGAATGTTAATTTAAAAGTAAATGCGTCTCAATTTAGCTGATTAAACAGTTTAAATTAAAACCTGTTTCTCCAATTGAACATCGTCTTGATTAACTTGATATTTATGGTCATGGATCAGTTTAATAAGGTTGAAAATGACAGCAATTTTGTCCTTACCAATCAAACTACAGTTTAAAGCGGAAGGTTAATCATAATTTGGTACAAATCTGTAATCAATGATTGTCATGCAATGGCCAAATTACAAGACAATTGATTGAGCTAATTTTACTAATCAAATTGTCTTAATAAGTGAAAGTCTGAAAATGTCAAAAGTTGATTTAAATTGTTTCTGGAGTAAGTATCAAGTTAATTGTATTTTATCACCCTTTTTTAATCAATGCTCTCAGCCAATTTACTTTTCAACTGTTTTTGTCGCACTTTTTTCTTACAAAATTTTAAATATATTTAAGTTAATCATAATTTATAAGTGCTCTGATTGACTGTATAAGACTAATAGCTATTAATAAAAAAGGTAATCATAACAGTTGATATTTGAATTGGGATTTCAGGTCATTTCGGGTTGAGTGTTTTGAAAGCAACAAAAAACTGGTTAAGTTTTCCTTTTTTTTGGTTAGTTTAAGTTGAATAAGTAAATATTGAAAATTGTTGTAAAATGATTCGATTGTTTGATATTGCTAATTAGAAAAATCATTTTGTTGTTAATTAATTGAAACTATGCCATTATAAAAATACTAGATCAGGAGGGTTAATCAGGTTGATGGTCAGGTTGAAACAAATCTTTGGGTTCAACACTGATTTGTGGTTAGCTTTTTGGTTTGGGTTTTAAGCTTGGCTTCAACCTTGGTTAGTTTGAATTTTGATGTTTAAAACTGTGAACTTGTCATTGAATTTATGTTTGTTCATCAAAAGCATACATCTTTGGGTAAAGGATTGATGAATCAACATGAAAACATAGTAATTTCAAGGTTCTTGGGTTTGATTTGCAAAGGCAAAAGCTTTTGGTTTTTTCAACAGATCAACATCAATGGCAACAATTTGAAACGTTTCCAACGAAATGAAATTGAACAATTCAATATTTAACCATTTAATAATAGAAACGGAGATTAATCTATCAATTATTAAAACCATTGGTTATTTTTAACCATCCAGAGTATAATAATCCTGATGTTGGTGAATGTAGCCAAATAGAGATGTTTAAGGTTTTCAATGACAGCTAAACACATGGTTTGATTGTAATAATTACGGGTAACATGTTTTAACAATATGGACTCGTTTAAAAAGGTCAGTTGAGTATAATAGTAATTGTTAATCAGGCTTGAAAAAAGGTTGATATTGGCTTGATCTTGGCCTCAATTAAACCATCTTCAAATTCAGGTTTACTCCTCAGGTCTCATCAATAGCTGGTGGTCTTGAAACCCGATCTATCGTTATTTTATTTATTATCATCTTCATCCACACCATTCAAATGATCATCAGCAGAGGAAACATTGAGTTAGTTATCCAATCAAATGGTTTGTTGTGGTTAAAACTGTAGTTACTTGAATTACCAAGTAATAATAAATACGATCCTTGGTTAACTTCACCAATGCACAGCAAGGTAATATTAATGCGCCATCATTTCTGGTCATCTTCTTACATGGCTTTAAACTTAAGGCTTAAAGTTATGGTTTAAGGTCAATTCTTTCTGGTGATTGAATTCAACAAAAGCAAGAAGCGTCAATAATCAGGAGCAACAAATTAGCTGAGCTTAAAATAATCTTGTATGAGATTTTTGCATGATTCAATCGGAAAAAATATCTTACTATTTTAGTATCGGCAATATCAATTAAAGTTTAATGTTAATTGTTGCAATGCTATTGCATGAGAACGATGAATTTGGATCATCTGGTTTCAATGATGAGGAAAAAGTAAAACAAAATTATCAATTAAGGCTAGTTCATCTTCACATTAAGTGTTAATTTAATCACAACTTTGAAATACGATATTTAGGTGACTAGATTGATCGGGTTTGCTAAATATTTTTATAAATCCATCATTCAATACTAGCAAAAAGTTGAGACACTTTAATTTCAATGTGTATCACATATCGTTTTCACTTGCTTACACCTGAACACATGCATCAGATGTATTCACTTAAGATGATGATAATTTGCCAAGAATCAAATTTACTGTCATGGTTGATGGTAAATCATCAACAGCACATGAAATGTTTCGATGATATTGAATGATTTAAAAAACCAACAAAAAACATTGTCAAAATCATTTGGCAATTGCATTAAACAGATAAAGACAGTGAGAAGAGGCTAACACGCTTGGAGAAATCATTTGTTTTCCTGTTACTTTTTTGTCGATATTGTTTCCAATTTACTTTCATTCCCATGAACATAAACACAGAATAATAGGCAAAATTAATCTTGAACGATTTGTGGGTTCAACTGGTAACAAAATGATGACAATGATTATGGAAGTAGCTAACGATGACGATAATGGCAATACTGATGTTAGCTTATACCAGACAATGGATATGGTAAGCTGGGTAAATTGAAAAGATGTTACTTTATGTCATTTGATACATGTACAAGAATTGATTAAAGTTAAGGCTAAATAACAAAGATAAAGAGAAACCAGGGTGTTACCTTGAAAAAAGGTAAAACTGAAAAAGGTAAAGATGAACAATTTATTCAAATGTGAATTATCAAACCGTTGACAACAGATGATTATTTGAACAAATCCAGTACCAGTATCCGCAGTATCTGAATGGGTCAATGGATATCAAAAGATATTGGATAGTGGAAGTATCATTAAATACTTTGGATATTTTTGAATTATCAATTGTTTTAACGGCTTTTCTATAACTGCCAATTCTGGTTCCAATTCTAATCAAGATTTTAATTTACTGTTTTTATTTTTATTGATTTCCATATCAACTCATCGTTTAGTTGCAGAAGGCTGGAACTGGTTACTTTTTTAAACACATAAAATGGATGCTAAGACAAGGTTACAAGGGAACTACAAAAAGGTAAGAAGATTTTAACCCGATTACAAGTAGAAGATTAACTAGATTTGAATATTAGTTTGCATAAAACAAGGTGATTATTTAAAAGCAAGGATTTTAAGACGATTGTAATACTTAAAACAAACACTATCATATGTCAAGATTAGCTTAAAATTGTCATCTTTTGCTTTAGATAAAAATTTTGTTTAAAAATGTCATTTTCAACTCATTTTCATTTCCTTTTGCTAATGTTTTCTTTTTTACTTTTTTTCAGTTATCAATCTGATTGTACTAATTTTTGGTGTTTGGTGTTACGACAAACAACAATATCGTATTGTTATTAACAACAATTTGAACATTGAGAAGCCAATAATAAAGTTATTTAGGAACCATTCGGCCTCATTAACTTTTACACTTTTTTTGTATGGGTATGTATGCTGAGAGAGTGCATATTATTGATAGTATATATCAGGTAACAGACAAATTAACTATCAATTGCTGAATTAGCATAAGGATTACTCGTGATGAATTTATAATTAGCAGGTTTGTTTTCTGTTTTTGTTTTTGTTACGTTGTGTAACTGGATATTTGATGCAATATGTCTCCATTTTTAGGTTAAAATACATCAACACAGTCATTAATGGATCATTCAATCACAAGCAAGCATCGACGGCAATACTGATGAGGATGGTTTCAAGAGTTTACCTTTCCACCGTTTGGTCGAGTTGGATCACTGGGTTAGGAGTAGATCTGAATAAACTTACCTTGAGAAAAATGTGGATTAAATTTCGATTATGGTAAAATGAACAGGCAGCATCTACACTTGCTGGTAAATTTGTCCATGTTTGATTGGTTAAATGTTCAGTTATTATTGTATTATTAAGTGTATTCCAGATATAATATTTACTTCCACTGAATACATAAACATGACTGGGCTTGAAATCATGGGCCCAAAATGCAGCATCAATTGAATTACCACATTCAATTTTAATAGATGTTTCCTGTATAGAGAATAGATAAATGTAAATCATTTTTCATTATTCAAATATTACAAAGGCAATAAGTAATTAAGCATCGGAAATCAAAAATCAAATTAAGAAATGCGTTAAAAATGGCAAGAATTTTGAAAGGAAGCATAAAGGATCTTCATTGTTGCTGAGTTATACAGATAATTAGTTTATCATTTGAATAAATGATCAAGAGATATGTAACCATTAAAAACAGAAACATAAATCTCCTTCAACAGTTGAACAGTGAATAAAGATGGGTTTTATGATAAATTAAGATGTTAAATTACTCATTGAACAATGTTTACAATCCATCATTGCAATTATAATGAGAATATAATAAAATTGTTTAATCAGTTTCTCCTTTAATTTCACTACAAGTTCTGATATGATGATGATAAACCAAATAAAACAAACTGAAGAGTGTATAAATCAGTTTTGTGAATGTTAAGAGGCACAGATAATCACTTTGATCAAACCTTAATCAATTGTAACATATAAGACTATTGAATCAATCTTAATTTGCTGCAACACTTGAATTACTTGTTCTAATATTGTGCGGAAAGTATAATACTCAATAATAATTAGAAACAAAATGTCCACTTAAATTATCGATTGAAATTGATTAATTGATCGAGTCCCGCTTAAACTGGGAAATCAGCTGTGACCCGCAAGGTGGCAATCCTTTCCAATTTTAAGTTAAGCATGTGAATGCGCTAGAATCTTGTCTCGACTAACTAACACTTAAACAGCTAGACCGACTTTACTTGAGTGACATTTAACCATTTTCCCTGTGATTAAACATATTGTGAACCTTGAAAGTGTAAACCAGCAATTAGGATAATTGGAAATAATCAGGTTTACACCCGTATATTTAATTCAATTTTTGTGCTTTACCATTTCAACCTAAGGGGACTCTCTCTCAACGTCAGGTGATTGAACTGGATGGACAAACTCTCCTGTAACCTGTTGCACTGTTTATACATTTATTTATTCATCTCTTCTTGTTATGATTGTTGAGAGGTTAAACAGAAATTTAAGTGAACAATTACAGTTGAAATATGATTATTATTAAATCAATTGAATCTGCAATTGTAATACATTAACTGAAAATTGGCTTTTTTAGCTTATTCCGCCATCTCTTCACATTTTCCCTCTCGGTGGGCGTCTTTACTGGTCTTTTTACTGTTTCCACTATTCTCAACGGCTCAATACAAAACAACTACAGTTCCAACAATCAACGTAAAATTTTTAAAATTTGTAAACAAATCAACACCAACGTATTCATCATCGTCACATTTTACATTTTAAATCTCGCACTCTTCTTTCATCATCACAAGTATCTGAATCAAAATGGGGTTAAATAGTGTGATAACTAACGATTGTAATTAATCTCTTTTTTTGCTATTTATTAAACAGACACAATAACATAATTGACAAATTGTTTAATCCGTCATAATGATAATTTGATTGTTGACAGGGAATATAGTTTATCAAGCTATTACCTCATTTCTGTTCAATATGCAATTCAATGCAACATGTTCTGTATATAGCTAGAATTTTCAAAGATAAACTCATTTGTACTCAATTTTATTAAGAATCAACAAGTTATTAATCATGTTTTCTTATTCTTATTACTAGGTGCTGATGAAATTATCAAAAGCTGTTGACTCATCCACTATTAATAGGGTTGCTATTCGGGTGGAGAAACCAGAATCTAAGAATTCCGATCAAGGTTGCTGATAGATTTGACAAAAACACTGATAAATACACTGACCAACAAAAACGGGTTTTTGGATCTATCGCACATCTGATCAATCATTTGAATCACAATCACAAACATTTGAATCATTATCTCAGACAAGTCAAACTGTTTATTGATTGTTACAGACATTGATAAAGGCCGAGTCAATGCAAGAGGAGGACAAACTGATTAGTTTAAAAAATAATTCACAATGCTGAGGACTTATTAATCAAGCAACAGTTAAATGTCAAGTGGAAGATGACGACGATTCAATATAAATTGGATTTCCTAATGTTGCAAACAGCGTCTAATAAAAGGCACAAGAAGACAACCGCACAGAATTAAGGGGAATCAATCAATTACAAATGGTAATTACTAGCAGATAAGTTGAAGTCGATGGCTTTAAGTTGGGTTAGATTAAATGGTGAATCAATCAATTAATCATGGTAATTGGAAATTGCGATTATAATGTTAACTATTGGGTGTTAAAATGCATTATAACTAACAAAGCAACAAGTAAAAGTTGAAATTGGTTTCGGACAAGAGTCAATTCAAGCTAAAGTCGAGATGAATTTGAAAAAAAAGTGTTTGGACGGTTGTTGTTAAATTTAAATTGGTTAAGGTAAACAGACTGAAAGAGCTCAACGGAAATGAAGGCGATATGGTTTACAGGTTAAAAGGCAAAGTCCGTTACAGAGTCAAGCAATTAAGTTAACCATGAACACTTGTGTTTGGGGCAAGTTAACTCAAATGCTCAACAAGTATAAAGTTATACAGCAACCAGACATAAACACAAGAAAAAGGCAGTTAATTTCATAATTAACATTGTAAGGGTAATTTAATCACATTTGATATTACTTACAGTTGAAGTAGCCCAGAGTGGAAAGGCTAATAACAATATAATTAGATGAAACATTATAAATTTAGAGATTGATTTTAACTATTTAGGTAAAAAGTAGTAAAAAAATGGATGGCGATGATGAATATGATTGTGATTAACTTTTAACAGTTTTGTAGTTTTCACCTTTCACATTCATAAAACACATAAACAAATGTATTTTGGTTATACAAAGGAATACACTATTGCAGTAACTTTTGTTTGCACATTGAAATCACAAGTTACACCGAGAGTCTTCAATTAGTATCATGATCAAACCATAATCACTTGTTGAGTAGATGATGTTAGACAAGGAGACACTTGCACTTGTTATTTGATTGAAATAAAATGTTGAAAAGCTCAACACAATCAAATGAATCACAGGTTTAGAGGTAACCAGAAAAAAACAACAACAACAAAGTATCCAAATTGAGAGTTGAAATCACAAAACTTTGGGTCTTTCAATGTGTACCATTAATGATGTAGTAAATCTAGTAAAAAATGAGCGTTTTCAAGGCAGAATCACTGTCACAAAAATAATTGATAAATGAAAACTAATAACTGGTCACCCAAAATGGTGACTTGAAATAATTGTAAAAAAAACTGAGTCCAATGAAAGTTTACCTAAGCTTTAGTCAATAACGTACTCCTCACCAGCATGAGCGTTGAAACAAAACTGATACCAATGATCTTTCACTCTCTTTCTCTCTCTTTCTTTCAAGTGAAAAATAGACAGACAGAGAGAGAAAGACAGATAGAGAGGAAGAGAGAGAGGAAGAGGGGAAGATAATGTGAGAGTTGCAACAAGTGGGAGGTGCGAAGATGCGGGGTAAAAACGTTACCAAAGTAAAGCTACTTTACTGTGTGTTTCAAGGCGATTCAATACCGGTTCTTGCAGATTCCCCCAGCGATAAGCAAATACCAGGCCACACCTTTACCTGTTGTGCTGGTTTCAGCTACCAAAGCAAGAAAGAGAGAGAGAGAGTCAAGGTAGGAGTGACTCTCAAGGGGCTATCAAGGAAAACCATGATGATAAGGAGAAGAAGAAAAAGAAAAAGAAGGAAAAGTGAAAGAGAAAGGAAAAAAGGTGAACATCTTGGAATTTCTTGAGACGCGATCATCATTACCATCATCACCACCACCATCATCATCATCTTCCTCATCATCCTTATCTTCTCATCTTTTTTTTACCTTTTGTCTATGGACTTTTCATAGTTGCCCTTTTGCCTGTTGAGTCTTGTTTTGTTTTCAATCTTTCCTAGACCATAACATGGTTCAATCCATGCTTTCCTATTTTTATCTTCAATTGAAAGTTTCCAATTGAAACCATTTTTCTTCATTCATCTTCCTCTCTCCATCTTATTGTTATCTTCATCATTTCTTATCAGTACAACAACACTGATTTCCGGATTGAATAGTTTGTCAATTGTCAAATGGGCAACATCATCAAGTAATGGTAAACCAAGCAACAAGAGCAACTGAAAAGATTCAAAAAGATATCATTTTTTTAGCATCTCTTCTCATTGATTGTTCACTCATTGATATACTCTTTTTTTTGTCTTTCATTTGTTAATAAATAAAAACACGGTTTCAACATTATTCAATAGCATGAAAATGTTCATTAAATTGTTCATTTAAAAAGAATGTTAATTCATTGATAATGATATTAGCCACTTGAATCAGGAAACAAGTGTTACTCTTGATGAAGCTACAAAAAATAGTAGCAACAGCAAAAGTTACAATCTGTAAAATTTGAACCAATTTGACCAAAAAGACTGATTGTTTGATTGAGAAACAAGATGATGAGGATGAAGAGAAAGATGACAAACAGACTTTTTCTCATCCTAAACCATGAATGAGACTCGTTGAGTTAATTGAATTAAAGACAGATCAAGATGAACTAGATCATTGCAAGGTCTTTTCAAAGCATTTACATTCATTTCCAAAAAATCATTGCACCATTCATTTTTTCCTCATTTTCATGATCATCCCACTCGGCATCCTCAGCATCTCAGTGATAAACAAAGGCCAGTAAAAACCGTTCCAAGCGAACCTAAACCCATTTCTCAACCGATCATGTTGAGACACAAAAAGAAACACAGTTTTCCCCTCAAACAGTTTACTCGTTTATTGACAAGTTGTTTTAATGTCAAACATCATGTATTGTCATCAATTAGTCGCTATCCATTTGGACCCATCCTCGTCTCCATCATCACTCATCTCATTGTTCATCCTTCATTTCAGGCCAAACAATTCAAAGTCTCCCGATGAGTCCCAATGAATACATAATAGTTGATTGACTCGAAAAGGAATTCAATTTTCAACTTTTACCTTCTTTTAACCATTTTCATCTAACTGTTGTTTGTATTGATACTTCATCATAATCATCACCATAATCATCATCGATATCATTATTATTATCATTATCCCAATCATAGTCATCATTCATTTTTACATTGACAATCATACCAAATTGGATATCATTAAAAAGGCAATATAAGTTAATGATGGAAGATTCGGGACAACATTTTTTGTTGTTTTTTCAATTTACAATCAATCTTTCTTTCCTCAATTCATCATCAACATTGTTTCAACAATCAACAATAATAGTCTGACCGTCCAGTTTATTGTTGTTAATAATAGATATTAAATAACATTAGAGTAACACTTGCACCAATCAAACTAATTACTTTCCATGGATTTCAATCAAAACTAACGCTTTGATAACCTTTGATAAAAGGCTAACCTTTTTAAAATTCATTCAATCCTTGAATAATCAATTAAATCAGTTATGATCCAAAGGCTATGGCTAATCAGATATCATTGTATCACCATCAACAACCGGTTAAACATAACAGTAAATTGCTATTAATAAAATATGAATGTTTAAACATTTCAAGTTTAACCCAAAACCAACTCCAATCTTGAAGCACACTTTGACAATCAATTTTCATCAAAATTGAATAAACTCAAAATTAATTGTCATCATTAACCGGAAACCGGTGCATTGATTGTTATTTATGAAACAATCATTTAAGTGACAATTTATAAGCTGTTGCTGTTCAAGTCACTTTAATATTGCAATTAATTGTCAATACAAGAACAGTTTAGTCAAAGTTAATCAAATCAATTGTTTGTCTCATTTAAGAACGATAATATTGAGAAGTCAATTTAACCAGGAAATTCCTATTTTCCCTTCAAGATTCATTCCAATATTGGATTTTGTTTGTTATATTAATGGTTATGATTTTTGGCATTTTTAAGGTTATCTCAATGATTACTTGATGACCAATAATGATATTTACTGAAGCTTTGTAAAATGACTAAACTTTGATCATTTGCCATGTTTTCATTTCGCCTTTTGCCTTCGCTATCTCAATACTTGTCATCATCTCTTCCGAATGAAAACAGGTCAATACCTAAGAAAAGATGATAAAATCTTTTGTTATCACAATGAAGACAAAAAATAAGGAGCAAAAAATGTCCCAAAGTAAACAGAAATAAAAAAGAACCAAAACATTCTCATGGTTTTGCAGAAAAAAAACTCAATTTCATGTTTACTATTGACTTGCTTTTTTGTTATTTCTTTACTTTTTTTCTGCTGTAAACAAAATGATATTTTCACCTCATCATGTTCATCATCATCTTTACCATCATCTTTATCATCATCTTGATAATCGTCATCTTATGACAAATAAGTGTCAATAACAAAATGAATGGCAGGTTAGGCTTTTTGAGATCTTGAAAAATATGGTTCATTTTTGTTGCCAAACCAAAACATCATTTTTCCCATTAAGTTACCCATTGTTAATCTGCTTCTTTCATTAATCAATCCAACAATTAACTCTTTCTTTTAATCATCTTTTGAACATTCTCAAATCACATAATTGTACTTAATAATAGCAATGATAGCAATAATAGAAACAATAAAATTTCAAACTTCATTTTTGATCGCTTCTTCTATTGCTTTTCAAATCATACTTTGAATTTGCAACTATTGATTTCCAGTTGAAATTACTTCAAGCTAAATTTATTAATTGAAATAACATTTGAAAAGCAATTGAAACAGCAATCTATTAATGTATAAATGATCCGCTAATTACTTGAAAGGTAAACAAAATTCATCAATAAGACTGTCAAAACAATTTTGCCAATTGCTTTCATAACCCAAAACATGTAAAATACAAGTCATTTTGATACCAACACTGATAGGCAAGGTAAAACAAGATCTCAGATTAAACCCAAACATTGAAATCTGGTTTATCAATGATTTTACCAGAAAATTGTCACTTCTTGGTAACCAGAAAAAATCTGGTTTAAGAGTGAAACCAGTAAAAGCTTCAAATGTTTAGATTCTGTCTTTTTGGGTAAACTGGTTAACATAATTAGGAATAACAATTGATTGATAAATCAATAATCAACAAATTTTGTCTTCTCTATCCTTAATAGTTGATTTAATGAACTCTTAAGTAAACCTTTTTCGCATCAATCAAATGATGATCGCAAGCTTAAGCTGGTATTAAGTACAATTATAAAAATGGTTAATTGTTTGGAGCTTATATTGATAATTAAGGATTTAAATGACGTTTATTTGCTATTAAATAGTGGATAAACTAAAAGTTAAGTGAAGCAAAAAGAGTGAAACAAAAAAGGTTGATTATGATTTGGAAAACGTTTTTTCAGTCCTTTCATTGTTACCAGCGTTTCGATCAAATGTTTTTAATCTTGAATTGTTATGACAATTGTTGTTAACTAACTTTACTGCTTATTATCAATCAGAATTACAATTGAATCCTCATTATGACCTGATTCGCCTTGGTAACCTCTTCAACAATCAAGGTTCATCAATAAACTTTCAAATGAGAAGTATGATGATGATTATGATGACTGTAAGACCATTTTAAGGGTTTGTTTCATCCATTCAATAGTTGCCATTGAATTAGTTAATTAAACTTGACTTTTCCCTTTGATCAACAGTCGGGTCAGTTAACAATTAGCAATCATTTTAAACATATCACTAATTTAATCAAATAACTCAACATTTACGATTCAACTTGATCAACATAAACACTTTCATCTTAAAACATTTCTGGCTTTTACAAGTGTCTCATGTTCAACTGAATGCTTTTTATTTACTTGGAATCAGAGTTGATCATTGATTTAAAGTCATGTTAATTGCTGAGTAAAAACAGAGACTTTCATGATTTATTGACTTGCAGTTGAAATGCAAATTGTAAGCTGACATTGAAAACACTTAGATGATCAAAGGAGGAAAATTTTGTTGATAATTCAACTATTGAATAGACAATTTGATTGGAAACGAAACACTAAAATTGTTATTACCTTTTATTTTGCTTTTTGTTTTTTTTTCTCATCCTTAAGGCAAATTTCATTCATTTTCATGATGGCGATGATGACAGTTTAGTTTTATAGACTGAAAACGATATTGAATTACTATTATTATTATCATTACAACAATCAACATCATCATCAACTTGATACACAAATTGTAAGAACATTTTTTCACTTCATTTTTTAACTATTACCCGATGAGAATCAAACAATTTGACCTTTTTTTCGGACTCGCGTCCAATCAAAAAGCAAAATAATATTGTTTACCTTTTATTTATACTTTGATTAGTGTTACAACTAATCAAGGTAAGGCCTTTTGATTAACACTAAAAAGGTTATACCTTGAGGTATAATAATGGTTAACATAAATTTAACCCAAGTAACCTAAATATTGGGTTAAACAGATGAGATTTGTTTTGGTCATTCTTGGAGTTTATTGATGAGTAAATATTGAAATTGATATTTTTCAATCAACTGATTTGATTGCAAATTGACAAGTGTAATTACATGACTCAATGTTGGAGTCGTTTGATTCAATTAAATGTTTACTAATCACAGTTGTCTACTGTTTGTAATTCATGAAATATACTTAAAGTTGACTTTCAAAATGTTAATCTAACATTTACTTTGTTTGCTTTAAAATAATGTTAAATGTTAGTCTTAATTGTTGCGATAATTAACTTAATTGACAATAATGTTTAAGTGAAATGACAACTTGCAGGTTGATGAGTGTAATAATCAAATGCCGAGTGTATCATTTGCATTGAAGTGGCAGTAATGAGCAAATGAATTGAAATATTGTTTAAAATTTACGGTATTTTCTTGCTTCGCCTGGTAATGGTTATTTGGATGAAACTTGAATCCACTTTCTTTATTGAATCGGTATAAATTGATCAGAATTTTTGGAGACCATTTTGGAACAGGAAAATGATTGAAAAAAAGGAGTTTCCATTGATTCAAGTTAATGGTCAGACTGATGTAATTGTAATGGACAGCGATTCCAAGCCAGTTGGAGCGTTTTCAGGATTAACAGTCGACTCACGATTAATGATGAAGAAAATTGATTCATTTTAATCTTTCCAATTCAACCATTTGAAATTATTTAATTGTCATGATCAGGATTGAGATGATTATTGATCAGGCTCAAGTTGCAGCTATCAATGTTGAGGAAATAGGAATTTCTGGTTAATCTTCATCTATTGTGCTGCAATTTAACCACAATCAGCTTTTTTTGCTCATCTTTTGATTAACT